ATGAGGATACAAAGAAACTACATAATAATTATTTAGTTTATATCCTATATTTATTGCAGGCCGGGCATCGGCGCTAGCTTTTATTGAGAGCAGCGGTTAGAATGATCTGGGCTTGCATAGAGAGCGAACAATCAATTAGGTAATTAAAAATGTACCTACTAGTAAACAAAATAAATAAAACAAGGCTCTTGGGATGACCCAAAATCCGATGGATTGACTTAAGTCATCATAGATTTAGAAACGATAGACTAAAGCAATATGTTTGTCCTTAAACGCACAACGTGTTAAAGAGATAGCTGAAGATAGCTTGTGATGGCAGCACTGGTCCTGAACCGACGGTTAAGCTGACGAAAAAGAGTATAGTATAATATAGTTTACAATTTCGACCAGTATACGAATAGGTACGGGGGAAACAGTATTGTTAATAATATACATTTCATAACTACGGTGTGTATATTATTATTATTGTGTAACTCTTTCTGAAAACTCAAAATGTCCGTAGATAATCGCCGGTTCGTGGTAAAATAATCACCCTGTATACAGTTAGGTATTTACTTACGAGAGTAATAATAATATATGATCCGACCTTGCCGGCTGTTTGCGTTTATATATACACATAAATATTTTATTATATTGCATAGGTATACATACGTGTGCAGCCGAACTAAGAAACGAAACGACGACGAATTAGCGAATCCGTTCCTATGCTTTCGATTCGTTTGTATTAATACACGTCGCGTCGTGTGTATATCGACTGGAAATTTAATATTACGATAACATTATACAGTTGAGCTCCTCAGCTGCTATAGCTGCCGTGTCTGTTACACTGCGTGCAGAGACCACCGTTCCGCGAGGTTAACGTCCCGGCCCGCGCAGACCGGACAACCGCACCGCGGACCAGTTTCTTTATTTGAATGATTTCCGTTAAAATTCGTCTAATTAATATTATGCGTCTTGTGCGAGTGGGTCATCAATAATAATTGTCGTACAGCGCGTTTTTGCACTACGATGAATCAATAAATTATAATAACATGTCACCCTGCGACAGGAAATCATCGCGGTCGATATGTACCTACCGCTGTATTATTATAATATGTTAGCAATAATATTATATTCCCAAACGAAACATTCGGCCGGCCGTCACATACGCCAGCCCAGTCTGGGCTTCGAATATATTATCAAATCGCATATGTACAAAACGAAAAGCTGAGCCAACAAAAACGTTAAGAGGAACAACCGTGACATTGCCTAAATTGCATAAGCAACCTCACATCAGAAAATCCGTCAATATCGAATCGATATTAGACTCTATGAACAGTAGCAAATTTTATCAACCTCAAGTAAAAAATTACCACATCAATAAGATTGCTAAACGACTAACCCATACCGTATATCTTATATATAAAAGCCTATGGATCCGTTTGTATGTAACGCTTTTCCTCTTATACTGAGAACATTTAGGCTGAAATTGGAACTAAAAAATAAATGAAAAATAATTTATGGAAAAGATTATTTTCGAAAACTGTACGTAGATTTTTTTAAATTTATTTTTTTTTTTATACTGTGTACAAAAATTGTACCAGAAATCTTGCTCTGATGTATACAATATAGATCTTTTTCTGAAAGGAAATTTTTTTGGGATAGTATTTTAGGGAAGTCATTTTTCGATTTTCTCGTAAATTTTCTCATCAAATGTGAAAAACCAAAACAAAAACTGAGGAAAACCGAGAAAATGTACGAAATATATCAGTAAAATATTACGATTTTTATTTTCTGTGAACAACTTTTCTATTAACGATTTTGCTCCGATTTACAATGATAGCACTTTTTCTAAAAGTAAATCTGATTGGGGAGGTACTTCAGAGAAGTTATTTTTTAAAGAGTTTTCCAGTAAATTGAAAAACCGTGAAAAACATAGGAAACCTGGAAAAAACGTAAGAAAAATGAAAAAATCAGTACTATATTAAAAAATATTATTAAACAAAATATTATAATACTTATTTAATATTTTAACATAATATAACATATATATTGTTGACAAAGCATCACTATCGACTAAACTCCACTCAGAATCGTTTTTAGTAAGCAATGGTTTATCGTTGTTTATAGATACAAATTAATTTCCCCTTTATATCTTACCTTCCCAACTTCTCACCAACAACAGTGGCTGCACCCGTTCCCATTATCCTGGGACAACTATTTTAAATAGTTTTAATTTTTTGCATTTTGCTATTTGTGATTAAATTCTTATTTGAATTTTAAGGTGATAATTTATTTTCAAATTAACACAATTTTATGTAATCAAAAAATTGTAGACGTCACACATATTCATAATTTTTTCTTTGTAATAATTACGAATGAAATTCAACTTTGTGTTATAGAACAAAGGTTTTCAACCGCGGCTCTTGTGATTTTAAAATCCAAATTAATGGTTCCCAAACGAATGACGGTAACACAATACAAATTAAAATAGATTTACTGTATTACTCTAATATATTTACTATATAGACGCGGCTCTCTTGATACTAAACCACGATACCCCTGAAACGAGACGCACAGGTTGAAAACCACTGTTATAGACTATAGGGCATCCTGCAGTTTCCTAAACTGTAAATGCATATCAAGAGTCTATTAGCCGTTACAGTCAACGATGAAGTATCAGACGAGTGCGATTGACGTACAATAAATTATTATCAGTTGATTTTTAATAACTTAATATCATTAATATTTTAGTCTATAAGTCAACGATCTGAATTTTGTACGCAATAATGTTTGTTTCAATTTTAAAAATTAAATTATACTTTAGTTAAAACTATTGATTTCATTAAAATCCTACGTAAAGTTATCGTCATAGAAATTACAGCATTTCGATTTAGCACTGCCCATTTCGGACATTTCAATGACCGTTACAGCTACTCGTGTACACAACTAGCATACTATAACATACTAACAACTAGTACCTATATAATAAACAATAATAGACCAATTGAATTCTAGACACCTACCAAAATATGTAATTCTGACTTCTGCAATCCTGCTCATACCATACATTTACGCTCTCTGTAGGAGCCATACGCTTGGGAAAGAGTACCCGCCTTATAAATTATAATATAAAGCAGCAGCAGACAAATGTTCAACCTTTCTCCGCCGTCGTCTAGTCGTGTACAGAGTAAACTATAAATTATAAGATAATATTATTATTATTATTATTAAAAGCTGTACGACGTGACGACTTAACTATGCATATTCCGCTGAAACAGACAGATACAGAGAGAGAGTTTGGAATAAGACGCTATGTAATATTTTAAATCGTTCCTGTATAAGTGCAGCACACGGAACTGCATTGGAATATTATGCACCGAAAGTCCCGCGGGCCGTCCGTCAATTTGTACGTTTTTAAATACAAGTATATAGCCGCTCGAATATTTTTGAAAAGCGGTTATTTCTAGCATAGTAAACATTTGATTGTAATACGTATGTATACTATTATATTATGTAAATATCAATTATCTAGCCAATAAAAATTATTACACGCGCACTTTCGTTCGGTGCATAATAAAATGTTTCCGAATAGATTTCTAAATCTAAAATTTTTGACATAATAAAATAAGAAGTACCGTCTTAAAGTTCTAATAAAAACGATATTTCGATCGGGTCATTGATTTAAGACCTACTGATTACCTACTCGAGTCCTGTGGATACACGAGTTGTATTAAATAAATTAATAAAAAAATACAGTTAATATTTTATTATATAGAATGATCAATTTTGCTAAACACAATTTTAAACATACTCGTGCTATATTTAAATCTAAAATAATCGCGTATTCGTGTAATTTTTATCAGATGAAAAATACCATTATATTCGAAAGTGGCAAAACGCTAAATTAAAAATTTCAACGCTAAAATTTATTTCAACTGAAACTTCATCGTCCATTTATATATACTATTCATGGAAATTTATGGATTCATACTGTATAGCGACATGGCTTCTCCGTCGAATTGCGTTGGTGAAATAGATAAAGAAAATGTATTATTTTAAAAATGGACAAGTCAATAACAATAACGAAGATGGTAACTACCTAATATGACTAACGATGTCTAACAAACAAATCAATAACCCTATATAATTATGTAGTTGAAGATTAATATTTTATATTACGATAACATATTACGCGTCATATTCGTCATAATATAGAAACTAATCGGTTGCGCTTAACGTATAAAACAATAATTTAGATATGTAGTGTATTTTGTTTTTTGTGTTTTAATACATATTTAATAGATTAATCAAAAATTAAATGAATAAAAACGTGTTTCGATCACAAGCCGTAAAATAAAAATATATAAGTATATTTTGTTCGAGTGGATCTATATATAATAATACTAAGGTTGTAAGTACGGTTGGGATACGTCCCGATTTGGCGGGACATTTTTAATTAACTTGTCCTATGCCCCGCAACAAATTTACACGATACGAGTATATTACCATATGAATGGGTTTTTTTTTTTATTTTTGCAATGTGTCCCGTGGCCTTACAAGCGAGTGGGACATGAAAGTCCCGATTTTTTTACAATAGCGTCTAAAATTAAAACAATATACTGATATGTATTCAGTTTCAATATACTCTTTAAACGTTTGGCTATCTCTTTAGTTTAATCTTGTCGTATAAATTATAGGTAATATCTACTCAAATATACGAATATTACATATATAATCTGTTACCTATATAATATCGATTCAAAAAATTATAAACTATGTGTTACCAATACCACATTCGTGGTATTGGTTTTAGACACTCGGAGGTAAACACTTATTGAAGGAAATATAATAAACTGAAAAATATCAGTAGGTAGTTTAATTCATTTTTGAATATTTACAATTTTGTTCGTATTTAAATTTTGTTGAAATATTAGCTGTGTTATTTTGCTTTATTAAAAATATCTAATTTATCTATAATTTATTTATTGTCCATTTTTTTTTTTTTTTTTTTTTAGAGTCCCGAATTTCGCTTTACAATATTACGCAAAAAAGTGCGGCCCGCGTGTTAAAAAAAAAAATCCCAACCCTAGCTGTGAATTTGTAGCGAATGAATTTTAATTCTTAGCGTATTGCGTTAACACATAGATTAATTATTAACAAAGTACGAATTATGACGTTCTTTAGAATAATTGACGTTATTTATTTCAAAAATATTATTTCCCAACGTGTTTTACGGTATATTTTTTAATAATACTTTTTGTTTGCTATGTTTGTCCAAAATGGTAATGCAAATGCACACCATTTCACTGCAGTGTTTAGTCTAGAATTTAATTTTTTTTTTTTATTATTTTTAATTAGTGAAATTCGTGAGCTGCATTTTTTGAGAAGATTTCAAATTTTATATACTAAAGTTTTTTTTTTTTTTTTTATTGCATTGAAATCGCAGCAGTTAACATTATAAAATAATATTGTATTCCATGCAATAAGTACTTACGTTCAGCTTTAAATGTCGTGTGTGTTATATGAAACTCTGCAGAATGAAACTAGGGACTGTCGTCGTCACATGCGTAGACATTTTGGCGGCAAACCCTTTTGTCTAAAAAAAACTTCCGTTATAATATATTGTTTAGTTTCATATGGGCTCGACGGTTGTTTGCCTTGTCGAGGGTGCAACAATTCTTCGACACATCAAGCGTACAAATACGCTAACACATTTTTACTCGCTAGTACAGGATTATAATCGCGAGGGAAGACTGCAGCAGTGAACAAATGCGAATATTATAATTATATACAGGGTGTGTTTTTATCATAATCCAGTGATCGTGTATAGGGAGATTTTGAGTAAATTTTGAGGGCTCGATATTTGAAAATCCAAATTGTATACTCGTTTAAGGTATAAGCATTAAGGAATACATTTGAAAAAGTGTTAATAATAGTGATTGCATACCGATGTTTTCGTTCTTTATCTAACACATACGCTGCATAAAAATGTAGACCAATTTTCTAGCAATCAGTATGACTGATAGCGATCGTGATAAAGTGTTCTGAAAACCGATTTGAATTCAGCATGAAGTGTACGTAAGATCTGTCGGGTAACTTTCAAATTTTAGTTCTTAATTTCCGAAAATATGATATGAACATTTCAAAATTGACAAATGCGTACAAAAAAAAAAAAACAAATGGATTTACTTCACACGATGGGTGAGACACTGTGTAGGTGAGAAGTTAAGAAGAAAGAGGAAAAACTTAATGTCTTAATATCTGTACGCAAAGATTAATCATTGCGATAAACGAAAAACGACTTTGAGTCGAGTTCGAGTTATGATAATATACATGTTTTAAAAGGCCGCAAAATGTATGATTTGAGAATGGTATATCTACCACCCCACGGAAATTTCCTTTCAATAAAGGTGCTTCATTAATTTAAAATTATAGTAAAATGTCTGGTAAAAAGTTATTCACAGAAAAATAAAATATAATAAACATCATTGTAAAAACAATGCATTCCTAACTTTGCTCAGAATCTAAAATTAAAATTAAATTGAAAAAAGTGACCTCACCGACCTTATATTTATTTCAAATCTATTTTCAGAATTCTTATCACTTCACAAAACCTATTGAGACTATCGGACTAATTTCAGGAAAATTGGTCTTCACCCTTATTATGCTTATAGTGTGTGTTGGATAAAGAAAGAAAATAATGATATCCATCTCTCTTAAAATGATACTTGAACGATCCCGTATAAGGATTGAAAAAATAACGAATCTTAAAAATCATTTAAAACCCCCCGAGAAAATCGCCGGATCACGATATCAAAACTCACCCTGTATAATATATAAACTTATATTTCTATAGGTCGTCGTATAAAGCGGTCGGCGTGGAAAGAAAAAAACGAATAACAAAAAACGACGGCGACGGCGTCCCCTTAACGACGACGACAAGGTGCTGCACGTCATATTTTACTAATGCGTACAAACCGTACATAGAACTGCAGCAGTTGTATTTTGATTATTTTATTTTGTACAGACCGTGTGTCCTGCAGCAGCTATCCGTGTAAATCTATGAGAAGTGACGGACTTGGGTATAATACGCATTAGCCAGTCTCCGAGAGGAAAATAATTTAGTACGATTTCGGCGGCTCCGTTAATTAGACGTCGGGTTATACGCGACAGCTGTTGCGCGGCCACACAGTCATATTACGCACATGTACGTCCGGACGACTTGGGAACAAAAAATGAAAACAAAAACAAATTATCATATTATTATTAACTGCTAATACTACTACTACTACTACGATTATTATTTTATTATCGTATGAGCAGTGAGTGATTTTTTTTTGTCTCTCTGTAAACAACTTGTTTACCAGATATCTACCACCGTATAATTTTCTATAGTTGGTGTATTATGGAGGTTATTTTCCTATAATAATTTTCTAAATTAATGGGGACAGCTAGCACTTTGTTGTACAATTTTTTTTGATTTCTGGGTTACCTTGACGGAAACAATAAGGGGGAAAATACGACTAATAATACTATGTTAAGAATCGCTTTTCGCTAAAAATGGTTTATCGTTGCGTGCAGATATAAATTAAATTACTCTATATATTCTCTCATAGTCTCTCCCAGTTTTCTTCCTAAAACAGTTGCACGCCCAATACCCATCAGCAGTATCAACCTTATTTTCATCACGAACCTGAAAAAAATATTAGATCTACAAAGATAAGTAAATTTGATTTTTTTTTTTCAATTATTATTATAACAATATTACAGAATTGTTTCAAATTATCTAATTTATAGTATTATTTCAAAATTTTAGCGATATTCCGGATACCGTATAATATACATTTAGCCGTAAGTGCGTATTTCTGCAGGCCCATCCAAATACAAGAAATTTTCCGATGGGTTCTTCTCATATTAAAATTACCTAAATTTACTTATTTTAGCTATGTGTATGTGTAAGAGACTGCACTAGGTCGCCCAAGAAAAAGATGAGATAACCTAACAGAGTACTAAACTTACTGAGAATAAACAATGGAGAAAAATTGGATGCTGATAATAAATATAGAGGAGAAGAGTGATGATTCTTGCGAAGGGTGGTTTATACTAAGCCGACGAAGAAAAATAACGTGTATTAGAAAAAGGCGTGTTATTTCGGTAAATATTTTGATATGTAAATAAGATATTTATAAACGATTCTCTAATATAATGCCTGGTAAAAATCGAAATCAAATTTACTAACAATTAATGTAGATAATCGCTGGTCTATGATGAAATAATCACCTTGTATACCAGCTGCAGCAATAGCTTTGCAAAACACACGCACGTGAAATAGGTAATAATAATAGGTACGTCGTTAACGCACAAAATCCAATAAACACGCACGTCTTTGTATGCAACAGCATCACGAACGTGCTCCCGAGATAAATGTATTATTAATACATTATTATTATGGGTACTATAATGACTCGGGTTTCCAAATTACGTAAAAATTTACTTTTTTCCCGTTCCTCGTCATTATTCACTCGTTTTTCTAACGCGCGTCCCATTGCACATCATAAACACCCTCCGAAATACTGCAATTATATTTTAAACACTAATGTCATTCGGTGTACGTGCAAACCTACAAAGGTAGACCTAGCTAGAAAGAACGGTGGAGAAGCGGAGGGGGAGGCAGAGGACAGCTATCCCACAGTTAATATTTCCTTAAAGACATGTAAATTTACACATAACTCATGTGTATACTTAACTAAATATAAACGAATACGTTTTATTTTCAACTGCAGTAGCGAAACCGGAAGAAAATGTTTGAATAACTTCTGACATTCACAATCTGCAAGACGACTAAAACTAGTAGATAAACTGACTGGATATAAACAAATTGTATCAAAATATTATGCAAAACGAACCACAATAAATATAGGTTTATAAATTCCACTTTTATTTAAATCAGTAGTGTATTTACGAGAAAAATTAGGGATATAAATCACTTCTATTGATTTTTTCAGTATCTATTATTTATATAGTTAAGCCCAGATATTTTTAAATTGAAACATCTTTGTCTTAAAGTCAAAAAAAAATCAACAATTTAATTGTGTTGGTACATATATTTAATACATCAAAAAAACCTGAATGTATAAATTTTCTTGTTAAAAACGAAACTTATCCGAAAGTTAAATCATGAAGGTTTAATTAGTAGGTACCCAAATAATAAATAAATTAAATAATTACTTGCCTAAACCTATAGTTAGGTGTATGATTTCAATGATAATTTTAGGGCAGATTGGATAATATATTACTTATAAAATTATATAAATTAAAAATGTTTCCTTTTTTTAAGCTTGGGTGCACGCTACACAATGTGACACTATTTCCAAATTTAATATCTCTCTCTTAGATAAAATCCTAAATAAGGATTCAAATATTGAAAAATTCATTGAAATAATATTCTGGTTAAATATAACCGACGCAACATACGTATTATTATACTTATAAAGACTTATAAAAGCGTTATAAAAACTTTACTATCGTAGAAATGAGTTGACGTAAGCTAATGAAATCACTCTCTTTCTCCACTACAGTGAAAATTGTATAACTCTTACAATCGATTTTACGTAATGCGTTATGAATTTTCTGATTCTAAAACTTTCCTTATTCAAAAAGTTTTGTTCGATAAAAATCAGAGTTAATCGATTCATGTCTTTCGATTAAATACCTATGTATAGGTAAATATTATTATTGTATTCGATTTTCCAAAGGGTTTTCAAAATAACTGGGAAAAAATGTTTAGGTAAAACAGAAATTTTTTTCGAATCCTATTTTATACTAGAAATATTGTTTTAATATTGCTAATCTTGTTGCATTTTGGATCTAATTGCTCATGGAGTAAGTCATTTTTTGATTTTCCAAGCACTTTTCATCAACTCATTTATTTTACTATAAATACCGAATTCAATTCTCCATTCTAATCGATTGCTCGCTTTTTCCCTGACTTCTCTAAATGTTTTTACCCTTGCATCATCTTTTTATTTTGTCCTATATAAAAGTTTCAAGGGCGTCCTGTTGTTTTCTTTTCCTCTATCATACCCTCTATGATTATAATATGCAGTTCTTCTGGGTGTCTCGAGGCATGTCCAATTATTTTCCATTGTGGTGTTTTTTTCGTATCTATGAATGTCCGATTTTCCTTTACAACTCTTAGTACTTCTTCATTTGTTTTTCTCTCCATGCATTATAACTATATAGACGCCTATTAATAGGTTTTATTATAGAGCAATAATAATAATACGATACTAGATACACAAATATAATACACAAACAACACAAAAATAATAAAGGCTAATACGCAATCGCAGAGAGTAAATTTTGAAAATAATTAACAAACAATATTATAGGTATTATATTTTACTTTCAAACTCTTTATTACGATATTTTTGTCTGTTGCCTGCGGATGCCAAATGATAATTTTTGTTGGGGGTCTCCCTGGGAAAATCTTCGCGGATGCAATTGCACCTTCTCGCTCTCCCACCGAATCTCACTACTGGAGGAAACGGTAATACATGGACGTTCTCAAGAAGGAAGGAGAACCCCCAATGGCCTTTTTTTTAGGTTAGATGGATTTTCATGATTAACTGATAAGTGATATTTAATATTTTAATGAAAATTAAATAAATACATTTTTTTTCGACTCGTTATCATTTTCCATGCGAATATGCAATTGGTATACAATAACAGATTACAGACCACGATTACAGATTAATATCTATAATATCCGTAATCTCATATTATATTGATGTAAACAATAAATTAGTCGCACGATACCATCGATTATACAAGTGTTAACATATTTGTGTTTATCAATCGTTTTTAGCGATTTATACAGTGTATATTGACGAGTGACGACTGACTTGTATTTTTATTTTTGAAAATGAAACGAAGTAATTCAAGTATATTAAATTTTTTTTCAAAAATTGGTTCCTCCTACAAGTAGTGATGTATAAAAATATAATATTGTTGTAATTTAATGTACGTTGTTTTTATGTAAAAAAAAAAAAAGAGGTGTGAGGGCATGGCCCCCACGGCTCGCCTTTTAATACATTTAAATATCCCCCCCCCCCCCCCGATAAAAAATCCTGAGAACGTCTCTACGGTGATAAGAACGTAAACAATAGAAAATAAACTATTTCGTTAACAAAACGTTCGACGATCGAAGAACGGCCACGAAATTATTATTTCAAATATTATACGCGTATTATTATAATATTACGCGGCCGGTAGCTACTGGGTTCTTTACGTCAGTTAAACGCGAATAAAGTAGTGTTATGCAACTCGTATACGGCACCTAAAACGGTCTAAATAATAATATATTGTGACATAACGGGTGTGTTTGCTCATCGACCATCAGCGGCGATATATGTACGTATATAATATGAATTATAATATACAATATTATGTTGTGCGCATCACGCACCTAACATTTAATTGGAATGTAAATAATTCAAATGACCTCAAAAAAAAAAAAAGAAAAAAAAGAAAAGAAAAACAAACGCTACCCACATTCATTCCAACGTCCGTTCGCAAAACGAACCGTTCCACTGAGCATTTATTTGTTAATGTTAGTCGTATCTATATTAAACAGTCGTATACAAATATAACGCAGTACACATATAATGCTATCGTGAAACAGAGAATTTAAAAAAAAAAAACCTATAGATACATGCAAATTAAATGTATAATATAACGACCAAATCCCGAACAGTTTAATAATTATAATACTAATAAAATTTTATAATAGTATACGAACTATAACTCCGGTTTCATAAAAAGAAAAATGGCATCGATTTGATGATCAAAAAAAGATTTCCGGGAAAAAAAAATTGAATTTAAGAGTATTCTGGTTCCGTCCTGTGTTTTTAAAGCGGATATACCTATTAATTCCGTCCCAAGTAATTTATTTAGTTATACGAGTTCCGTCCCTTTTTACATTTTCTACACTACCTATATTATATTACAGTATAAAATTTACGACTAGAATAACAATTTTATGATATTTAGAAATAAAGATAATATGTCAGTCAATTATCGTACTAAATAATCGAATTTAATATTACTGCATTATTTAGAAATAAAGATAATACTATTTAACTTATATAACTATATAACTTTCCAGTCATTATTTGTGCGGCTGCGTGTCTGGATTTATTATTTTTTATTATACTCATACACCTAGTAATATTGTAAATTTTTAGTTGACCGTCTGTTCACTATAGAAACGGAATTGGTATATACGCTTTTTTTATCCGGGACGGAATTGGTATATAATATAAACTGCATACGAATTGCGTCTCCGATATAAAAATTGCGATTTGTGACATACTTATTGCGTCCCGGGTTTTCTATACGACTATACTATTTGCGTCCCGATTATCTGTTATACCTTTGATAATCTCAACCAATAATTGATATGATTATATGAGTATTTATGAAATAAATGTAATCGGTTGTTATGTCTTTCGATTCCGTCTCGTTGACAATTTCGCGCTGTTCTATTTCTTTTAAAAAATACGAGTTTAACTGTGAGTGAGGTTATGGTTAATGAAAAAAATAAAACATTGATTTTTGTAAACGATTTTAAATTTTGTTTTTCAAAAACTATTGAAAAATGATATACAACGTTGAAAGTGTTGCAAGAAAACATGTAAATCACATGCTAAATTAAATGATAAAAATGAAATATTGGAACGTCCTACTGAACATAACCATGAAAGCGATTCTGTAGAAATATTACACAGACAAAAATTAAGCAATAATTTAAAACGAAAGGCAATAGACGATCTCTATGATAATCCCTCAAAACTCATTCATAGGGAATTGTCAAATGACGTATCGACATTAACCAGTTATGATTTAACTTTAATTTGTAAAAATATGCACCACGGTCGAACATCTGTAATTCCCAAGCTGCCAAATAATATATTAGAATTTACATAATTTATTGAAAGAAAACAAAAGTAACCAAGATGAAAAGTTTCTATTAGTTAACGACTATGAAAATAATATATTAGTTTTTTCAAACAATAACTAATTTAAAGTTCTTAAGTCAAGTTGACACAATATTTGTTGATTGAACTTTTAAAAGTGGTCCTCAGTTATTTACACGATTTTTCACAATTCACAGTTTATCAAATGGAAATTACTCACCATTAGTTTTTATTTTTATTAATTGACAAAAATGTAGAAACTCATATTTCTTCATCTAAATGTCAGAATGTATAAAAAATAATATCTATTTTTTACCAAAAATGTGATTTGCTGATTTTGAAAAAGCAATTCACTCGGCAGTATTATTTGTTTGGCCATCTATCGATACAAAAGGATGCTGATTCCATTTAGGCCAGAGTTGATGGTTAAAAATTCAAGCTCTAGGTTTGAGTAATAAATATAAGCTAAATTTAGGAATAAGTTATCATCTAAAAATATTTTTTGGTCTCCCTTTTTTGAAACCTGAAGATGTAAAAAACTGTTTACCGATGATATAGTATCAATTTTATCACAAAATAAACAAATAGAAACATTTACAGATTATATTTTAAATACATATATAACCCCCGATTGTGAATTTCCTCCTTTTTTATGGGCAATGTATTCAAGTTCAATTACACGGACAACAAATAGCTGTGAAACTTTCCATTCAAAATTTAACGATATGTTTTATTCTGCTCATCCAAATATTTACAAATTTATTGATGTACTTAAAAACGTACAAAAAGATAATTACATACAAATTCGCAGTAGTAGTCGAATAAAGAAAATAAGACATGAAATATGTGAAAAACGAAAATTTTTAAGAAAAGAAATGATTAAATACGACGTGAACGAAATAACACGTTTTGATTTTGTCAAAACCGTATCGTTCAAATTGTCACCGAGTCATAAATAATAGTATAATAACATATATATAATTTGTATTTTTTAATATTTTTTTACTTATTCTTTTATTTTTATATTTAACGACGAAAACAATAGTTTTGATGTACATAATTACGAAACGATAAAAAACAATATTTTTAACTTACCTTTAGCAATATAATATTTATTTAATGTCGCTATTGACAGTCCTAAATCTGTACTAAATGGGAAGGAAAATAATGCATTTACATCGGACGCAATTAGTACAGCTGTTAAATATTATCGGGACGCAATTAGTGTAGTTGTTAAATATTATCGGGACGCAATTCGTATGAAAAAAGGGATCTTGGGACGCAATTCGTTTGCACCGATAAAATAGGTAGAAATAGATTTTTTGGAAACGATGGAGGTCCTTTGTTGTACGTAGTAGAAATCGTTTCCCGGTGCACGGATCAAGCGTCTCCCGTGGCGGATTTTCTTAGCTGGCCGGACACGCCCTTCCGTCTTTTTCTTTTCTTCCGCAAATCGATCGCCAGACGTCCGGATTATCGATTCGGTTCGAGGATCCGATTATCATATTATTATGTAGGACGCGTTTTACAATATTATACGGTCAAGTCTTGTGCAGCTGACGACGACAGAAACCGACACCCGGCCGCGCTATCCCGGCCCATCACCTGAGGGGTTTCGGATTTCTTTTCTGTGGGGGTACTGCGAGCGTTTATAAGTACACTCGGTTATTATTTGTGGCGAGTAGGTAAACTAATATATAGTGATCAATCCTCGATGAGACACGCATTATCCAGGAAAGTATTAATTTTTTCGAAAATGTATACGAAACACAATCAGCTCTATAAAATGTTACGTACCGTTGTTTTTTGTCGTCCTTCTTTCTGTGGTCGAAACCACTATTAGTAACTTTTGATTTTCAAATAGCAACCCGCATTAAAAATTCTACACCTAGATACAACTTTGATTCAAATAGATTTTTAATTTCCGTCAACGTATTAACGAGATATTCCGCTTTTAAGTTTGAGTAAGAGGAGAGTTGGCGTAGTGCAACATCGGTTGTATAATAACGCGTTCCAATAGTCTGCAGGGTCCGACCGCGTATAATAAACGCAGACATCGACGAAACGATCGGACATCGAACGAGCGTATAAAAATCTCACGGGTGGGCCCGAGGGTATACACACCGCTGGACGCACTCGAAAAATACAGTGGCGTTTAATGATCTATCTATTTTTGGAACACTATATATTTATACTCGTATATTATAATATTATAGCCAATTGGCTATAAATACAAAACGAGTGTGACGAGAGACGAGTTACAACAATTATTACCCACCTACAGCTCTACCGTTATCTAACATGATAATTATTTATTAGCGATACCGCCATACACTTGCCGTACGAATAAATACGTAACCTACCCACACTATACATGATAGCATTTAAACCCGCCATTCGCTCGGTTATAAAAACAACGCTATCATAGTAGGTATCGGTCGGCAAAATGGCAAACTATCTGAGAATAATTTGCTGTTTAACCATCGTACCCCGCTTAGTTAGACTTCAATTCTAAAATCAATACTATATAGTAGGTAGGTACCTACCATCATTATTAGAAATTGGATAAAAACTGTACATACGCTATATTTTTCTAAAAATTTGCCCCATTTCTTTAAGGTGAATCTATGAGTTGAATTTTAATAGACGCTTACCTAAATATCAAAATATAGAACCACGGTCGAAGGTAGAACTAATCTAGGTATAATTATTATTCGATTGAATACTGTTCACCAGGATTGTTTTCCAGAGAGTACTAAATTGTTAGGGTAAACATAATCACACGATAATAACGCAACCAGGGAGGAAAAACAGCCCCCCCTCCCTATATATAAGCACTTTTATAATATACCAACTTAAAATTGTTTTATTTAATTTCTTAAGTTATTTTATCCCCCTTGAAAAACCCAGGTTGCGCCACTGAATCACTGCAGTGTTCAGTGACCAATGTAGTTTCGGGAAGCGTCGTATTAAATATTTAGAGTACCTATTGTACCAACAAATAAAATATACTTAACATTTAACATAGGTAAGTAAAATACAATATCTAGTTGGTTGATGTTGAACTTGAAACATTAAACAATACAGGAGAAACTTTTTTTACTAAGGTAAGGTGGGGTAAGTGCGACTGCTAGATGAAAAGAAAGTGGTAAAATTCATAATTCATAATTATTACACCAGACGACATTAAATCGACGCGTCATATTGTGCCGTTGGAGCCGCTAAAATGTGTGCGTTTGTCAAATTATTTATATATTGTGTTATCAAGTCCCGCGTAAAGTAGCGTGATAAAACTTACCTACATATAAAAATTCGGTACCGTTTGGTACGTCGTCTAATAGGTACATTTAATTTCATCCGATTTGAGTGAACCAAACGAGTAATTTCTTTAAATATATCCCATATTTTAACAATTTAATAATTAAATAACATAATTGTATATTATGTTTGTTTAATTACGATTTCACTCGTACACCTTCATTAATTGTATTGGGGTATTATACCTATACGAGTGTAAATAGATATGGGGAAAGTGTTAACTGAGAATCTTATATGGCCTATATGATTATATTATACCTATTGATGTTATAGGCTTTAGGGATGAAATCTGGAAAACTATAATTAATATTTTTTTTTTTTTAAAGTTCATAACTTTTTGAACTAGTGGTTCAATTTTTTTCATTTTTGTATCAAATAAATTCTTAAAACGCGTAGATTATCCCATCACTTGCCCCAAAAAGTTTTAATATATTCAATAACATACTTTTATGTGCAGATTCACAGTTTCCTAAAATAATGGTAATGTGTGACCCTCTAGATTTTTTTTTTTTAAAATTGGGGCTAATCATGGGTTAAATTGTAATTTATTGACACTTTTAAGTGGAAATGTTCACATATCTAATGTCTGACAAATAATACAGTCCATTTAATGGTAATGGTATTTTAAAAAAATAAAAGTGGTCACACATACCCCGCCATACCTTAATTACTAACTAGGTAGGTACTACATTTTATGAATTGACCACGTATAAATAAAACGAAACTGTACATAACAAATGTGAAAAGGACAATTTTAATACATATATTATATTAAAATGTACTTACCAATATTATTTTGAAACGACAATCATAACAGTAATAGTGATAATGGTCTCTGCTCCGTACCCCCTTAGCTAAATGGTCGGCAACTGGCGAACGGTGGAACGCAGAATACTGGACTGTCAACACATCTTACTTTAATGTAGGGTTACCAGATTTCAAAATTCAAAATACGGGACTAAAAAAATGTATATTTCAAATACAGTGAAATCTCCCTTAACGGACACCTCCATATAAAATAGCGAACAAGAATCGGTATCATTTTTTGAGAATTATGATTAGATGCATCAGTCATAATTGATACAAAATTGCACTTGAGTAAATCATTTTTTTAAAACATTAACAGCATAGGGTAAAAATACATTAGTGATGATAGATTTTGTTTTGGTTCTATCACAAGTAAATTTTTTCTAATATAATTTACGAACTAACTGAGAAGTACAATCCATAGAATTGAGACTTTGACTGTGTTTACAAGTATGATAAGCAAAAATTCCTTCGTCTGCAGCTAATTTTTGTTCTTTATCAGCAAATTGTGTTTTCGGAGAAAAAAATTTGACAATTTTTGAGATTTAGACGCTCTAGCAGCTATATTATGTCGTTCCGATTTTAAATGTTGTGTAATATCCGACTTACCACCATGTTCAATGCTGAATGCTGCTCCACACACAATACATTCAATTTTATATTCTTGTCCTGGTTTTTGACATTTTTTTAAGAATGTGTATTCACTTTGTAACTTTTCATTAAATGTGCACTTTCTTCTGGGCATTTTAAAAATTAAAACTTAACTATCATATTATTGTGTTATAAAAACGATTATAGACTAATGTATGTTACTGTGGTCTGACCAGACTATGAATTATGATGGAACAGATAATAGTAATAATAATTTTCTTATCGACTAATCTATTTTATANTACCCGTCGGCCACATAGATAATAGACGATTATAATATAACCATATGACCATACAGACCGATACCATAGACCTATAAAGACCTTTATAGGTCTATGGTATCGGTCGGTATGGTCATATGGTTATATTATAATCTTCTATTATCTATGTGGCCGACGGGTAGTGATAATGAATAACAAGTAGGTAATTGTTATCTCAAAACGAAAAAGAATACAATATATAATATGGGTACATATTTTAGCAAACGAGACATTTCAGTGTCCCGACAAGAGTTGTCGGGACAACGGGACACTTAGTCAAAAAAAGGGACATTCCCGTGTTATACGGGACGTCTGGCAACCCTACTTTAATGCATTATTTAATTTCAAATCGTTTTTTATAATAATGCTAGTGAAACAATTTATTTATATTTTATTTTATTTGTTAAATTCAGATTATGATAGTCGATATCATAATTCATAATAAATATATTATCAGGTAGGAATTGTTAGGTACCTACCTACTTTAAAAAACTGACCACCAACTTGATTATGATGTTTGGTTTTGCACAACATTTGTAAAGCGTTATTACCAAAAACAAATGTTAAATATAATAATGACAGATTATCATATTAATAACACATAGCATATAAGCTGTTTTTCAAGGTTCCCAATTTCCTAAAAACTGGATAAGGAAAACAAATGCAATTTCTCACCCTAAATTGCTTAATAAATTTAACCTCATATTGAATTTATTTTAGTGTATTTTAGTAACGAGTAGATTGGAATCTATTTATCATATTTATGGGCACAATAATAAAGCATATTGCTGTTATGGTACCTACCTAGCAAAATGTTTTTCTCTAGACCTTTTTTTTTTTTTTGTTATTTCTACTTTTTTGATTCCAATAGTAATTACCAGCCGACCCCTATCTTGGCTGTTGCAACACTACATACCATATCAATAGTGTTATATTTTAGAATTGTCTAAAAATAGATTTATATCATATTGCTGTCTAAAACGTTTCCACGAATGACACAAAATATAAAATGTAAACAATGTAGATGCAACTGTGTGTTGAATATAGGAAAACCAGACCTCAGCATTACACATGTTTTTACAAATATTTATGGCTAGATTTTTTTTTCACCATAATACTTCAAAAATTTAATTCAAACTAATTGAGCTACATCAAAATTTCAAGGCAGACCAACTGGTGGCCCTGAGGTTTTCAGGACATGGTATGGCCCATCAGGCTCTCCACTATTGCTGCTCAAGGTTATTAATATAATAAAAAGCCAATTCAATTAAGAGCACTCACAGTTAAAAATGTAAGGGGGATAACCTCAATTTTTAGTCGTCTCTACCATCCACACGGGAGCCTATGCATTTTTAATGATTAATATAATTTTAATACTTATTTCATATGAGTTTTTGAAGAGGGATTAGCTTAGCTTATAGTAATTAAATTAAATTTAGTAACTATAATACTTTAAGGGTTAGTATTGTAACTAGTGGTAAATAATAGAATTAATTTGTCGTAGATGTTTAATAGATTCTACTATTAAATGCAATAACATTACATATACTCATAGAGCCATACGACCTTAGATTGGTAACAAAGTATAAACTAGAAACATATCAAAAACTATAACATATTGGGAATCAGAATTTAAATTTTTAAATATATAACCTTTAAATAAAAGGAAGATATAAATAATAATTTAAGTGTGTATTTAATATTTGTTGTTACCATAAAAATATATAGCTCAAATTTACATTAAATATTTTAATAAAATACATTAAATTAAAAAAAAAAACCAATTTTATGATTCTTCTTCATCATCATCAGAATCTAAACTACTTTCACTACTTTCAGTACTTGATATTTCTAATTGTTGTAGTTTAGATTCAATATCATAATTAACATTTAGGGTTTGTTCCAAAATATTCATGTCTTCATCAACACTCATTGCGGCCACTTCCAGTTCTTCTAAATCTAATTTTAATTGTCCCTTTTCAATTTTATTACCATCAAAAAGTTTTGAAACAGTATCAAAATGTGTACTCTTTAACTGCTGAATCCATATACAATAATCCTTAATGTACAGTTGGTTCAATACATATCTGGGTTCACTTGAGTTAAACATTTTATATATATCTAATAAACAAATAAGTAAACAAACACATCCGTTTTCAAATACTTTACGTACATCACAAAGAATTAAAGTACCTAATTCCCATACTCTGTACAGAGGATAGCATAAACTTCGTCTGACACACGACTCAACTACTTCGTCAAATGTGTCAAAATTACGAAACCAAGAAAGAGTGGAAGACAGTTTATTGACTAACCAAGCTGATTCAGCATTTTCTTCTCCCAAATTTATTCTTATATTATAACAATATGCATATATGATATCAACCAATGAGAGCAAGGTTGATTTTTTATCTGCTTTATTTAATAAGTATTCCTTATTTCCAAATGATTTTAACACACTTTTATGCGAATCATTTAAAGAACATTGGGTGTCAAACCAAAATGGTTTAAATTTTAATATATCCTGCAATTCATCTGGTGGCGTCATTAAATCCGCCAAGTAATGATCATCACAAAAATCAGAAATTTCTTTTGTAACTTGCAATGACTTTCTTTCATTAGAATTTAAATCATTAGCATTTTTAATATCAACAATTTCAAAAAATTCATCATTAAAACTAGCAAATACATTTTGATTTTGGTTGCCAAAACCAAATTTCATGGTAATAGAATCTTCTATTGATAATGGTTTTTGCAAAAAGTCACAATCTATATCACTGTCATCATCATTATCAGTATTAGAATTTTGGTTTAAAATTTCAATAGATGGATTAATGTTAGAAGATTTCTTGGGTGGCAGAAATTTATTTATAAGATGCAAATCTTGAAAGTGTTCTCCTGGGTTGACTTTATTTAACGTAAAGGTAAAAATGTATGAATCCCAGTCATAAGATCCAGATGAAGAGTCAGTTTCTGCTATTTCACCAGGTAAATGCAGCCGTAAATAATATGGCGAGGAGTAAAATATGAAATCAGTACCATTTACATCAACTTCTGTTTCATTCAAATTAGCAAATCTTGCTTTAATCTTGATAATTAGATACTCATCGGTTTGATCCAATTCAAAACAAGGAGTTAACATTGTGTACACTAAAAAATAAATAAAACAATTTATTAAGAATACAAAATACAGTACATAATATTTATTTTATTTTATTTAAATTAAGGACAAATATAATTTTGTTTAATATGACATAAATACCAATGACTTGTTTAGTATACTTTATAGAAATATAATTGGATATTTATAATGTATATACGTATTGAATTTATATGTTTGTTACCCTAAAAATTACTAAAAAAATTGTTTTAATAATATTAAATAATAACAAGAATCATTCAAATTTTAATACTGAGCTTTAAGATATGTGAAACCTTGTTTCGTACACCATTTCAATGTGATATGGACTTGGTTGTTTTTTCGCTTATTTCTCTTCAATCCCAAAAGCCGGAAATCAACTCTTTATTTTAAAACTAATTATAAAATATCTATTCAACAATTTAAATATTTGAATTTAATATAAGTAAACAATTTAATCTTCTTCTCCTTTGCCTTTGTCATAACTATTTGGGGTTGGTCAAAGTGCAAAATTTAATGTATATAATTTTAGCCATTTGATAATTTAGTTTTGTTTAGAATGTACTTTAAAATATTCACACTTACATTGATTTGATTTATTGAAATTGAATTTGTATTTTGTAGGTACTCAATTTTAAATACGTCAAAAAAAATAGTTTAAAGTTGTAATGGTATTCAAAATGTGTAATACATCATGTTATGAATTTTTAATATTAAATCTTTTCAAGATCGAGTTATATGTGTAATTCAGTATGAAACTCAAAAATCAAAATCAAAATAATACTTAAAATATTAAATTACAAACGAAGTGTTTTGATTTTTTTTATCTCCGATTATTAATCACATGTTTTTTTTTATCAATGTGTACGATTTGGTTGCAATTTCCAAAGCGGATATAAAATTTACAAAATTCACAAAGTTAACAATTAAAACCATTATACTTTAGTTGAAATTTAAATAATGAACTTATAATAGATTTATAAAAATGACTTTATAATATAACCACATTGCTTTTAGTTATGAAATAATTAATTTTGTATTATTTTATAATATTATAGGTTTATTTTAATAGATAATATTATTTGTGTTCTCATTAGAAAATTAAATCCAAAGACGCTATAACCATATTTGTAGGCGTGTTGATGTTTTTTTTTATCAATAGAACAAAATATTCTCTCGAAAGCCAAATTTGTATTCACATATTTTTATTATAATTTAATTTCGTTTTGGAAATTTTAATAGAAAAATTATCTTAATCTTGGGTATCGTTTTGTACAGCACTATAGTTAATACAATGTATCTTGCGGATTTCAAGAATGCAGACCAAGAATCTTTCATCAAGTGTAAGTACCTAATTTTTATTGTAAATACATCCAATCAATTTATTGATGCACTTTTTGATTCAATTTTTGATTCTGGTTACTATATTCAGCCAAAATGGTTCAATTTTAATTCATATTAATTTTTATAACAATTATTACATTTTTGTTAATATTACTATCTAAAATGGTTTATCATTTATAATAATTTATTGACTTGACCCAATTTTAAATAAACTTAGTATACTAAATTTTTATTATTACTCAATGCATAATAAAACAACTTATTAAAGTTTTAATTTACATAATACCATTTATTAGAAACTACTCATAACTACAAATTATTTGAGCATTTAGTTATACTTAATATGTAATACTTGTTTTAAATAATAGACTTGAATTAATATTTATATTCATCATTATAATATTTTGTATTTCTTAAACAAAATTGTTCACTATTAGTTGATTATTGTATATTTTGTTAATATATGATTATACAAATAATTATACTTATTTAAATAAAAATAAACAATTCAATTTTTTTCTTAAAATAACTTAGGCACAAATTTTATCAATTATTGTTTTGTTATTTTTAGTGTAAATAACTATGTGATGAACATATGTTTCACATTGTTACATTGTGGCTGGTCATATGATGGGATGACGAAAAGGATTTGTTCAGAAGACAGTATGGGTGCTGGGGTTTCTTCTAATGAATATCCAAACGTGGACGTTCAAAATTATCCAGGAGTTATTATAAAGTAATTATTATTCACTTTATTTTAAAATTATCTTACCTAAATTATAAGTATGTATATATGTATATATTTATAGGGAGAGACGTAAAATGCGTATGTCTGGTTTTGCCACTTTGCGCAAGAAGCTCATAAAGCGCCGTCGATATTCTAAAGTATGCAACCACGGCCGTATCATAAGAGAACTGATATCTGATTGGTCACCAGCTGAAGTTACTGCTTTACTTGAAGAATATGAAGCATTAGCTGCCCTTAAAGACTTATCTGTACAAGCAGAGTTAGCAAGACCTCCAGCTGCTACATTCAAACAAGACCTATCTACACTTTATGACCATAAATATTGTACAGATGTCGATCTCATTTTTCGTGGTGTCTGTTTTCCAGTACATAGAGCAATATTATCAGCTCGATGTCCATATTTCCGTGAATTGTTATTAGGGTGTCCAGGTTATGGAGCTCGTATTTGTTTAGACTTGAGGACACCTGGTGTTGATGTAGAAATGTTTTCAGCATTATTACGTTTTTTATATACTGGTGATATAGCTCCAAGAGATGGAGATATAGATTTAGCATTATTGAGAAGACTCGGTGATGAACTCGGTACACCAAATGTGTTAGAAAATGATTTAAGATACCTCTTAGAGACTGGTGATTATGCAGATGCTGCACTAGTTTTTATTCCGGAAGGATATTCAGATCGAAGGCCAGAATCTACTGGATCCGAATATGGCTTTCAACCAAAATTAGAATTACCTTGTCATAAATCTATACTTAGTGCTAGGTCACCATTTTTTAGGAATCTTATACAACGAAGAACTAAATCTGGTGAAGAACATACAGAACGAGCTTTACACATTCCTACAAGGTTTGGAAAACAACATAATATTTCATATTGTTTTTTATAATTTTATTTATGTTGTATTTTTATATATTTCAGGATAGTACTTGATGAATCAGTCATTCCAAAACGATATGCTAGAGTTCTATTACATGCAATTTATTTAGATACAGTTGATTTATCTCTTATATTAAGAGGTTCTGGATGTGGTTCTTCTGCTGGCAGTTTAAGCGAAGTAACAATGATTTTAAATAATATTATATACTTTAAAAACTAATGGTTATTTTTATTTTAGGTGGAAGCTCTAACAAATACAGGGCGTGTAAGACCTAGTCCTTTAGATGAAGCTATGGAATTGTATCAAATTGGTCGTTTCCTAGAGTTGGAAATAGTTTCCCAGGGTTGTGAGGATCTGATACTGGAATGGCTTACTCTAGAATCACTCCCAGGAGTACTTAGGTAATTATGCTAAATAATAATATTGGTAGCTAATAGGCAACATGCCATATTAGCTACTAAGTTGATTTTTCAATAGAGCCAAACAACCATTTTTTTTTTTTTTTATATATATAGATGAATGTATCCATTAATTTAGCATATTTATATAGTAATAAATTAAATTATGACTAAGAAAATATTAAAAAAAATTAGTGATGATTATAGGTAAAACTACCTAAGTAGGCTCATTCAGTTTAGCTTAAAATAAATCTATTACTATGGTGGATATGACTAGTTTCCTGTTAACTATAAATATATATATATTATTATTTAACAGGTATTGTAATAATTTAATAATTTATTTATAGATGGGGAAGTTTGCCACATGGATCTGCATGGGTTTATCGTCAAACTAAACATTTTTTACGAGAGGAATTTTCTCAAGTGGCTAATAGTCCTGTTTTATATCAACTTGATAAAGGTCATCTTATAGACTGTTTAAAGAGCCATTTTCTACAATCAAGTGAACTTGAAGTATTACAAGCTGTTCTTAAATGGGGTGAACATGAATTAATTAGACGCATGGAGGATAGAGGTATGATATTATTGAATTAAAAATATTTATTTTTGTAATTTGTTTATGATATATCAAATTTATTTTAGAACCAAATTTGGTCAGTCAAACAACACATTCTGTAAGCCGGAAAGGTGTGAAAAAACGAGATTTAAGTGATGTAGAACTGCGTGAAATATTATCTGAACTCTTACCCTTGGTGCGTATGGATCATGTTATTCCAACAGAACACGAGACTCTAACGCAGGCAATACGAAGAGGTTTAGTGAGTTCTCCACCTAGCCATATGATTGGTAATGATTCACCGATATTGTCCCATCATATGTCCCGAATCAATGCTTGGATTAGACATCCATCAGGACTTTACGTGAGGCCTAGACTATTTATTCCATACTACGATGAAATAAAAGTAAGTTTGAAAAAAAAATTTATAATTTGAGAACTGTAAATACTGGTATTTTATATTAAATCTATTATTATCAACTTTTTTTTTTATTAGTATTCTAATTATTATATTTTACTAAGTTGTTTAATTTCAAATATTAATAATTTGATTTATTTAAAATTTAAATATTTCTGACAATAGATTTTATCCATTTGCTAATCGCGCAATTTTTGATTTAGTCATTATTTGAAGATCAAATGTTAAGAGAGGACGAAGAGCTTGTAAGACGAACAAGATACATGCCAGATGGAATACCTGACACTTTGTATATGATTGAGGAAAAACCTACTCCATCATCATACGGCCTTTCATCTCTTGATGTCTTGACAGCTTCAATACCAAGTATAAATATAATATATTTTTATTAATTTTGACAGATATTATTTAAAACAAATATGTATATTATAACAGCACCAGATGCATCAACCATGAATGCAATGGTTAAGCGTGACCAAAAATTAAGATCTGCCCCAGGTTGTCAACGTGCAATATCACTGCCATTATCTAGTCGTCAAGAGATAAATCATCAAATAAGATTAAGAGTTGTACGGGAATTTAATTTACCTGATCCTGTTGCTTATCTTTTAGAAGTATACACATATTTATAATAGAGTTTATAATTTTTTTTTTTAAATACGAGTTTAATTTTTAGAAAGCTGCAAGTTCTGTATGTTACTGTGGTGGAGGTCCTGATGAAAAACCAAAAGAAAACACAAGATCTCGTAGCAGTCGTACAAGAAAAGAAAAACGAAAAGGTTTAGCAACTAGCACCTTGCCATCTGTTTATGCACAACAGAAATTAAGAAAACAACATAGACCATATGCTGTAAATGATATGGCTTCATCATTACGATATTCAAATAATATTAGGGTAAGTAAACTAAGTTAAATTTATTATTTTTGAAATAATAGTTTTAATTATTTAAATAGTATGATGATGATGATGATTTTGATGGCCGAGGGGAGCAAGTTATCATGCCTGACGTTGCAGCTGTATCACTTTCATTGGATCAGTTAAACATATGCCCAGTTCTTGGTCCTGAAACTGAGTTGAGATTAGACCTAGGTGACAGTTCACCTAATCAATCGCCATATAAAACACCACCTCCTCCTAAACATTTTATTTAGAACATGCTAAATTGAATGTAATTTGTAAGATTCCTTGTTATTAGTTTTTAAAATACCATACAAATGATTAATACTTGTCTATTAGAAAAAAAAATATAACTTCAAATTAATTTTGTTTTGAAATTCAGTTATAGCTATATTGGAGAAATTAAAACAAATTATTCTTACTTTTATATTAATTTGGAAACCGATATTAATTTTCTATTACAATTGAGTCAAATAATTATCTGATCGACAAGTGTTACTCAATTATTTGGTAATATTTTATTAAGTTTCATATGTATACATTTCTTCAGCCGCTGATTCTCAAATTTTACCATGCTCAAGTATATCATAATGATTGTCCTTAAATGTGAGCAGCGTTATTTAACTGAGTGTTTTAGTTTATTACTATTTTTATCACCGTTTATCATTTTTGTTTCCAATTAATAATGTTTTATGTTATTAATTTTACACATCTTTTGACTGGAATAGTGTAGCTTCAACTAATTTTATTTGGCCATTTCCAATTGCTTTTTAAATTTTCTTGTCTAAGCAATAAATAGATTTTGTTTTACTGTTTAGTTAATTACATTATTTATTATATTTTATTTCATACCCGTCCAATAGTGATAAAAATTCTTCCTACCAACACTGAACATTTTCAGTGTTTATTTAATGTTGTTGTTGAGTATGTTTTGTTTTGTTTAATCTTTTTTTATTTATTTATAATATTACTTTTTTTTTTCTTTTGATGGCCTTTGCAAATTGTTAGTTACGTTTTTTTGTTTAGTATTTTTCATCTCTTCATTTCTTCACGATGCGTGTCAGTACGAAATAATAGTATTGTAAATATATTTATTATATAATAAAGCAAGCATTATGTCGTTGCCGTCCGCTATCACTTTTGTCAACTACCTAGTTTTAAATGTTGTTCTAATTTCTTCTAGTTTTTGCACACAGCAAAAAATATTTTAGTTTTAAAGTTTTGGGGATATTGCAATAAAACAGACATTGATGTGTCTTTATATTTAAATATAAAAATTTATAGCTAAATAATTTAATTACAGAATATTTATTTTTATCTGTTTTTCTTTTTCTATATTGTACCTGAAAAAAATCCATAAATTAATATATTTTTGTTTATACAGTTTTAAAATAACATCCCAATAAGTAGCAACATCAGAAAACATATGTATATATTGGTTTACAAATTATGCATTTTGTTTATTTTGTTAATGAACTGGTTATTATTTGGAAATCATTACTAAAATTAAAGCCTCGGCTTGTGTAAATGGAATCCGAATTAAAAACAAAAATGTTTAAAAGCCAAACTCGTACAACCTGGGTGCTTATTCCAAAACACAATGTATATATATTTATTTCTTGTTAAATTCTTTAGTTACTATTTATCTAAGGGTAATTTTTTTTTTTTTACAGTTTATAAATAGATGAACTCATAATTAAATTATTTCTTCCTGTTAGACACACAAAAAAAAAAAGTCATTATAATACACTTGCGCTCAAAATAAGTTGACCGTTAAATATTTCATATTGTAATAAATTGAAAAAAAAAAATTGTATCCAATTATGTATGTATCAATGCTTAGGGACCAAATAAACCCGTCTATTGTTTATAAAAAAAAAAAAGAAAAAAAAGAAAGAATACATAGCAACGAAACAAAATAAGTTAAGCATATTAAATTAGTTATTATATATATATATATAAATATATATATAAATATATATATAAATACCTATTAATTTCAATGTATACTTTTAGATATTATTTGATATTCCTTGCCGGTCTGTGATTCTAGTCTGTCGTTTTCTGTGAAAACTGTTATCCTATAAATTGGCTTCACATATTACAACATTGTGATGTCCACTGTTAATTTACTCCTTGAACTTGTGTTACCATAGTCTTGTAACAAAAGTCTATGGTTGTGTTATATAAATATATATATACATACATATGTATTTCAATTTAAATTGCATTTTAATTTTTATTAATTATAACATTATCGTTAATAATGTATGATGTATTTTTAAAAAATACTTCATATTGTTATAAAACCCCTTTTTTATTTTTACTGTACTTAAATATGGTATACGTTTTCACATAATAATAGTTTTAAAATCTATCAAATATAATAACCAATTTTTTAGGATTAGGTTAAGATAAAATTATAATATATATTATATATAAGAATGAAATAAATATCGTGTGTATAGTGTAATGTACAAACGCATTTTGTTGATAATTTATATTAGTTACAATAAATTTGTTTTTGTGATTAAAATATGTTTACATTTAATATATTGGTCTTAATTAAATATTATTTTTGATGTTCAATAAAATTTAAAACATTTTCATTGAATAGAAGGCTTTACTCGCTTTTTCTGTCTTGATATAATTGGAGATAATGCAAAATTACATTACTGAGAACATGAATAGCAGTATTTTAGGTTGAGATTATAGTTTAAACACAAATAGCAAAATTTTAAAAAGAATTATATTTTCAAGGGTAATATGTTGCTATTTTTCTAAATTATTGTAAAAAAAAGTTATAGCAATTTTAGTTTTTGATTTTTTGAAATAGCTGTAATTTTTTTCTTGGAAAATATTTATTAAAAGCCAACGACATACTGCCTTCAAAAATTATGTGACTGCCTTTAAACTTAAACACCATAATTTATTTTATAAGTAACATAATCTTGCTGTATAGGCTATGGCAGTATAGTAACGTGTATGTGTGTTGATAATACAGAGTGACACTTAAGGCACATCAGTCATATTAAAACCAATTCAAATTCAGTATTGAATTTGTTGAACTTTTCTTATTTTTTTACTCAAAGATATTGTCAAAAACAACTAGAGTTTGATAATTATGTTAATTTTATTGGGAATTGGTTGCATCAATAACACGTATCAAAAAAGAAATAGGTACTTGACCTGTAGTTATTGAACAACATATTTATTATTTTCTATGTAGTTTATAAACATCATTAGGGATATTATTAAACAAGGGGATCATTGTCTAATTATTGTCCCATTCCACTTAATATAAATAAAATAATAAAAGTTTCAAACCCATGAATTTAAAATGGAAAGTGATTTAGTAAATAGATCATTAAATCTTCTATACCACAATAATTTAAAAACCTATTTTGTATTCCATTAATAAATCTAACTTTTTCTTCAAACTTAGCCGATAAATAATGCCATTACATGCCAAAAATACAGAACATTTAAGATACAAGCAGCTCTGCAATATTAAATTTGTTTTTTTTTTGGGAGTAAAACCATTATTCATTTTTGATTTTGAAATAGCCACTTATGTTAAAAATGCCATAAATAGATGAAGTAGGTTTTAGATCAGATTTAAAAAATCTTTTAATAGAAAAATTTAGAAGAATATACAAATCTTGGTGTTGAAATTTTTGATTTCTGTTAGTCTGTCAACGAGATAGTCCACTTTGAGGTTTTGGCTGGGGTTGAGTAATGAAGCATTATTTGTGTGGTGGTGCAATGTTTTTATAATACACCACTACTCTCCCCGGACCAAAATTTAAAAGTGGAATACTTCATAAATTATCAGTAACCAAAATTTATTATAACTAATACTACACCTAATTATGGAATTTTCAATATAAGCTACCATTTGAAAGTCAATAGTCCCAAAAAATAACAAATATAAAATTTTAAAGCTACTTGTTTCTTAAAATGTTTTATAAAACAAATTATGAAAAAAAAAAAAAAAAGACTATATTTTCCGAGATAATTAGTGAATCCACCTAAATGGAACATCATGTATGTAATACTGGTTTTTTGGACATTATATATTAAGTGGGAATTTCTTCTATTGCTATTATACTATCATGTCTTAAAAAAACCAGCATTTAGTGGGTTTAAACAAATAAATACAAAGATAAACATTTTTTAAATATGGTAAAAATAATAAGTTTAAAAATAGTTCAACGCCTTATAGATATAAAATATATCTATAATAAGACAATTTTTGACAGTCAGTCCAAAATTTAAAGAGATTAGATATAGAAATCAAATTTAAAAATATGGGATCTTTAAAGCGCTCGTCTGTCGTTAAATCTTGTTAAAAATTGTATATATCTGTGCCTGTAGATTTGGGTAATTTACTGTACGCTGCAAACAAACACTTTCTGTATTTATAACAAATTAGGCTGCATTAAGTTTGATGTGTAAAATACTTATAATTTATTTGCAAATACTCAAATAATAAATATATAAATAAAATAACAATTGAATTCATACAATATTGAAAAATAATTAAATATTCTAAAATTAGACTATGGCGCTCTTATCACTGAAACACTAGTATTTAGACAGTATATTACTAAAATGAATTGTGTATACAATGTACATGAAAATTTAATAAGGACAAATATTAAAAAAAATTACAATAAGTTAACATCATTACAGGTTTATTGAAATAAAACTTTTAAAATCTATATGTAAAAATAGTAAAAATTATTTACAATTAGGTACTTATTAAATTATCACACATATTAAACAATTCTTTGTCAACGATTAAAAACCCATTGATTACATAAATCATAAAAATGTAACGTATAAAATACCTTCATGATGGTTTTCATAGCTTATTATAAGTTTATAGTAATATTATTTTCTTGAAACTGGAGTATTCCCACCTTGTATAGCATAACATCTTGAATTTAAATCATCAGACCCACCAGCATGAGCTCTTATTTCATTATTATATGCCTGAATACGATTTCTAACAGGAGAACAACCTAGTGGTGAATCCTGTTTTAGTGTCTCAACATCATTAAACACAATCTGGGCACCTCCACCCATAGTTTGTATAATATCCGCCTAAATAAAATAATTGAAACATTGCATTAATGATGTTTGAAAGACAATCATTGAACATAAATAAATACTTTGTATAGTTTAGCTTCTGGAATGCCCTGTTCATCTGCTCCTTGTGTCATTAAACAATATTTAGAAGCACCATTATTAGTTACAGTTTTAGCATCTGTTAATTTTGTAACAGACTTGCGTTTCTTCATTTTTGGTTGCATAACAGTTTGTAATGGAATGGGTGCAGGAGGCTTGTGTTCAATCCAACGTTCTTGTGGATCACAAGACTTTGAACGTCTTGACCGCAAATGTCTTAATGTCATTTGTGTATGCTGAATTTGATGAACATAAAATTATCAGTTATACATTAAAAAAAACAATGGTTTATACTTTTTTTACTTTTAAAAATGTGTTACCTCAATTTGTTTTGATTCTGATGGTTTAATATTTACAACATGTTCAGGTTTATTTAAACTTTCATCAGATATAGTTCGTTTAATAGTACGCCTAGAAAAATGACTAGGAAGACTTTCTATGCTTTCTGCAATATTCTTAATATGTTTTAATTTACGTTTCTTGTCTTGTAATTTTGCCTAAAGTCAAAAAAATGTAATTGTATTACTTAAATATTCAGTCAAATAATGTGTATTTGCTTGTCTAGAAAGATATAAATATACTAGAAGAATATAGCTAGAACATAAATATGTTTCAATTTAAACTTTAAAGGGTTCAAAATATATTTATGAAGTGTTTAAAATTGTGATATTTTTGTAACAATTGTACTAATTTATGATTTGTAGTTAGTACACTACATAAATATATACACACAATTCAAATTTTTTATCTTTAATAATAAACAAAGCTATATAAACCTCAAATTCATTTTCTTGAACTTTCCATTTATCTTTGAATTCTCTAGATAACTGTTCTTGTTTTTTGATAATTTTTGTATTGTATCTTTGTTTTAAAAGATCTTTATCTACAGATACTTGATTAAGCATATTTTCTTTTGCATTTAACTAAAATTAAAGGATAAAATTATTCAACAATATAATCACAAATGCGTAAATATTTGAACTCACATCTGATTTTAGTCTTTTATTTTCACTATCTAATGATTCTAGTTTTCTTTTTAAAGAAGCCATTTCATTTTCTAATAAAAATGCCTTATTTTGATATTGTTTAACCTATATTAAAAAAAAAAAAATATATATATATATATACATTTATAATACAAATTAACACTTCCATCTGTAGGATTATTTATACTTTATTAGTGTCTTGATCCCTCAGAATTTGTAGAGAATTTATTTCTTGTTTTGAATTGGCATAATTACATTCTAAAAATACCATCTCTGCACGTATTTCATTACCTTTAAAACAAATTTATTTACATGTCTATCATACACTGAAAGCAAGTATCATACTTTGGTTGATTAACACTTCACGAAGTTCGTCTTTTTTTTTAATTCTTTGTTCTAGAACATTTATTAGTTCTTGTCTCTTTTCCGCATCTAATATATCATCAACATCTAGCTCAGGCAAAGGTGGTCCCAAATTTAAAAAACTGTTAAGAAAATAAAGATAATTAAAAAATATAAAATATGTATTTTCTGAAGAAAGTATACATACGTAAGGCAGGTTTCTTTGGTATTATCTTTTATTTTGTTATCAAGTGGTGTTATAGGTTCTTCTTCAAATACACATGGAATGCGATTCACTGACTGCATCTAAAAAATATGTTTTTTTTTTTTTTTTAAGTTTTGTTATTAAATACATTTTTAATTAGTTTACATTCAAATCTACTAGTTGTTAGTAATAAGTAACACTTACATCAACAATTTTTCTCCTTCCTGGAGTCAATCCTATATCCATACGTAATGGTGTGGTTCTTTTTACTTTGACACTACCAGACATTTCACCAAATTGCAGCACAGGCTATATAAATGGCACAATATAAATAAAGTTTAGCTGTAATGCCAATTTTTTAGATTTATACTTACCAATAATTCAGCATATTCAGATATGGGATTAATACAAATAAGCATTCTGATTGAACCAGAACCTTCAAAAAAACTTTTGAATAGATGTGTAAGACGTGATGTTCTATAAGGTATTTTCTCAGCAATATTTCTTAAATTACTGGAAGACTGATTTTCATATAAAATTTTGAGACATTGTTTTAAATTTGATAATGAATTATTAATTCCTCCTGTAAAAAATGTTATTAAAAATGAACAGAAATATATAATTAAGATAACAACAATTTTTACCAGCTTCTTGGAGTCTTTGTCCAGTTGTTTTTGCCTTATCAGCTCGTTCACTTCCAGCTAAATCCACCAGTGACAACTGACTAACAGCTGTATACTTTTTGTCTTGAATTACATTTACACCATCAACATCCAACGGTGCCTAATAAATATGTTGAAATACATACACATATATTTTAGTCTATCCACATTCTATATAGCTTAAGATTAAATACACAGACATTTATTTTATTTGGTGAATTGTTTTTGCTATACTTATACAACTATGACAATTTTATGCATTTTATCTGATATAATCAATATTTGTTCACAATTTTCAAGTATAACATTTGTTCATTAATATAATATTAAGTATACACCAAAATGTACATGCTACTCAATTAAACTACTATATTATTTGATTCAAGTGTTTAAAATATTTGAATATTACTTACTTGAACAACTCTAATAGTAAATACTGTATGACTACGACTAGAGTCCATGTTCAAAAATGTGGACGCTGTACGTTTTCTCAATTGTCCTTTTCGCAACAATTCAAAAGCTTCACCTGGATTGAATACTTCTTGTTCATTTACACCATGTACATACATATTGCCATTTGAGTCTTCCCGTATGATTTTACTATTTCTTTGATAAAACCATAAATATTACTAAACATTTTTTTATAAATTATTTTATAATCTTACCGTCTTATTTCTCCATCGGAAACATCTTCTAAAAGATCATAAACATAATTATGATAAATTTCTACGTAACTTATGAAAACTGAATATGCTACATCTTGATCTATGTCTGTAACTTTATAATTAAATGGAACACGTGGTGTATTAATATCTGCTTCTCTCCTAAAAAAATGCAATTAAAATATTTATCTTATATATAAAGTTTAATTTCTATGAATACATTTTTTTAAATTTAAAATAAATAGTTACTTTTTAAATGTTTTAGATGGATTTTTAACATTGTTTTTGAAATCTTCGGCTTGAAACATCATTGCGTCTTCAATACTATTAACATCATATCCATTAAGTTTGTCAGGCTTAAAAGTAAATCTTCTGGCTTGGAAATCTTTAATAGAGCTGAATACTACATCAAAACATCTACTAACAATACCACCGTCTTCCTGGTTCCCAGTCATTGTATATGACTTGCCACTACCTGATATTCCATACGCAAATAGCAGACTACTTTTTCCTAACAAAAGCTGTTCGACTAGGGGCAATCCCAAATCTTGGAATACCATATCTTGAGTTTCATATTCAGTGAATATTTTTTTGTAGCTAAATTGGCCTTCTCTAGATATTCCTCTTTCATTTGGCGGGCAATATATTTGTATTTCTGTGTCTGATATAACTTTTACACACGGAGATTCTACATTAGCTGAAACTGGTCGAAGTCGGCAATAAACTTGAATAGGATCTTTTTCATCGTCTTTGGATCTTTTTAAATTTACGGCTGGTTGACACCCAACTCTCTTCATCTATTTTAGTAAGCATACAAACATTTTTTAATTTAAAAATAATACTTTTATTGTTGAATATCTAATTTGTTAAATATATTCAGAAATTATATGGATACTGGTTTCACTCTCAGTCTACAGTAATTTTCATGATCTACATCTTGCTTACTGGTCTCATAGGCAATCTAATAATAGTAAAGAATTTATAGAAAAAGTAAGAATAATGTATCAATAGTCAACGGATAACTGGCGGCTGTATGATGACATTTATACTGGTACTAGAATTAAAATATCAATAAATTGATAGTATAATAATAATAATACAATTTTTTGATTAAAAAATTTAATGATATATTGTAGATCTTATATGAGACCGGCACCATTAAATATTATTAATTATTCATATGAATAACAATAAATAGAATTTGAAAAAGTTGTTAAGATTATTAAAAAATGTATTTAAATAAATTAGAACAAATAAGTTGTACAATTAGATACTAATGGATTATTAAACGATATAAAATTTTATTATTAAAGACGTGTACCTATGTGGAACAAACAATAGATTTAAAAAAAATAGGCACCTAGAAAAGTAATCTGGTTTTTTTATTTAACTTTTCATACAACAAAAATAATAGATTTATTTAGTATGTATCACTTACTTTTGAATTGTACAGAAACTGATGTGTATTTTTAAGTATCGGTACTAAAATTTATTAACTTGATTTAGATTTACATTTAAATATTTAAATAAATGTTCGTATAAATTGCACCCACAAGACCACAAGAAAACGAAACTACGAAAATATTACAATATTCAATATTCACCAAAAAATGACCGTTAAATTATTATCTATCACTTATTCAGTATTCACCTTGATTCATGCTTGTTTTGTTGTTATTATACCGATTGTCGGATATGGAAGCAATGCCTTGTTCGCATTCCTTTTCCAGTGTAGACAATAGTACAATAAAATGGACATGTAAAAATTGTTGAATAATGTAATACCACCGATTTACACAACATGTTAAAATGGCGCAACATAAATATGGTATAAGGTTATTTAATACTCCGATAAGAACTTTATTGATTACAATGAAAATTTGTGAGTGTTATGAATTGGTCTGTATTTATTGACAATAGGTAGTAATAATATTCTATTTCTATTTCATAGTAATTTTTCGACGTACATATTACGAATCAATATTTTTATGAGAAGTGCTTGTCAGTACTAAAAGCTACATCGGACTACCGGAAACAATATTTCTCATGAAAATGTAAGTTATTTTCCAATGACAATAATATTAGGATTGTTACAATAATACAAACACTGTAAGCTTAATACTTTATCATATCTTACTGATGTTTAATCATCTTTATAGATACGAATATTTTCGTTGTGTAAAATAATAATACTTTTGACCCATTTGTTTTATATAGTGTTCGAATTAGAATTAATAAAAATAACATGGACACCAATACTTATGTGTATCATTAGGTACTGATAATGTAATGTTTGGATGAACCATAAATAATTTTTTAGAATTATAGAAATTTGATTTATTATTTTGTAGTTCAATGTATTTATATTATCATATGTTGATCTTTTGACTTCATTAAACTATAATCAATGGTTCTGATTGTTTCTTTTTTTTTTTTAATGAATCATATTTATGGGTTGTCTTGTCGCATTAACAGACAAAACAGAATCTTGTTGTGACCACATATCCCAGTAGAATGATCAAGACGGTCATATACCTTATCAATTTATAATTTAACTCATATGTGCCCTTTTGTTAGGTTCCTTATATGATGTATTCTATTGTTTATTCACATCTGAACAATAATGTTAACACAAGTGTAATATCGACTGTTACCAGTATAAAATTATGTTGGTTCATTCAAAAGTCATTATCTGATTTTATTTCTTTTAGATTTTAAACATAACAAGGGATTTATTGGTGTTACTATAATATATGTTTATTTTTTTTGTATTTGTGAACAATCTTGCTCCAATCAAAAAATCTCAAGATATCACCTTTTATGTTGCATTTTGGATTTTTTATAATATGTGTATATACGGTGGGAGCATGGTATGCCGAAATGTATTTTTTGACCAGGGAAATTTAAGGTAAAACACGTAAAATCATCACATTCTCTCTGTTGTCCTGTCCATAATGGATTTAAAATTATATTCATATAATCAAATATTTGTTATGGTTTTATTTTGAATTTCGTATTATGTTATAATAATGTTTTAATGGTTTTACTATATTATTAGTTTCCTTTAAAAATAATATTTTTGATGAATCATATCGAAAACAATTCTTAGTCACTCATTAGTTCCCTCAAACAGCCCCAACAAACGCATTTATAAAAGGCACCAGTGCAGGCACCAGGCATGATCACCAGTGTTCTGTTTACAATTTATTTTAATACTTTCTATTTTGTATAAAAACTTCATTCTGTAGTTAGTATAATTTTAATAGTTAATTAATTGTTATTTTTTGGTATTATTTTACAACCTGTTCTTTCTTTATAAATATTATATATTAACTGGAATTCTAATGAATTCTTATTTTACTTACTCATACAATTGTATTACTAAAATAAATGTTTTTTACGTAGGATGTCTTGCTCCCTTGGACTACATTTTTAAAACCAATGTGCAGTTTCTGAAATGGAACTTTTAAACTTTTAAATACAAATTATAAACATTAATTTTTTGAGAAATCACAAAGCTAAAAGAGATAATTTAAAACAATAGAAATATGAAAAACCAAAAACATATATAAATAAATGATCCACTGAGAAATTCCCTGTATTTTAGTGGGCCAGTATAGAGTTGACCATACTATATCTCACTACTAAATATTTTACAATTAAATATAACAATACATATCTAGTAAATAATAGTTATTCAATATACACGTATAGTGTTTGAGTGTAAAATATTTTCAATAATTAATACTAATTTAAAGCAAAAAAAATGTAAAATGCCCTGTGCTCTGAGAATATTCCCTAAAAATCATTTTCATACAATTTTAGAACACTAAAATTTATGTATAATACTTACCTTGACTTTTTTGATTATTAATTAGGTATTTTATTTAATCATCTTTGGAACTTATTCTAATTTGGTTTTCATTTAGATAAAATTCTGAATACATTCAATAATTGAGATCAAGATGAGTGATGATGATCGTGATATTGAGTTAGAGACAGCAGAAAAGCGAGCACACCATAATGCATTGGAACGTAAGCGACGTGATCATATTAAAGACAGCTTCACAAGTCTGAGAGATTCTGTTCCATCATTACAAGGCGAAAAGGTTGCAAGCCGTGCGCAGATATTAAAAAAGGCAGCTGATTACATACAGTTTATGAGACGCAAAAATGTATCTCATCAACAAGATATCGATGATCTCAAACGACAGAATAATATTTTAGAATCTCAGATTAGAACGTTAGAAAAAGCCAAGGCTACTGGAAATTATGCTATGGAGTCTAGTGAACTAGCTTTAGATGTGTCAGGATCAGAAAACTCTGATATATCAGATGGTGAACTTCAGAAGTCTAAAAGAAGATTAAAAAAACAGAAGTTTGGTTATTAGACTCTAATTTATTTTAAATTTGTATTTATCTATTACATATGAGGTAGGTTAATAATTTAAACACGATCTTATTTGATACAAATTAAAATATGTTAAGATTAACAGTTTAATGAAAAATATGATTCTAATTGTTAATTTTTTTTTATATAACATCATTTTTAAAAATTGACAGATATTTGTGAACAAAATAAATAAAAATATATTACATATATATATATAAATAAATTTGATTAGCACAATCACATTGTGTTTTTTCTTTAATAATTTCTAAGAATATTTGCCAAAAATAGATGTTATACAATAAATAATTAACTCTGTATCTGATTTTTCATATTTTATTAATAACTTAATTACATTTACCTATAGAGTAGGAATAAAATATATTTAAAAAATTCACAACACACTTAAGATAAAGTATTAAACAATTATTCATTATTAGTTTTGCATTATATTATATGCAATGATTAGATTAAGATTGATTTTATAATAATATTATTAATTAATATTAATATAATTGATTCTATTATAATATTAAAGTATTAAATCAATTGATTATTAACGAAAACAAGTTTATTTCATTAAAAGTATTATTATTATGTTGGCAATTGAATCTAATATTTCCAATATTTCAGTTTTTCATTTATAAAATCATATATTATATAATAGTACCACTTAACTTAGAATTATGCATATATATTATATGTATATACGTATAAAATATTTATACATAATGTATATTATAAAAAAATAAAATAAAAGCTGTTATGTTCATTGTTTTTTTTTTAATTAAATAATATTTGGAAGATGTTGTTTTGGATGATATATTTAATTGTAGATTTATAGTTTTTTGTTCATTGTTATTTTTTATTTATATGTAAGCTTGTACATTATGTATTATTTATTTTAATAATATATTAGGCTATTAACATACATTTTTTTCTAAAATAGTGTCACATTCAGGATAATATTTCATACATATGAAGTATAATATTTTTAAGTGATTAGGTTAAATTTTTATGTTATTAATGATTATATTAAATTAATTATTTGTAATACAATAAAAATTAAGAATAGCAATATAGTACACTGGCATATTTTGATCCTATATTATGTTGTAATTGTTCTTTAGTTTTTAAACATTAATCAAGTAGACGCTAAAATCAGTAAAATACATACCTACTATAGTTTATGTACACTTCTTGTTAATTAATACTGTTGCCTTAAGTCATTTTTTTCACTATTTTCAATCATTTGTTAATATTGAAATGTGCAATGAATTAATTTTACCACAATTAATTGTATTTATTTTATATATAATTGTACACTTCAGTTTCAACCTGATACAAACATAGTTTTATAAAAATAGTCAAGTATTTTTTCTTAAAATTTAAATTTAACCAATACATTTAAAAGTTACTACATACAGAGTATAATATGGTGTATAGTGTATATTTCATACCCCATAATTTTGAATTCTTTCATAAACCAGGTACAACATACTTATAATGTAAGATTACTATAATGCTATTTTATGAAACATTAATTTGTAAAAAACTGGTAAATATCAATATGTACTCACCTAACTAACCCACCTATTTAAATATTTTCAACTGGAAAAAAACATAAATTTACATTTAAATTAAATAAAATAATTAAGGTCCTAAAATGATGTCCAAACTACAATAATATTGTAAATTATAATATAAAGTTAATAATATTAAAAAATGCTTTATTTTATATCTTTTTAAAATTTATGAATTATTTATATACCACCTCTAGAATATGCTAATATCAGAAAGTATTTGGCACAAATTTCAGTTTCTTATGATTTTTTTTGATTGGGCTACCACTGAAATTTGTTCAAACCCACAAAAAAATGTATTTTGTAAAGTTCCGTAATAATCGGTAAACCTTAAGGCATGCCTCAAGAGGGTTGAAGTTCAAATAAGGGTGATTTTTAGATTTTTGTAATTTTAGTCTAAAATTTTTAAGACAGACAAAAAAGTGTAACAATATATTTTTTAAATTGTTTATCCTACAAAAAATGTTATTTGTACATTTTTCATTTAACAACTCGAATGAGTTACAAAATAAAAAAAAACTAATTTCTAGTATATTTTACATGGTAATAGCTTGTACAATATAATATACTTTGTACTAAGACAATTTACAACGTAACTGCATAAACAACTTTATAGTAGCTATTAAATAGTCCACTAATAACATGGTTAAAACGCATGCTTCATACAAATGGAAAGCTGTGCAATATTAACTATACACGTTCTAACATGTCTGCCTAAACTAGCGCAGACATGATACCTACTCACGTTTTTGCGACGTTGACTAGGTCCTGTGACAACACGTAGTCTTCGAATGTTAAACATGTCTTTACAGGTTTGTTATTCACTCGGTTTAAGATGTATTATCTATTGTTTATATTAATTCGAACATTGTCGTCACAGCTCAGTTTATAATTGTCCACACACCATCGACGAACAGACTTTTTGATTTTAAAAATGGACAGTAAAATCAATATACGTAAACGTATTTATTTAATTGGTACTAGTTTTCATCAACTGGTTGGATGCAAGTCACCATCAAACAAACAAGTTTTATCGGTCCTATTTTTTTAATATTCGAGAAGTCAAGTTAAGTTTATGTGAAAGTGCGCGGTTAGTGATTGACGAAACGTTAATATTTTGGCAAAAAGCCAATTATGTTCTTCGAGTGATACAGAAGAAAGTTTGTCTGATGATTGTGATTTAGCCCAACACATACAAGATAATACCAAAAACTCTATTACTGTGGAAAGCTGTGAAGATTCTGCCGGCCCTTCAACTACTAGACGAGGAAGAACAGCATTCATCAACGATAAACTGTTTTAGATAGATGCAAGGTAAGTGACAGAGATGCAACTCATATTATAATTAATGAGCGATTACAATAATTTAATCACTAAAAACGAAAATCAAAAGCAATTTTTAATTCAGACCATACATGATTACCGGCAAAGATACCCCAACGCTAAAAAAAATACACTAAAAAATTATTAAATANTTAATACTAAAAACTAGTTTTTTTTTTTGGGGGGGGGGGGTGAATAAAAAAGTACAAGTAACATTTTATATGGCATATTTAATTTAAAAAATATTTTATTCCTATACTTTTTTGTCTATCTTAATTATTTTAGACTAAAATTATAAAAATCGGAAAATCATCCTCCATTGAACTTCAACCCTTTTGAGGCACGCCTTAGAGTTGAACAATTACTACGAAACTACACAATTCATTTTTTTATGGTTTCAAACAAATTCCATGGGTAGCTCGATCAAATTTTAAAAAAAAATAATAAGGACCACCCTAATGTATTTATTTTTGAAATTAATAATATATATATATATAATAATGATAACAATGTTAGGCTTATTACAATTAATTAATATTTACTTAATAATGACGAATAAAAATCAGAGTTAGTAATATACGAATAATTGTTGTAATTGTTGATATCAGTTTATCGATATTTACTCATTGAATTTGGTAATTTATTGAATTTTATCTCCACCCACCCCGTCTATTACTAACCAAATAGTCTTATAAACTAGCCTCTAAACATTTTGAAACTTAAAAAACATTATCGGCCTCAGGTTAGTAGAAAAAGTTGTTTATAATATTATTACTGCATATTGTATTTTATATCTGAAACGGGCCCAATAACATTGCATAGAATTACAAAATAATCAACAAGAAAATGTACAATATTTAAGATTAAACAATATGACTATATTACTGTAATCATAAAACTATCCTAAAATTAAATCATTACGATTTATACTATGAATATACTTATAGATTGGCTTTAAATACGTATATTTTATTATTATAATGCATATTCTATCTTATCTTGTCACTCTACTCATTTACCTTGCATTTCCCCTAAACTCATTCTCTGTTATATTTTTCTGTTTAATGACCGACATTCTGAACCATATAACAAAATTAGTCTCACCATACTTTTGTAGAACTTACCTTTAAGTCTCATTTGAATTCACGGTGAAACTAATAGATCCCGCTCGCTCAGAATCTAAAATGTAAGATAATGTGCAGTGACCAAAATATAATATAATATTATAATTTATGAAGAAAATATGAACAACAAATAGCTGATACTGAGGACGAGTGTGCCATTATTGTAGGTTGGAAGTTGGGAAGGTAAAATGTATAAATTGAATAATTTATATTTGTGTAACCAATGATAAACCATTGCTATCGAAAAACGATTCTGAACGAAGTTTGGTTATCCGTGTTTTGCAAGGTCGTAATATTTACGAATTTCGTTAAAATATATTAAAACTATTATAAAACAAATATTTCTTTACACTCAACTTTACCACTGAGTAAAACATATAATCTGCTCCTGTTAATTTTTCTAACATTTCTGTTTTATCAAACAATTTTATCTAAAGAATATCTACCAAAAAAAATTATATAAAATCTCACAAAATTAAAATATCTATAAATAGCTCAAATATCACTAAAATATTTTTAAAGTTTCACCATTTCTAGAAAAGGCAAATATAAGTTTTCTTTCAAAATTTCGAGTCTCTATGAATATTTTAAATTGAATTATAATAAAAAAATAAAACTGAACATAATAATAATATTATTTTTCGTAAATTTTCCCATTCTTTTTTCGGTTTCGATCATTATTAAAAAACTACATAGAAAATCAAAAAAAAAATTTCATACTTACCAACCAGATTAAAAATTCAACAAAAATAATATCTATTTTCGTTTTTTTATCGGAGCAATATTTCTAGGAGAAAACATAAAGCGTAAACATTTATAATAAAATAATTATGTACACGTCGTAAATTAATTTTACTAATTTAATTATTAAAAATAGTTTTCATTTTTCGTCTTTCTCCGGTTTTTCTCAATTGTTATGAAAAATACTTGTAAAAAAAAAAAAAAAAAAAACGAATTATTTACTCAGCACCGAGATTGATTTTATAATCGATATTGTAATTTTTAAGCGAGACGCGAGCAAAGGTATTACAATATCGAAAAAAACGAATGTACAAACACAAACAATGTTCTATTACGTTTAAATTTTTTCTAATATTAAAATCGGAAGAACAAATTTGGTCATGCCTGCTGAATGAAAATAGATTGTAATTGTACATTTTCAGGAACAAGATTAGGACAGGTTAAGAGAAATTCACTGTTGAGATCAATGTTGAGCGTAATCGATTACGGTTTACGATTAATTTATTAAAGTACATCAGTTAATAATCGATTAATCATTTTTAATATCGATAAATAATCATGAATCATGATTGCATATTTTTTAATAGTTAATCATTATCGCCGAATTCGTCGCATAACTGTAACTGCCTACACGCATACAGAGTCGTGCTAACTGCCTAGTACAGCGGTTCTCAACCTTTTTATAGTCGCGTACCACCTACACCACTTGAAAATTTCTACGTACCACCTGACCATTTCTTTGCTTATTAATAATGTATACGTTTATGTTACATGTATAGAATTTTATTTTATTAGGAATTACAAAATGAGATAATATAAAATAAATACGTATATATAATAAACTATAAAGTAATTAACGTATATATAATAAACTATAAAGTAATTAATGCACAAAAAGAAATTAAATTAAATCAAATTAAGAAATTAAATTAAATCAAATTAAATATGTAAAATTATTATAATTATTATGGTTTACTTTTTACTTCAATGAGACGTTTGGTGTTGTTTTGAACGAACGATGACATCAATATCGGGCTCCAAATTGGTAACTTTAAGTCTTAAATCACTTTCTACGTTTAATCTACTTCTATATTTATTTTTTATGTACAATAAGTCAGAAAATGTTTTTTCGCNCGCACAGATATGTTGATACAAAAGGGATTAAAAACTGTAAAGCTTGTGTGGACAATGCCGAGTATTCTTTTTTCACGTCCAGCCAAAAATTAGTGATATTTTTGTTATTGAAAGCGGTTTTTAGGGTAGAGTCACTGGTTAAGTCAATAAATAATTCTTTTGCCAAAATGCCATCTGGAATATTCTTAATATAATCATCTACGAAAGGGTTTATGATCCATTTCATTTCTGAGTTATCCTCAGGGAAATATTGTAAAACATTGGATTTTAGTGATTGTAGGTGTTCCGAAATGTCTGTAATTATATTTGAATTTGGCTGAACTTCGTTATCGTTCCAAAATGTGTTAAGTGTCTCGAATGCTGAAAGATCATTCTTAGATACTTGCGAAATAAATAAATCCAACTTTCTCACAAATGCATTAACTTTATCACTAGTATAAAACATGTTTGTGTTTGATCCTTGCAGACTTAAATTTAAAATATTTAAACGGTCAAATATGTCAGCCATGTAAGCTAGTCTTGACAGCCATTCGACATCACAAAACAATTTGGACTTTTCTTCATCAATATCAGTCAGAATTAATAAAACTTCTGACCTTAGCTCGAATAGTCTGGTGAGGACTTTTCCTCGTGAAAGCCACCTTACCTCTGTGTGGAGAAGAAGAGAGTTATGAGTACTGCCCATTTCGTTACATAATACTGTGAATAATCTTGAATTGAGAGGTCTGGCTTTGATTAGATTTACGATTTTGACAGCACTATCAAGAACTAATTTTAAACTTCTAGGCATGTTTTTGGATGCTAATGCTTGCCGGTGAATCATGCAATGCATAGTTTTACATAATGGGGCAACTTTTTTTATTCTTGTTGCAACTCCGGTCAGCCTTCCAGTCATTGCCCTTGCTCCATCAGAACAAAAACCCACACATTTACTCCACGGCAGATCTATTTCAATCAAATATTCATTAATGGTTGTAAAAATAATTTCTGATGTTGNTAATTTCATCATTGCGATCGAAACGTATGAATACAATTAATTGAGCCATGTTAGCAATATCAGTACTCTCATCAATTTGTAGAGCAAAGAAATTACAATCTTTCACATAAAGCAATATTTTTTCTTTTATATTCGACGACATGTCATCAATTCTTCTTTGACTGTATCGTTTGAAAGTGACACTTTTTCTATCTCTTTTGCAGCCTTGTCTCCAAGAACACATCGCACGATTTCTTTTGCTGCTGGCAACACTAATGTTTCCCCAATTGTGTGTGGTTTTCCATCTTTAGCAATAATTAAACTTTCTAAATAAGATGCTTTAACGATATTTTCATTAAAGTTCGTAAAACTAGACATGCATTTCGATTCCTTTCGGAAAATAGTAACTTTTCTCTGAAAAAATTCAATAGGTTTATTTTCTGTTTCTGGATGCTTCGATAATTGGTGGCGCTTAAGTAGCGATGGCTTCATGCTTTGATTCGAAAGTGTTTCTTGACAAATTACACATTGAGGTAACGGAGTAGATTCTCAGAACCAAATTTTACAACGAATCCAAATTGTAAGTAACTATCGTCATATTTACGATTCGCCTGTGTTTTCTGTTTTTTAGTATTTGAGCTTCCGCTTTCGAAAAATCTTTTCATTTTACTTAATTTTATATCACAAAAAAGTTAGAAAAAACTACATAAAAATGTAAAATTTTAATATAAAATAAACTTGATGCAAACAATTCGTATGACACTCGTGAATAAACTGAAAGAACTCACGAAACTAAGGTAAAAACGCATTATTGTGAATTAAGAATACGCTTTATCGGGTATATTTGATAAAGTTTATCGATTTATATTATATATATATAGAATATCGCTATCTTAATTGCTACGATTACAAACGACCTCCACACCATCAAATAAACCAAATAATATTTAATGATTCATTCCAAATTTTTTTATAAAGAGAAATTTTCTTCGCGTACCACCTATGAGCTTTTCGCGTACCACTAGTGGTACGCGTACCATAGGTTGAGAACCGCTGGCCTAGTATCATTGGCGTCACAAGACGATCACCGTGTTTAATTATAGACTATAATACATATGCATACAACATACGTTATGTTATTACAGTTAAGTAAGAAGTATAATGGTCAAGCCCGGATTAATGGCCCCGCAGGAAGGGCCATAGTCACCGAGCCGCCCAACTCCAAGGGTCTCAATTTTTTCCACAGTACCTATGGTCTTTATGTACGCATTTGACCGTTAACTTTGCGCTTACTTTTTGATATTTCAATATTTGTGCGTTATATTTTTTTTCTGGCTTTTGAATTGAGATCTGCATGATGTCTACACTATATTAATTATTTTTCTTTTGTTAAAACGCGTTTATTAGTAAACGTTTTTAAAAAATGTATTGGTATTATTAGTCTTTCAACGAGAGCCCCGTTGAAAAGTTTAGCCCCGGGGCCTCTAAATGTCTTAATCCGGACTCGATAATGATGAATATGTATGAAGTAATAAAATGTATATTGGTATTATTGTATTAGATAATATATTATTTAGCTTTAAAAAAATATAAATTTACAAAACGTCAACCATCTATATTATATAAATTCTAATATCTAATACTGCAAGGAACTAATGAATCGTAACAAATTAATTAATTTTGTTATCGTAATGAATCGTACTGTGATTCATTAATACTAAAATCATTCAAAATAATTTTTTACTGAGAATATTGATTAAAACTACAAGTTTCAACGGTAATCTTAAATCAACAATCAGATTACGATTTGCTCGACATTGATTGAAATCTTGTAACAAAATCCGTAAACACTTATTAAAATAAAAACAAGCAAAGTTTTAATAGTTTGAATATTTATTAATATCATTTTTTTTTTTTTTCTTTAAGTAGGTACATATAGGTACAATACAATACATTAATACCTAATAAATGCTTAAAATATGTATGATAATTGATAATATGATAATATATGATATGTATGTAATATTTATCAGCATCAAATATATAATTTGGTTATTAGAGAAAAAAAAAAACAAACAGTTAAAATTCCATTATTGATACGTTTACAAGATAATTGATATGTATAAAGTTGCATATTATTATACGATTATTGGGCGAATCCACTGTAGACTATTATTATATTAATATACCTACATAAATGTATATTTATATATTTATTAAAAACATTTGGCTAAACTATATAATAGTGAATAATAATTTAAACTAAAAAGAGAACAATATAACACGTAATATCGTGAAACTAATATAATATACATATAGGTAAATATAATTATGTAAATATTAAAATATATGTTATATGGCGTATACATTATGATAATAAAGATAATACAGGTAATATAATTGTATAATAATAATGCCTTTGTCATATGGGTGCACTTCGATTATTTTACCACATTTTAGTAGGTAGGTACCGTATAATATAATACAGTAGATAGGTATGTAGGTACCCGCGGAACCGGACGTTTCACGGTGAACTATATTCGGCGTGAAGTGTAATTGTTTTAATTATTACCGTTTTACGCGTATTAGGTATTGCCGTTTAACGTCATTTCAACGCAATAAATGCATCATGTAAACGACACAAATATCGACGTAAATCTACGATTCGATTTACAAATGGCCGTTCACCATTACCGCCATAATGCTATTTTCCAACTAGTCACTGACTCCTTACGTTCCTTAATTCATTCGTGAGATGGCACGGATGGTATCCAAGATGGCGTCATCACAGAGTAATGTTACTCCATACGAGTCGGCTGGCGGTGAGATGTGGTTGTTATCAGCGATACCGCCGCTGATGAATTCAGAAACACAGGGGCATTCGCCGTAATACGCGCATCTCGTTCGTATTCTGTTTACAGTATTGTATGGTATTGCTCGTAGTATTTGTCAGGCTAAAATAACGGCAAACGATAATTATGGGCGAAATGTCGCACACATCTGAACAATTACATCCCGCGCCAACACCGGGCTTCCACGCCGAAACGGCCACCCCGAAACGTCCGTAGACCGTAGCACCCGTTATGTAACGAGTATTGGTGGAACAATATTGAAAAACAAAAATAAATATCTAACAATGTAAATCCGCCTCAAATCATGGTAAAGTATGACGTTGTTGTAATAATTATATAATTTTAACGAACAGTATAGTATAGGTATGTATATAAGTATAATTATAATGTATATAGGTAGTATATAATATATAATAATGCTCCGTCGTATATAATAATATATAGGTATATATCACAAAATATTAAAAATAATTAAAAAAAAATAATATTACTTAAAAATTACGATTAATATTATATTTTATATAATAAAACATCAAAAAACACATAAAATTTTACATTTTCATAACAATAATAATAATAATAATAGTAATAATAATAATAATGAGAATAATAAAATTAGTTAAAATACTATTGTTTATAGGACGTTTAAATCACAATTTGTGGGCTAGGACCGTTTATTATAATATGTAATTATAACATTCAAATTATCTATTGTAATAATTGACGAGCAGACGGGGTAATGGTCTTAAAAAAACTAATCCTCACGCATTTAAGTTTGTTGGAAACGCCGGCGGCGGTTATATTATTGTAATATCGTGTTGCTACATAATATTTTTATAATATAATAGGTACCATATGATATGTTTTGTCGCTGTACGGTGTACTTGTTTTGCTTTGAACGTATTTTATTTTTTCATGTATATTATTACAGATTAGGGAATCTAACCTAATCTAACCCCTCCTAACGTACACATATAATAAATATGTCTATTATTTATTTTAAGTGTTTACAATTTACAATCAATCCCGGATTAAGGGGTGGGGGTAGGGCGTGACACCTGGACCGCAAGGCTCCGAGGGCCTCAGTTATTTACCAAAATTTGTCCTTTATATCTGCGTTCAATGCGTTCAATCATTAAATTTGTGTTTTGATATTTTATTACTTTCGATATGATTTCATTGCATGAAGATGTAGTCCTATTGGTGAAAACGACTAGTACGGTTTTTTTTAATTTTTTTTTTATAAAAATATATTTATTTAATTATAAAATACTTGTATCTTTTGAATTGAGATCTATTATCACTGTATTATTTAATGTTTTTCTTTTGTTAAAACACAATATTGTCATATTGAATAATAATGTGTAGAGATTTTTTTGCCATCGTAATTATTTTTGACGACCTCATTAAAAAGCCTCGGAGCCTCTTAATATCTTAATCCGGACTTATTTATAATGTAAAATAATAACATGTACGGTGTACCTACGTCTGCAAATGTGTAATAGTTACAAATTCTCGATGTTTTTTTTTTTTTCAATGTTATATTTTTTATGTATCGCGCAAGTTTAATAATAATAAGTAGGGCCCTGAATTATATTCTCTTAAAACCCACAAAAAAAACTCTGAATATCAATTAAAAAGTATTTAAAATAGCGAAAAATGATTTAAAAGTCCCATGATATAATGAACAGAATTTTTTTTTATATTATTAAGTACAATTATATTTAAAACAAATTCATTTGTGTTGATTATTTTTGTAGTTGTAGAGAGTTTAGTTTAATAAGTTAAAAGTGTTAGGTTTTTTATGGTGTTTTAAATATTTTTTTAAATGTTTTTTTTTTTCAGGGCTTTTTTTGACGTAATGCTTAGAATATGTGGATTCTAAGAGAATATAATTCCGGGTTCTAATCATAGGTAATCATTTTTAGGATTAGATAGGTATATGAATTTTATTATATCTTATATAATTTTAAAAGTATTAGATAAGACAATTGATGGTTTAAAAAAAAAAAAAATACCTATAATCGTACCTAATAATACTTTAATTTTTATTGTAGGACATTGAAATAATAATAATATTATATGACAATTAATTTTCAAAGTCACGTACAGAAATATTATATCTCAAATATAATATAATAGTTTTTATTTTCTATTAGATACAAATCAATAATAAACAGAACGGAAATTTGAATTTACAATTATATGGTAAATCTCAAATTCAGTCAAATTTTCAGTTCGCAATAATAATATAAGTAATACCTGTTCAGGTACACATAATATAATAATAATGTATATGGCGCATATTATATTATTTATTATTTCATGTGCATTTATATTATTGCATATTTGATTAGATAAAAAAAAAAGATTTATTGACGACATCTACACTAGTAATTATAGTAATATAATTATATTTAAAAAATATAGGTAAGTTTTAAATATAAACATATTTAGTTATTCAGTTATTAATTAAATTACTATAATATTATTAATATGTTATTAGGATATTAATGTTGTAACGAGAAAACAATTTAGGGAGAGGAGTGTAATTTTGCAAGTATTTCAATCGCTTAAAGTCAGTTTCTTTATAAATTTAAAAAATAGTTGTCGGAAATATTTTGAGGGAGAATTTAAGTTAATAACCCAACTGTCAAAATAAAGGTACACGTCAGATACACAGATATTATGTATCTACTCTAACCTAACCAATACCTAAATTTTACGTCTACCTATGATTCAGTAAACATTCGAATGACAAAATTATTGATAATACATACTATTTTTTATTAACCATGCATAATTGAATTATTCTAAGGTCATCATTACCATAGTATTAAAAAATAAGTACGTTTTATATGTTATGGTAACAGAACGATTAATTATAGACAGCCTATTATATGTGATTAATTCAAACATATACGTTTTTTTTAAACATTTGTTTCAAAATTCACATTAAGTGACTAAGTTTGTTTAATGGAGGCCTGTTTCAAACAAAGATACGTCTTTGTAGTATACCTACATATTTAAATTAATTGTTTAAATGTATTTTGTTAGGATATAGTTAAAATTAATTTTTCATTCCTGCTAGGTGACATTTAAATATTATTATTACCAAGACTGTGCAAATCGATGATAAAAACCATGAAAAAAAAAAAATGTATTATTATTGAATCATAAATTGTATCACACAAGTAAAAATTTGTTTTGCGTGAAGAACCATAGTCATAACAAATATTTGTTTTATTTGTCTATCCCCGCGCGTATAAAATATATAGGCAAGACATTTCGATCTCCCACGTTTACGACTCTTCAGTGATATTAAGAAAAAGGGGCTTATACATTTTGTAAAGATGAGCATTCGCTTGGAATTCCATAAATGATTTTTTAAATAGGTACCTATTTAAATTTTTATCAAGATATGCGTGTTTTAATTGAACTGAATTTCTCTTAATTTTAATAATTAATAATTCATTAAGAAATAAAAATCAAAAAAATAAAATTATTCGTAGAAGCCTTAGCGAGTTACTCTTCTGTACAAAATGTGTAATGGGTTCCTTTGTTCTAAACTAAAACGGGGAGTCGTAAGTGAAAATTATTTTGTTACTAATATATTAGGTGTAATACTAACAAAGAGAAAACAAATGTTGGTGACAAGACTCTTCAATTATTTTATGGTAAAATAAGATGGGTGAACTATGAGTTTTCATAAATCATTTAATAATATCATTTTTGAGTACATTTAAATTGTTTTACCCTGCTATGAATCCGTTTTTCACATTCCATATAGTTCTTAATTTAATTTCTTGCTTTTGAATATATGTCATTATTTTATCATGAACTAGTAATTTTCTCGGACGATTTTAAGTGAAATTGATTTCTGTTTTTTTTTTTTTTTTAAATCTTCGTTTAATACAATTGTTAATTTAAAACAGTTTTTAAATATTCACCTCTACTTTATGTTCCTTAAATAAGTATATACTTTTGATTTTCAAATAGGAACCATTCTTTTAAAACAACGGTTTGAATATATACTATTTTTGTAGAAATGGTGATATGCATAACACTAATATCAGATTTACCGCTTACGAGTTATAACAGTTTAAAGTTTAGACCTGTGGAGTTAGTAATGATAATAAATTGCTTTCTATTTTTAAATGGTAAATTCAAAATTCTTCCCTACATCTTCAGTCTAAACTTTAAACTATTAGAACTCATTAACGTTAAATCTGATATTATAATGTATTCTGAAAAATGCTTATCCGGAAAAATATTCTTTATTTTAATCTAAGATGCAAAGGGGGTTGCTATTTAAAAATCCAAAGTGTTATATTTTTTAAATTTTTTTTTTAATCTTTTTTATTATTATTTATTATTTATATATATATATATTTTTTTTTTTTGAAGTATAAAGTTTGGGAGTAAAAAGTTGAAAATAAAGTTTAAACGATTCCATGATAAAAAAAAAAAAAAAAAAAACAGGAATCAAATTCATTTAAAAACTTCTGAGAAAATTATTAGTTTTTGATAAAAGAATCGCCTTGCATTGAAGAATAATAAACCTATATGTTTCAATTTGTATAAGCTGTTAAAATAAATTAACTTTCAATTTACGTAGGTTTCTAAAATGACTCAAATTATTTTTATAATAATTTTCTTATGTTAGGTTATATTTATTTACTTATAATTTACCAAGGCTGGGCAAGTTAATGAATAAGTATATCTCAAGTACTTAAGTTATTTTAAAAAAAGTTTTCACGTTAAAAGTTAATTGTTTTATTAGTTTATTAATTTTAGTTAAAAGTTAGTTTGTTGAGAAAATTGAATAAACTTTTTATTTTAAGTTGAATAATTATTTTGGTTATTTTTTTACAATTGCTATTATTATAGTAAAAATGATTATATTAGAATATTTTAATTTTTGAACTCCATATACATTATTGAGTAAAAAAAAAAATTAAACATTTTAATTTATACGATTCAAATAATGTGTAGATTGTAGGTACATTTAATATTGTGTTCATTTTCAAGAAAAAATTAAGACTAACCCAACGTGATTTCATCTTAACTCTAATTTAACTCGTTTATTAGGTTACTGTAAACCAAATATATTTAGCTAAAAGTTAAGTAATACAAAATTCAAGTGTTAAAAACAAGGCTAAAAGTTAAAATTGACTTAATTGATTATTTTTCACGGTAATGATCAACCTTGTAGTTTAATGAAAAAACAAAAATAAATTATTTTTCTCTCATCTATTCATCAATACGTGTATTTATAATCTTCAAAATAATAATAGTATACTATCTATAGTTAGGTTAGCTATAAAAAATCTTTATTAGTTCATTACGCTTATGCAATAGATTCTAGAGAGCTGATAAGAAAAATTGTCTCTTATTATACTAACTATCGGCCTCGTACAAGTTTAGTATACGATCTGTATTTGCAGTGTGGTCTACCCGTGGGCGGTCAAACGGAGAGGAGAGAAGGGCATATATGGGGATATACCCCCTTATTACCTCAATTTATTAACTATTAATAATAATATACAGGGTGATTTTTAGCTTGTTCACTCCATGTTTATGGTTAAATTACATATAAATTCAAATTATGATTTTTGGAATTTCAAGTTAAGTGAAAAAAAAACCGATGTTTTAAAATTACTTTATGACGACAACAATTTTTATTTTTAAATGAGAACTTAAACGTAAATTGTCAATCAGATGATTTTTATTTTAATAATGTTGATATATTGAAATCGAAACTTTATTATTTTAAACATAAGTTTATAAGTATTATTCTACTTTAAATTATGGATACAAACTACACAAATTAAAACAAGAAATTGTCAATATTTAACTCCTATAAAACAGTCGATATTCAATCTTTGTAAAAAGCTAACACTCTTAGTATCTAAAAGAGAATAACTCCGAAACTTTTTCGTTCAAATTTCGATTGTAATATTACGTTAACATTTTAAGAAAAATCATCTGATTGATAATTTGCATCAAAAAATATAGGTTTTCATTCAAAAAACCAAAGCTTTTATCGCCTCAGGATACTCCTTAAATGCCGTGAAAATTCAATGTATGTAATAATATGGTTTTTTATTGTATGCTAAAATCAAAATAGAAATTATGCATAATTTATTCAAAAAATGGAGTGACCAATGACCATGTTTAAGAATCACCTTGTTAGGTTAAGTTAGCTATATAAAAAAATTATGTAAATTATAATTGTTCTTAAAAATTATCATTATCCCCCCCAATAACTAAACTATTTGACCTTCATACAAAAAAAGTTGCAAATTTATCATATGTTTTGTAATTTTAAATATTTTATACCTATATATATTATTTAACACTCTGTATTAAATCTAATATTTCGTTACAATAGAGATATATTTTCCAGATGGTTTTAACTATTAAAAATGTACTTTTAAACAACGAATATGTCAACCTACGTCAAAAGTGTGATGTGATTTTATGTTGTATATTAGACATTTATAATATATATTAAAAATCGTTCTATAATTTTTATACTCAATTTTACCACAATTAATTATAATGTTTATAACGAATTTTTTTTCAAAAAAGAATAATGATAATATTTAAGTTTTCAATTTGATGAGATTTGTACGTTAATAAATGGGAAATCAGGAAAAGCCGGTCATAAATAAACGACAGCAATCGATGAATTCAAATCTGTTTTCAGAATGCGTATTGGACCAATAGAATGATCGGTGGATATTCGGTATTGTATTAGAAGTAAATATGATGACATTATTATGTTACGAGCGTGACAGATCGTGACAAAAAATCACCAATTCCAATCTACATAGATTAATGATTAGTAGTACATATTATTGTTATTGTTATCTTATAGCCGATAGCAGATTATGTATTTATGTGAAGGTGGTAAATTAAATGGCACAGTTTTGAAATGGGTAGCGAGCGTCCAAAGAATTTAAACACATACATATTAATTTGCCTAATGTTTTTTACCAGGTACACGTAAGGCCTAAAATAGATCACATAGATTAACACTTTAATTTAAAGTCGTTTAATAATTTTTGAGGTAACGGAAAAAATTGATGTAATCACAAAAATTGCCTAATCAATATTTATAGCTATCAAAATAATAAATTAAAAAGCTACACACTATATACGTATATATATATATATATATACCTAATGTGTGATTTTTTTATTATGGCCCAGTTTTTATCTGAATATGTATTTTTATTTTATTTCTGAAAACAAAACGAAATTGCTTATTGTCACTTACTATATTGTTGCATTAATTTCATAATTTGTATCGATGATTTGAGTAACGTTTATGATGTTATATCAGTAACCGATATAGAATAATTTATGAAAATTTGTAAGTATTTATCGAATATCGAACCAACACTGCCAAATGTTTATTATTTATTACTTATTAGAATTTGAAATTTAGAAAGCGGAACGCGGAAAGCTGATATAGTAAAAAAATATTCCTGTGTAACTTCGATTCTTGTATCTTAACTTTAAATGTTAATAAATAATAAAATATCTTTTGGTTTAATAATTGATAACTATACAAACTAATTGTATGCAATATTATATTGAGAAATAAAACCATGAGCTGTTTAAAATTCCATAGTAGTAGAGTATTATGAATGAGTTATAGGTACCTAGATTTTATTATTTTTTATTGAAATGACTTCAAATTTGTTTAAAAATTAATAATTATAATTATAAACATTGAATGGGAAAATTAGTAAAAACACGGGGATAAGACCGATATGTAAGAAAAATAATACAACAAATAATTATATTCACACTAACCAAAAAGCATTAATTGAAAAACAATCAAATTTTTTAGTTGAAAATTGTGTTATCTAATTTAACTCTAACATTTTAGTTCGTTCAGTGCACAGCCTTGACAAATAACAATACTATGAACTGCACTAATACAATATAATATTATGTTGCAGGTCAGTACCTTTAAGTTAGTTTCTATGATATCGGTTTTGTATATATAATTTAGTGTAGGTACAAATTGAAGATAAAACTTTTCGATATTCTGAAATACGCGTGTTGTAATATTAATTATTATTTTTTTTTTCTTTAGAAGAATTTGTATAAGTAACTTGTAAATTTTAAATGTATATAATATATTATATATTATTATAGAGAATATTTATTTTTTAGATTTAAATATTATGTTTTACACCGTGAGTCATGAGGTAAGGAATTATTTTATTTTTTTAAATTAAGTTAAGGTAAATATATCTGCAAGATACTATAATATATACAACGTTATTGAAAATTATAAATAAATACTTAGAAAAAGTATAACCTTTAATGATCAGTTGATCACGGTATTATTTAATTACAATATGGGTATTTTTAACATATTTGACTCAAATTTTAGCCATCCTTATATTTTGCATAATAACATATACATTATAATCGTTTTTATGAACAAAAATGAAACTCAATCGAAAAAATTATAGAGAAGAATTGGGTTTGATTCATAAATTAAACGCAATACAGCTTTTGAAATAAATACTTAGTGAAAATTATTGCTTTCGAGTATTATGATTTTTTTTTTTTGGTACTTAAATTCTAAATCTTTCTAAATTGTTTTATGATTTATCGTTTGACCCTAAAATTTTATCTTAGATTATATAAAATGTGTATAATTTATTATTTTCGTGAAATTGACGAAATAAATTAAAATAGATGTATAATATATAGATATTACATAAGTATTGAAATTGTATACAATTTCATAATTGATATTACCCAGTAGGGATACTGTGAAACTGATCTTAAAAGATTTTAAAATGACCGTCTTTCCTATTTAACAGGAATATGAATAAATTAATTAAATGTTGATTGGTTGTCTATTAACCTGGTATTCAATAATCTTTCCATGTGTGGCATACAAGGTGTTATTATAACGCAATACACTAATTTATAATTGTATCAGTTGAAACATTTTTTTAAACCGTTTAATTTGAAGTTTGTTTTAAATAATGTTTCCAGGATTTTGTACATAATTGTTTTAGTAATTTTAAAATATTTGTATAGTTTAGGTATGTAAATTGTGATGAAAAGTCAAGAAATAATTATGCACCGACTCATTTAATTTACTTTTGGCTATACTCTGATTTTTTTATACCTACTATAGATTTATTATAAGTGATGAGTTTGATATTTGATATTGGCATTGTTAGAAAAATATGATTACTTATAGATTTTCCTCAAAATAGAATAGGATAATTAAACAATTTAACTAATTTTAACTTAAAATAAATATTGTCATTAAAAAAAGTGTTAAATTTAAGAATAAGAGAGATAAAAAAGTAAATTTCGGTTTTACTAAAATATTATATTGATTATTGGCAATAGTAAGTAAATTAAAAAAAAATAAAATAATAATATGTATTCTGTTATTTTAAATATAAAACGGATAAGAAGATCATAGGAAAATTGAAGATTGAATTGGTTTTTAAACAAAATAAAAAAAGATTATATAACTAAAATAATTTTAGAATTTAAAATTTAAAAACAAACCTTTAACGATTTATAAATATTTTAATATGCTTAATAAGAGTATATAATAACGTTAAAATATAATTCTTTGAAAATATCCATGTGATTTTTTTTAATCTTAGAAATAGTTGCTAAATTAATTCACCACTAAATGTTTAATCCAGTAACATTTAAAAGTGTTATAGTATTAAGAATATGCCAAGAAAAGTAGTATGTAATTAATAAGACAATTGTTACTAACAATAGGTATGAAAAATCTGTTAATGTTAATAAAATATTATGTAGAAAAATTCAAGGTTTGAATAAACAATTTTTATTCAATGTTCGGAACGAGAATTTTTATAAGTATCTTACAGATTTGTCTAATATAAAAGGACGGCTAATGATATTATTAATTTTACGAAGTGAGTAAATCTTATAAAAGAAACATTGAAGAACAAATCATTCGTTTTACAACAGATTTTTTATTATACAAAGTGATGAATATGACGTAAGACACTTCTTATTTTTAACTTATCTTTTTTCGGAATTTATTTATTTGTTTAATTTAAGAAACAAGCACATCTAATATGTTATATTACAGTTATTTGTTGTCATTCTTATGTTTGAGGTTGAAACCACTAGCCACTATTTATTTTAAAATTAAAAACCTACATTCAAAATTCTACAAAGAGATGAAATTTAAGTTTAAATAAATATTAATGTTGATATATTTTATTTACGTCTAAGAGCTATTCCACTTTTTATAGTTTCTCGTAATGTGGCAAACTAGTGAAGCACTGTTCAAACGTTGCGCACCGTGCTACCACATAAATAAGGCACCGCTACTCTCCCACTATCAACAAAACGACACTCTTAAAAGCGGAATATCTCGTTAATGGGTCAAGGGAAATGAAAAAATGTCTACATCGAAATTCACTTAAACTATTTGTCTATTTATGGAATTTTTAATATGAAAATCAAAACTGTGCAGTACACTTCCAAAAATTCGAGTGACCAAAATAATAAAGATATCATACAATTTTTGTAGCTGCATGTTTCTTAAATTTTCTAAAAAAAAATTCAGTAAAAAATTAATACTTTCCTAAATAATGAGTATCTTGGGTAGTTAGGTTATATTAAACACTCTTTATAGGGATGTTATAGTAGTATAAAAATGTATTGGACAAGGTGGAATACAATTTTGTATGCTAACACGATTTGGCAAGATAGCGTAAGAACCGAGTTTTTTTTAGTATTGCGAATCATTTATAGACAATAAATTCAATATAAATTTAAAAATAAACATAATTAGAATAGATATTTAACAGTTATAAATTTCACGAAAATAATTATTTATCTATATGAAATATATAATATATTATGTTATTTCTATATTTATTTGATACATGAGAATTTTATGTTTTATTAGATTTAAGTTTTTATAACATACGTTAAGTGCATTTGTTACCTTGAGCCTTATTCAATACCCTTTCTATAAACACAAATGTATAATAAAAATATTTATGGTAATAACGTGTTAGATAATAGCTAAATAACCATTATTCATTATATTATTTATATATCTGCAGTGTACAATTATTATTATTGGGTACCTATGTAAAATAATACCGACTAGGTTGATAATAATTTTAAATTTAATTTATATGTATTAATTTGACGTTGGCTGTTTAATGAAAAAATATATTTAGTTTTGTTTGTTATTATAATGACGGTAATGTATTGAATAATAAAAATAATGAAGTAAAGCTTAAAATGCGAGTGTAGTAGAACCGATAAATTTATATTTTGATTTCATTGGGTGATCTATGAGATAATATATATAATTTAAACAAATAACAGAATAATAATAAAAAAAAAAAAAAATTGCCGTATTAGATATTAACGTGTAATTTAAAGTGGTGTTTCAGTGCATTTTATAATTGCTATTCACTGTAGTTAGTGCTTGAATAAACATGTACTTTTTTTTAACAGTTTAAAATTCAATATGAATTATTATTATTATTAGTATATTATGTCTCAAAATCTTAGCATAACTGTTTTTCGAGTTGCTACTGATATGTATGCATTTATTGTCTTTAAAGAAACATAAAGTATTTATTATTCGTTTTAGTAAAAGTTATTCAAAATAGGGGTGCACACTAAAAGGTTTAAATAACAAAACAAAATTTCATGCATTTGTCGAATAGGTAACAATATTACTTACCTTTACGATACTATATTTCCATTCCGTATACGCAAACGTATTAAATCTTATTCAAACAGATAGTATACATAGGTACATAATATACAACAGGGATGGGCAGTAACAATTTCACGAATGTATCCATAAATTTATTATGTATATTTGAAAAAAATGACATAACAAGTATAGGTAGATACCTATTTTGGTCAATTTTGGTTTTAGTATGTCCATCCCTGTGTTTACGGAAGAGACATTCAAAGCTATAGTACAATCCAAGTATAACAAATATAGGATTTAGATGATCAATCTAATGTAAATAAAGGGTTAACATAAACTGGGGTGGAGCAGGCACATGCAACAACAGGTTTAATAAATAAATCAGTAACAAAAAAATAAAAAATAACACAGGAGTAGGTATTTGGTTTTTTTTTTTCTTATGAACAGTTGTATAATTTTAATAAAATCGAATATTTTGTCTTCTTTTTTGTTTCATTTCTAATGTGGTATTATTTAAATGATTGTGGAAAAAATAAAAACACATGCGGATGTATAGGTCGAACAATTAAATTTTTAGCTGATAATAATAATCATAATAAATAAATAAATTATAATAGTATAAGTAATAGTAATAATAAATTTAATAATAATAGTATTAGGTTCCTATAGGTAATAAGAAGACAAATTAAAATAATATGTACAAGTTCAATTATTAACAATTATTAAAATAAACACACAATGATTTATTGCGATATTCTTTATAGATTCGATTAACCATAGATAGTGTTGAAAAAACAAAACAAAAAAATAAAAACAATAAAACAATATACAACCTGTATGAGTACATCAACATGACACATGCTTGGTAACAACAACTCTATTGTAGGAACTTGGTAGTATTAAAGTAAAATAAATAAAATTATGAGCATATAAAACAAGAAAATGCTGTTTGGTATACGTTATTTGATTAGGTTTTGGGAAATTTTTTTATTATGTGTACCTAATAATAAATAAATATTAATTACTAGTAGGTAATATACTAAAACGCATTTCTTTTTCAGGCCTCCGTCATTTTATTTTGAAAATTATTTTTTGTAATTTGATTTTCGCGCACGTATAAGATAAATTGAAATACGGTACTTTTTGAGTGGAGGTGTATTTTATGATTTTGGGACAATATTATTTTTTAATTTTATGTACAAAATAAGAGTTATTTTGTTTAATTTTGGTTTTTTTAATTAAAAATATCATTATCATTTTATCAAGGTTTAATTTTAAAATTACATTTTGGATTAGCGTCCTCTTGCCCATCGAAGAAGAGCGTCTGCCAGTATGTCCAAATGAGCTTTAGTCTGAAAAAAAGTTTATTTTTAAAATAGTGACATAGTCTTTAAATATTATATTTTATACTGCGGTAATATTTCCAATATCCAATACTCGTGTAGTGCTTATTATTTCGGAGCTTGAAATAATTTGTCACAAAATAAAACTTTGTGAACAAACGTACATTTTCTAGGAATGAAATATATTGTCATATTATTTGAAACTCTACTCTACAAAACTCTGATACTTAATTTTCGTTCATTTTTATATACCAAATAATATCAATGTATACATTTATTACTTTATCTATTCTATATGCAATGCATAATACTACATAAACGGTAAAATGTTAGAACGTATATAAATAATCGGTACTTGTCAACATAGAGACACTAGTATACCTAATGAAACTTATTATGCGTTGAACTGTTGATTAATTTATTTGTTTGTTCAGAAACGTATTTATAACCTAAATGCCAAAATACATTTTGATTTTAATGAACACTTCCTTTCTAAATTCGATGAAAGTTCTTTTATAAACATTTATTTGTCATTTAAATTTGCTAAAAAGTACAGGCAATATAAACGAATAGAAAGTAAAATTGTTTAATAAAAATTTAAAAATATACAGTATTTAGCCGAATGTATTAATATGGCATTAAATTATTTACTATGCTCAAGAAACATAATGTAAAATGTATTTATATGAAACATAAAATGGATTTAAAAAAAATTATGCATTGATCTTTTGTTTGTTGATTAAAATTCAAGGGTTTTAACGAAACTTTTTAAATGAAATAATTGTCAGTCTGAAGTTTTTTTCTCTCTTTAAATTGTAAAGTTTAACAATTGTAATTTTTAATGACATCTAATTACATTATCTTGACATAGCTGCAGCTGTATTGATTTATTTTGTGGCCTCCCCCAAAACTCGTTTTTATTTGACTTTATTTTATTTTTTGCACTTACTGTTTTGAAAAAGAAACAATTCTTTGGATCTTCGTCGTCGGCATTTGGACAGTCAATGTATCCATCACAAAGTACATGGTCATCTATGCACTTGAACCTTCCTTCCCCGTCCGCAGTTGGACAAGCGAACCGTTCGAATCCATCATTCGTTGCTGGACACTCTGTAATCACAATAGTAATTAAACATTTTCGTTTTTACTATGTTCTATAGTGATAGGCTAGGTGCAAACTATTTTATCTCTATACTAATATTACTAATATACACACAAGGATCTTCCACATTCCCAAGTTATATGGTGCAAACATATTTTGGAATATAACACCTTATATATAGGTACTTATTTTAATCTCTAACATGTTTCAACACCTAAATAGGAATTTATATTCATACCGTAAACATTCATGGTATATTTTCTAATAAAAAAGACAAATTCTTATAGTTTTTATTATTTATTTATTTTTATTTAGTGCCATAGACCAAGGATAACGTTGCACCTTAAAAGATGCGGAATTTCCGCCCAATGGTATTTTATTTGAAAAAAATGTCTAGATTTCCGAAAGTTTTTATTTACAATTTAAAAATTTTTAATTTTTGGTGATTTATGGGTTTCCTTGGCTACAAGGGGAAAAACACTACTAATACTACTCCGCTTAGAACAGTTTTTGATTGCAATGTTTTATCGTTATTTTCAATATATAAATTAACCTATACATTTTAAATTCCCTCCTTCTATATTAGCTTACCAATAATTGTACAATAATGTGTATCATACTCGTATAATGTTAAGTGAAATATTTGAAGTCGTTACTTATGAACATTTCAAATTCATCGTATATTGTTACCATGATTATTAATTTTTAGTGAAGAAATAGTGAATTCAATTGAGGAATAATACTAGTTTGGTACAATATACTTATTTATATTATTCATAATCATTATATAATAATAATGGTTAGAAAAAGAAATAAATCGGATCGATTAAATTGTGATTAATTTTCGTATGTTGTAAACGTATTACACATTTTATTTTAAATTAATCAATATTTCTAAAAAATAAAGCAATATTTAAGTGGTGTTGAAAAGAAAAAATTAACGCAGAGAGTTTGAGTAGGTACATAGAATTTTAAGAATTACCTGCATTTCATTTTATAAGGAGAGTGTCGGGACCAAAGTGTGTTAAGCCCTTATACTTTTTTATACTAAAGGTAGGATAATACTTTTATATCTTATCAAAGCTTACACTGCGGTCCCTAGAAACGTGGTGGATTTCCCGTGGGATTTAGCTTACCATAGTAAAAAGGTACCGTATACTACCTACAGTGTCGTTTCTGTGTATTTTTTAACCGCACGGTAATATACCGTTATGTTAATCATAAATAAATGTGTTTATACCTTTTACTCGATGCAACAATAATATAACTTTTGCACGTCGTTCGTGATGGGATACCCACATAATATTTAATCTTTCTTGGGAGTGACCTATACGCTGTTGTTTTAGTATCTGATTAAATTATATTATATTACCTACCCATCTACCTATTATGTTTTAAAGGTTATGGTAACTCAATATGACATTTGAAAATGTAAATCATTTAAACTCGTTTTTATTTTTTTTTAATCTTTACTGAAAAAAAAAAAATGGAATCAAAATCGATAGTAATATTAAACATGAACATAAATAAATAAAAAAAAAGTCTGACGATTTATGCAAATAACTGTTACTGAGGCAATCGCTTTTATTTGCTTTTAATTCCGATCGTCGGAATATTATACAATATCATCCCTTATGTACTTTTACTACAGTTAGGAATATTATCCGTCGCGAACTCATTGGTCGTAAAACAGAAATGTCCATCCGACTACACGGTAAATAACAAAATTATACGTCGATTATTAATGTAATGCGAGTGTAATCATAACGTTGTTATGGAATCGTATCAACATGATATTAATATTTCCTCGTTTCTATCGAAATTTCGTATAATTATAAATATAATATTATTTACGTTCCATTAGCATAACTGTAATATTGTTATTATTATTAACGGGACCTATACACATAGTATTATACAACAGACATGCACATGTTATAATATGATAATACGGCGTGCGTGCATGCCTACAAAGTCCAAAAGCACACACACACGCACACGCAGAACAGATAAATACGTTATCTACGTTCAAAAATGTATGTAAGTTTAAAAATATTTTGGTCAGACAGTCAAAAATGTATAATGTGTAATTGTATGTACGAGGAAAACATGTAATAAATTAAATCATTACAGTGGACGTCACACTCGCGTCTACTGTTGTCTAACTAACGGACAACTTAGCAAAATCGCGTTACTTTGAACGTAAATTATGGAACATTTAGGTGGAAATAGGAGTTTAAACACGAGCTGTATAATTTAAAGAAGGGAATATTTTTTTTAGGACTGTACGTAGCTTTTATTCTAAAAAAAAAATGTCGCACGATAAGGTTAGTTTTTACTTTTTTTTAAAAAAAATAACTAACTTTTTTGTATGAACATTTTTTTAGATAAAAATCTAGCCCCGAACATGTTCTCCTCTTTAAACTTCGTTATTTGTGTTTAAATGTTTAAACTCCAAATTCAACCTAACCGCCACAATTTATGTTGTAAGGAACGTATGTTACCCGTTACTTAGATTGAACCAGTAGATGTGGATTTAGCAGTGTAGCGTCCTCTTAATACGGATACTTGATTGGTTCGTGAAAATATTGCTTATGCTAAATCAGTGGAATATATAGTGGGGAAAAAGTACGCCATAGCGCCTCCTATCCCATCGAAATGGCACTTACTTACAATTCGTATAACTATCACATTTACTTTGCCGCCACGTTAATAATGTAAAAACAATGATCCTGATTTGGGGCCCCTAAATATCGTGGCTCATTGCTCGTCATGCCACCTTATCGATACGCCACTGCCATTCGTATTATTATAACTCACACATTAGTACCACACGCGGTGCATGGTATGCGCCATACGTGTTATAACACATTGATATATTAAATTTCTTCAGTAAGATTTTATAGGTAACCCATTATTTATATTTTAAAATTTGAAATTTTCTTTTGTAGAAATGTATATTATAGGTAAGTATTGACCATAGGCCATTTCACGCGCTCAGTATAATACATACACTCGTAAATACAAATTCGGGACGTTTACGGATGATATCATTCATTGTTATAATATGTGAATGCCACAGGTGTTCAAAATGGGTCGAGTTTAGTAATAGTGATATAAGGGACGAATGCTTTTAACGTAAAAGTAGTTATATATAGGTACATTTAAACGAATAATATAAATATACATCTGCATGAGCTCGGGTAAATATTGCTGTTCGAGACTGTCGATATACGTCGGGTATGGAAACCCGACCGCAAGAATAATATATTTATTATTGTTACCTATTCGTGCCATCGATATTATTCTGTTTGAATTCTTCAACCCCATTGTTATTTCGATTATATTATTCATCGCGTGTTTCTCGGATGACTTCTTTGGTTATTAACGCTGTGATCAATTGGGACGAAGCTGAGATGTGTTTGGGATTATAAAATAGATACGCAAGTCATTTTGTCAGTCGAGCTATTTAATCCTGCTCAGTGCATATTTGAGTATTTCCAATACATGTTTTTTTCCGCTCAATTATGTCATTAATTATTGTACGATTTTTAATGAAACAAAGATGCTATTAGTTTTACAATAGTGTAATATATTATATCTATGTATATATATTTTTTTTTGTAGAGCAATTTTGTGTATCATACATAGAGACGTATTAAGTTAAACGACAAATCTATTATTGTTTAGTTATTATTATAGTTTTAGTAAAAAAGTTTGCTAGAGATAGTCTAAATAGAGAGTCTATTTTTAAACTCTTTTACAGTGAGAATACGAATGATTTGTGGTATAATTATGTCTTTTAGTATCTACTGAAACAAAATTGAAACAAACTAAACTTAGAGGGGTTTTTTTTTTGTTTATAAATATTAATTTTCCCATGAACTATTAAAAGCTTTATTTCATCGTCAACTTTACTTTACTTTACTTTAATTTATTTTACTTTTTATGCTTTTAGTTAGATATTTTAAAACTTATTTATTGAGTACTAGGTAGGTACTTCAAAAACCATCGAAATAATAAAAACACGATACAACGATAAAATAACTCGACGAATCTAATTTTAGGTAAGGTTATAACTAATTTATATTACTTGTTTACTTTTTATTTATTCTATTTTAACCCGTTATTTTTATATTATTTAGTAGGTTAGTTAATGAGGTTTATAAAATATATCATTCAATAGTATGTAATAGTTAATATCTAATACTAAATAATTAATAAATACAAAAGTTAGGTTAGATATCTCTTTATCAATCATTTATTTCCTAATGTTAAAAACAAGGTTTCATACGAAGTAATTTATTATAAAAATTTCAAATAGTAAAAAGACCAGAAACAATATGATATGTATGCTGTTACATGTCTAGAGAAACTAAATTTCTAATTCCGAAATCGTTGTCTACAGTTTTTCTTTAACTGACTTCAAAAAAGAAGGTTGTGTACTCAATTTGTATTTATAATTTGTATGCTGACATTCAAATTAACTCAGTTACTATAAAACTACTTAAAACAATAACTCTTGACGTCAATTTAATAAATAATTTGTGCTAAATAAATTATTATTAAAAGTTAGTAACTATAACGATCTTATAAAACATAATAAATTCATAATATTAATATTATTTTGAAGTAACTACAAGTAAACAATTGTTAGACAAAAAAAAAATGCAGTTGCTCAAAATACTCATTGCTATTCAATTTCAATCAGATAAAAAAAAAGACTTGTTATTAAAATCAATGGCTCTCTCTCTACAATAATAATTTAATTCAACATTTATATTGGTGTACTAAATATTATAAATGCACATTAAAATACATAATTAATTCGTAACAAAATTCAATGTAAGAGAAATGTAAGCAATTGGAGAAAATTGTATAAGATATTGCAGTAATTTATTTTATTGCCCTAGTTTTAATAACGTGCAATATGAAATAAACTTGTCATGTACATTCACCTGTACAGTTTTCACATGGTTTAAATCTAAAATGAATGTACCTATATAATAATTACTACTTATTATTAATTTGAAAATAAAACTTAATTTATAATAGTTCTTATGCCAATGTTTCTCAATATTCGAATTTTAATGCAAAATATGAGAATTCATAATTTGTATATTTGTATGTATGTTTCATACACATATAGACTTATAATTCCCAAATTATATACACAATTTATTACTAAACTTTCATTTAATTATTTTATATTTTAGTTCACGAAAAAAAAAAAAAAAAAACCAAAAATGAAGAGTAAGTTAGATGAAAATCTTTTTTTTAATTTAAAAATAAGTAAATTGTATTCTATTTTATTTTCATTTAAATCCACTGAGAGAAAAATATGAAGCAAAATTTGTCTATAAAGACTGTTGGTCGTTGGATATAAATGAAATACGGATAATATTATAATAATATTTGTCTGAAAAGAAAATATAGTGCTTTCATGAAAATTTTATATTTATTAACATATAATCAAGTTTTTATCGCGAGGAACATATAGAAATGTATTCAATCATATAACAAATATTACAGTAAGAACAAGATAGATTTTAATGGAAATTATAAATCGGAATAATGCAATCTTATAGTTACTTCTGTAAAATAAAGTATATGCTTTTATAGACAGCACGATGTTTTTGAAGTGTCACGTGAGATAATATACTTTTAAAATCAAATTTATTTAGTATAATGTTCTTTAGTATAGTTATAGCCGACGAATAAATTAAAATTTAATTAAAAAACTAATTGAGCAATCTTTTTTAATGCGCTTGTTTTATTATCTTTTCATTTATTTTTATATTCATGTAAAAATATTTCAAACTTGAATAGTATGTCTAACGTATCTAAAAACGCAGGTACAATCATTATTATCCTCTCTTTCTTTTTTTTTTTTGATAAAATAGTTGAATGAATAAAAACAATATAAAATCGAATTTTATTTTGAATTATAATAAAAATATAAGTCGATTTACGAAACAGTATATTTTCTATATAAAAAAAAAAAAAAAAAATTCTTGTGCTAATATGTGTTATAAACTGTATACAATTAAATAGAAAATTACTATTCACTTTATATTCAATTATACGGACTTCCAATTTTTAATTAATTTGGTTTGATCATTATTATATAATTTATCAATATAATATTTGTTAGATAATTATTTATGAAGTAAGTACATGAAGGGTCGCCAAAACACATCAAAGGGTGTTTAATAGTACGAAACAGTATCATTTGAAGTATTATTTAACATGTACTTACTTATTAACGTTGTACAATATCAATTTTAATTGGATTATAATCAGTATACGAGTAAACGAAATCTGTTGAAAATTATCCACGTATTAAATCATGTTACAATAGGTACCAAAGATAATGCGGATAATAATTTTTGAAAATATGTAACCATATTTTAATTATATATATATTTTACTACAATTTTATTTAAGTGAACTGCCCACCACGTGAGTTACCGAGAGACATAGTATACAGATTAAATAATTAATATATGTAATTTGGTATATTGGTTACTAGATTTTAGTTGGAAATGCTCATAATCATTTTATTTTTCGATACAAACGTTAATTAAAAGATAATACATTTCTACTTAACACATATTATCAAGTGGATTTGAGTTCAATTATTCTTAAACAGTTAAATGTGATATTACTATTTTATTTTTAATATAATACGAACGGGAAGAAATAGGTACTACAGTGGTTTTTTTTTTTTGTAGTTACTAGTACTGTTGAATATAAATAACATTATTATTTATCTGCCATGTAACTTTTTTAAGTTAGTAATAGCCTATAATTTATTCCCTTAAAAATCAGATCTCGATAATATAAAATAAATCTGGATCATAATATAACTCGAGAAATTCTTTATTTTTTATGATGTATTCTTTATGTTTGTCTGATTAATATATGGTAGTGAATTTTATGAGCAATTATCATAAATAAAATGATACGTTGGCAAAGCATTTGTAAGAATGTCTAGACGTTTTCAATTTGGATTTTTTCCCATTGTAATTCTATTCAAAATATACTTAAATCGTCCATTTAATGTCATTGAATATAATATAATGTCATTTATATTATATATTTGTTCGAAACAGTTTGTTAAAACTATTTTCAAGAAAATTTTTTTTTTTCAGTTTATTTATGTAATCATGTTATATAATTTTATTCGAATTTAAGAAGTACTATAAATTTATAGAATACGAGATACATTTATTTTAATATTATTATATTACGAAATATCAAGCAAATTTTAAAATTCACCATAAAATCGTATAAATTGATTTTTAGAATTTTACTATTATTTAATAATTAAAATAAAAACTAATTTTTATAATCAAAGAGTATTTTTTTATTACTCGTATGTTAGAAACCAATAAGAAAACGAATGCATTTGTGTACTTATTGTATTGGTATCGTCCATAACAAATGAACGATAAAATAATTATTCTAATAAACTTATCAAAATTTATTTATCCTTAATTTACTGAATATTCATCAGTTTATTTATTCCTTTAACATTTTAATACAAATTTTGTAATATTATGAGTTTGTTTGGTTTTAATAATTCTCAACAATAGGCGTTAGAGCCAAAACTTTGGTACAAGCTCTTTAGGGATGGATAATATTTAGTGATTTAAATAAATAAAAAACCTTTATCAAATAAAAAAAAGCTGTATACATTCACAATTCAATTATTAATCAAAATTATCAAAAAAAAAAAAAAAAAATGTATACTTAAAATATAGGCTAATGTTAGTCTTTAATTGCTAAATTTCTTTTTACATTTTCTTATATGTTAACAGAAAAAAAAAAATAAATAATAATTTGATTGTATTGATTTGCTACTTTAAAATTGTTTTGTACTTACCATTAAAGACAATAAAAGATTCGATCTCGTGTATGTCTTATATAATTTATAAGTACACAATTACAAATAAGTTTTTTTGAATTGTTAATGGAAGCAAATATAGCTTAAAAATTAAAGTTATAATTCAGTTAATAATGTTTATTGATTTTTGGCATGTTACTAAAGCTTTTAAATTCTAAATGAAGCATTGTATTTAAATTTAATGATGATAGGTTTTGAATAAAAAAAATGTTCCTCATACTTCTCTATCTACTTATTAACGTATAACATATAGGTACTGGTTATACATTTAATACAAATTATTATAACAATAATCCAAAATTAATTAAATAAATATTGATTACTACTTTTAATAATAGTATTATTATATAAATAATATGTATTATAATTTAAGCTTTTAGCTATTTTAACACTTATTAATATTCATTAGGTTTAAGCATATTATAAGATGTAGATTTTAGTTACTTAAAAACTTCTCCTAAAGTTAGACATACCATTTCGAGCTTTTCGGGAGATCATACATATAATATTTAAAAACATTTTGTATATTTCGCCATCGTAAAAATGAATTATGATTATACTTATACTTTATTTGTTTTGTTGTGAATTGAATAAATTAACATTCAGATAATTCACATAGATACATATTTCCGTTTTTTTTTAAGTCTTTGGTATCCAATACTAAAAATTCTGACTTTTTGTAGGAACCATTGTTATAAATATACATTATTATAATATGAAAACGGTTTGAAAGATGTGTTAACATTGTATTATGGAACTGGCTTGTGTATATTTTATGCATTAGTCATGCATAAAATATACATTAATTTTGATATTAACATGTATACATTTTAAAGGGTTTGTTAACAAAAAAAAACCGATAGCTAGATAAAGAAATTAAAAACACACTACTGACCATTGTGATGTAATAGCGTTATAGTTTCATAAATGACAGTGCTAATATGATAAATTAATTTTTTTTTTAATTTTATTAAATTTGCGTTTTATTTTTTAAAAACTGGAATGAAATAATACTCCAAAAACGGCTATTGCATGGCGAGATGATAGTACAGCGAAATGCTTAAAACATGATAGATACCGACTGTATCTCATCACTTTTTAAATTTTGATATTGCGGTTTTATTTTACGTGAAGATTGAAGTTAAGCGGTTTTACGCACGTAATACCATAGAAAAAATATAATTCTTTATGTTGACTTTTCGCATAGCTTAAAAATATTTTCATATTTATTCTAAAAAAAAAAAAAAATAAATAAAAGTTATAATTTAATTTTAATTAAGATTCGCAGTTTTTAAAACAGTATTATGGTATTTTTTTTAAATGTATTTAATATAGTACATATAATATAAGATGGTTTTAAAACAATTTAAAAAAAATATCAATATTATTTAAATAAGACATTTTTATGTTGACATAAGTTACCTATGTCATAATATGAATTCGCTAATTTGTATTTTCGACTATTATAACCGGAACAGTCAACAAATTAACATTTATTTTCAAAATATTATTCGGAGAAGATTATAATTTTTACCCATAAGCTGTAGCCGTAATTATGGAGGTGGTTAATACCCGAACTAATACCTATTATACATTTTGATTTATAATTATAATAATTTTATATTTACTATACCATGTAGGTATAGATTTTAATTAATTATTATTTATTTATACTTTTACTAAATTTATTACGCATTAAAACTTTTGAAAATAAAACTTGTGACTCATTAAATATAATAGGTATTATACATAATTCTAAGTATTTAAACTATTAAATATGTTTTTTTTTTCATTTTCGTATTATAAAAACTTTTAACACATATTTTGCATTGTCTTTTATGCATTTTACGCTCTAGCTATTTTGTAATAATATGCTAAACTAACTCAAACTTTAAATTTTAAAAACGTCAACGAAAACATGTTTTATAATAACTAGAGCAATTTTATTTTTTTTTGATGATTTATATAAATGCTATTGAAGTACATAATTCAATTTATGTAACAGATAATTAAGATCACTTCATTTGAACATTTTATATTATATTAGTACAGATTTTTTTTAGCAATTTTATTTTTTTTAGTTATAAGTACAGTTTACACATTTATATATTATATGAAATTACAGTTTAAACTTAGGTAATTCAAATTTCATTTTATGAAATTAAATTACAGATTGTGTTCTATTAATAATTTCGATAAAGTCTTTATTTTATCTTCATTAAAGGCTGTAATGCATCACTGACCACAAACAAATAAAAACAAAAAAAGAAAAACTTTTATTTTGCATTTTATTGTTATTATTTCGGTAAAAGTATTTTTTTTAGAACAATTTTGGCTATTTTAAAATAATTTTCGATATTTTTCAAGGCATTTAAATCCAAGCCCTACTTATAACTAAATAATATTAAAATAATTAAATTTGCTCCGAAACTTCAGGAACACCATTTGTCTCATACAGTCAAAAGATCCCAATCAATTTTTTTTTGTGCGTTAAAAAAATATAATCATTTCTTTTTATAAATTCTGAATGGAGCGAAAAACGTCATGGTTTTATAAAGATGTTTATTTTTTATTTACCTGTACTAATATATAATAACTATTTTACCAGAAATCTTGCTCCGATTTTTAAGTGTAGTACCTTTTTTGAAAGGAAATCTGTGTAGGTAGGTCATTTTTCAATTTCTTAAGAATTTTCCCATTAAATGTAAAAAAAACCGAAGGAAAAACGGGAAAATGTACAGAATGTAGGCATAAGTTAAAAAATATTTTGACCCTTTTTTTCTTGTTAACAAATTTTCTCTAAGCAATTTGACTCCGATTTACAATTATAGCATTTTTTCTAAAAGAAATCTAATAGGAAAGATACTTTAGGGATGTAATTTTTACTGTTATATGTAAAACTGGGAAAAAACATGGGAAAACTGGGAAAAAAACGTATGATGATGATGTGCTTTACATTTTTGTTATGTTATATTAACGCCATTAACGCAATAACAAAAATATATTACGTATAAAGTACCATAAAACAAACAAATTTATAATGTGGTTTTTAAATCCAGTCTAAATAACGTTAGGTTATCTAACACATTAATTAATGTAGTTAAACACAATTTTTTTCGTCACGCAAATATAAAATATATACCTAGTTGAGATATCAAGATTTCTATATATATATATATATATATGATACCTTAATATTATATAGTAAAAAAAAATTTAAATTTTCTATCTGGGTAAATATATTCGTTATTGGACTAAGTCACTGGAATATCGGAAAATCTTTCCGTAAGCAATGGTAAGATCAAGTGATCAGTAATACAACACAATATATGATATAGAATGCTAATTAGCTATAAAATAGGGCTAGAGGAATTGGTAATAAGCTAACAGTGACCGCAGTAGATTATTTATGTGCCTTTAGTAAACTGTCTGATGTTGTAGTTGGGCGTAGGCTATCGGTTGGCCGTAATGATAGGCCGTCAGTGAGAATACTCCAACGGAAAGTATTGGCGATAAAAAGTGATATGCTGAAACGGGGTGTGTAAAATAAATATTTTCTAGGTGGTTTTTATTAGGCATTTCAACACTAATCGGATATAATTTATTTGTGTATGTAGGTATAATATAATAATATAAGATATTTATGTAAATAATAAACCCATGTGTATAATTTGTGGGGCCGCAAGTGCACAGTGTTACCGTAATATGTGTATTTCACGTTTCTTTCATGTTTCTGACTAGGTAGGTATGTTCTTAACAACACACAGTTAAAATAATAACGGTTTGAAAATGATAAATCAAAATATTGGTAATACACGGTTTTTTTTTTTATCATAACTGATATTAAAAATAATGATTTGTATTAAAGCAATATGTATAGTTAATCAGTGGTGTATTTACGGGGAAGGGGGTCCACGGGGTACGAATTCTCTATTGGCCTCAATCATCGATATCTAAATATTTAATAGTATATACATTAATATATTCTGTGTTATATAATTTGTATTATAACCAAACAAAAAATTAAAGACCTTTACGTAAATGTGTTTGGAAAATTACCTGGAACTCCTCTATGAAAAATGTTTAAAATCGCCACTGTAGTTAATATACGTATAAATATGTTTAGCTGTTGCATAACATTTCGTTCATTGAAATTTAGAATGTCGTATGTAATATATACGCTGGAGTTACTTGTGTCAACTGTTTTTTCTCACCTAAAAATGAGCCAATATTCATGGCACGAATCCATTCTACCAAACGAGATGTGTATATATCATGCAACAGAGATTGTATCAGATGTGTAATACCTAATTATGTGTGAGTATTTACGGCTTTTTCTGCATTCGTAGAATGTCACGATCGAATTTACTCATTAATAAAATGTAACGATGGTTTGGGAACAAAAATTATCTGATTTCGGAAATAACAATGAAATCAATAACTATGTTTATCTCTAGAAGACTCGTTATGTAATTTCAAAACTCAATCGAACTTTTACCATAAAAAAATTATATTTATGCACTTAAAATAAATGTTAACATATTTTTAGATTATTGTGTCAATTTTCCAATTTTCATAACGATTATTTTTTACTTATGTTTTGAAACGACGCGATAGGATTAAGACAGTATAAATAAAATGATGTTTGTAGAATACGCAAAAGATTCATTATGGACTGTATACTTATTTAATTATTTAAACGGAACATAATATTAATAATAAATTCTTACCTATTTTATAAAATTATAAACATACGTGCAAATTTTAACAGCAAAATACATTAGGGTATAACCGTAATGATTTCTAAATTTTAAAGGTATACATTGAGTAATATTTTGAATTGTGCACTTCTGCCTAATGTAAAATAATTACAAATTAAAATATTCGAATTACTTTTTCCGTCCACTCGTTATGTCATATGAATTACCATAATATCATGTGTGCATTGATATAGGTTAGGTCACGGTTTATCTTTATAATAATGTACAATTTCGTGAAGTTCATTACGACAATAGTAATTATGACTTTTCACGTGGGTCGTGTTTTTATATTATTTGACAAAAAACTAGTATTTAGGGGTTAAAGAATAAAAAAAAAAAAAGAAGAATTTAATGACTTCGCGTGTGTAACTATAGGTGTACTACCTGTTCAAGGGTTACATTGCGGCTGGCTATAAATAGTTTGTCGAAAATTAGTTTATATAACATCTGTTATAACTATAAAGGTAGATTATTGGAAATTTACCATTGTTGTTACAAAATATTTCAACTTGCTCGGGTATTTTTTCTTTTTCCGTCTTTTAGTACACAATTTTTATGATTCAATAAACCGTAGTAGTTTTTTAAATCAGCGGATTGAATAATATGTTAAAATTAACGTATAAACTTGAATTTTTTGTGGGCATTTATATAATATAAGTATAAGAAAAGAATGTTTTAAATATTTTGTCTGAATGTGTTTTATATTTTAGGTACGGTCCGTACTCCGAATATTAATAAAATATTTTTAAGTATTGTGCTGTAAATCAGTGATGCGATCGGCCGTTTTTAATACTTCCAATGAAAGTGCCATAAGTTATTTAAGTAATAAATAAAACCAGAAATTATAAAAATTATAAGTAACCCGCTATGTTATATATTAGATTAAAATATGATGTTTTATTGTTTCACACACGTGTAATATTATAATATTATAAATAAATACATATGTAATAACTAAATATTTTAATTGTTTGTTTGTTATTTTACGGTTCTGTAAATAAGCAGGAATATAAATATTTTAATAGTTTTTTTGGTTTTGTGGACTTAATGTTTTATTTGTATTCCTTTCGAGCATTTTCAAAATGCGTTTATCTTTTCAAACCCTTCGAGGTGTTATTAATATTTTATTATATGATACGAGACTAGGATTTGTATTTTTTTTTGTATTTTAAATTCTTGTTTTATGAATAAGCTACCCATAATACGTATTATATTTATACCGAATAAACATCATTTTCAAACATACAAAACCTACATTAGCCATTGCCTTATATAATATAATATCTTAGAAACATATATTCTAATAGAAAGTAAAATAGTTGATTAAACAAGGTTAAAATATTTTAAGTTTTATTGTATAAATCACAACATATTAATTAAAAATAAATTATTTGTAATATTATCCAGTATATAAAATGGATATTTTTATATCTGCCTTAAAAATATTAAACAAAAATCAATAGTATAATATTAGGGTATTTATTCTAAAAATCTGAATGTTTTCATTATTTATGATGTTGTATTGAAGATAAAAGTTATACAGGACATATTTTTAGATTTAGAGCGTAGCGAGGGAGCTATTGGTTTTAATAAGATGTTAATTTTTTCTTTCTTTTCTTTCTTTCTTCTAGTCTGTGGATTCGTTTTTTCCTAGTAAACTTGCTCCGATTTTCTGAAAGCTTATGTTGTCTAGATGTAATTTAAAGAGGTAATTTTTTTGATTTTCGGTGCCATTTTTTTAAATAAAAGCACTTTAGTGGGATAAAACGTGGAAAAACGTACAATTTCACGATTTCATTATTTTTTAAAAACACGAATGACATTTTCTATCTGAAAAAATTATTTAATCGAAAAATCACAAGACACCTAATTTTTTGCCTTTTTGATTTTTATTTTTTTCTATCATTGCAAATACTTTTGAGCCACTTTTAAGCTTTTAAAGATTTTAATTTTTGGGAGTTTTTTGCTGTAATCCGGTTATAAATACACGTAGAGACTTGAAACTTGGTTATAATACTTATACTGGACTTACCTAGACATGGTAAAATTTTTAAAATTATCGGACTACTTAATTTTTTTCAATAAGCGTTTTGAAATCAAATTTAAACGAAAATCGCAAACAAAATTACGACAATTCAAATTATGTATTACCGAACTGAGATCGGAAACGTCTTTCGTCAATTAATAGTTTATCGTTAATACTGATATAAATGAAATAACCTTATGTATCCTGCCTTCTCAATTTCTCACCTACAACAGTGGCCGCTTCCATCCCCAGTATCAACTCTCTTTTCTTTTTTTTTTTTGATGTTACGGAATAATTTATTTAATATGTTTAAACTCTAAAATACGCTTTTATAGTTTTGTAGAATTCAAGCAAGTTTTGTAGTGTAATTTTTTTAGAATTAAGTATATATTATATATTTCACATGTATATTTAATCATTTTTATAATCAAAAAATATTGTCATATTAAACTTATGTAATTAGGTCTGGCCTATTTAATTTTAAATAGGTATAAAAACGTCTTTGAAAATACATTATTTTCCTCTATGATTTTTAGGTGAGTGCAACTGTTTAGATCACTTTAGTAAAAGCATTTTAAAATTACTTGTTTATAATACCTACTGTTCGTTATCAATTTTCTACCTATGTATTATCATAACGAAATCGTTTACAAAAAATTAAAATTATTTTTATATTATATAAAAAGTAAAAGTTTATGAAATTACATAAATAAGAAATCGAACATATCTGATAATACGATTTATAGAAATAATGTATAAACTTGATACATGCAGATATTTGAGCTTGTAGAATATTAATATATAAACATTGAAACATTCTTTTTTTAGTTTATTGATTTGTAATGAGTATTTTATACAGATTTTATGTATAATTTTTAACAGTGAACATATTATTTTCAAAAAATAGTTACTTAACTAAATAAAAACCCTTTTATCTAAAGAATCTTCCAAGGAATATTAAAACATATAATAAATAATGACTTTTATTGAAAAAATGCCTTTTTATTTTGCGCTGTTCCATTCATTGAGGCAATGTGGTCATGGGTACCATACTATTTTAAAATGTTAATGTTTTCCTAAAATTTGATACTAAAATCGTATTGAAATAATAAATATCACAAATAAAAACCTTATATTTTTTTTTAAATGCATGCATTATTTCGTTTATTACGTATTATTAATGGTTATTTGCTTATCAGTAAGTTTTGTTTTATTAACTATCGTTTCGTTTGTTCTTTAACATAAATAAATATACGATAGATGTCTCAAATTAAAATTTTATCAAATAGTGTATAAATTATGGATAAAACCCGAGTATTGTTGATATTTGCTATTTTAACACGATTTAGGATACATGACGGATATATTTTTTAATAGTTTCTAATTTTTAGTTACATAAAGTAATAATTGCTTTTTACAAGTACATTTTTTGTCTTGTCTCGTCCTTCAAATACAATTCCATTTTAAACAAAGTTCAATGTGTATATGGATGGTCATTATGAGAAAAGTCATAAATCAATGTTAACTACTTTTTTGGAGACCCATAGAACATTAAATTTTGTTTTTTTTTTTTTGTTTTTAAATTAATTCATGGATATAAACCAAAAATATGTGTTTTGTTTATGTGATTATTATTTATATATTTTTTAAACTTACTTTTATTATTTTAATAAAATCGTTATAGATGAAATAATGACGTGTTATAGCAATAAATTGTCATAATAAAAGCATAATATTCATTAAAATCAGTTTGATCATTCGATTGGCGTAAAATTTCACACAAAATTGATGTAAAAAACATAAAATTTAAAGTTGAAACTAGGTATGTCATACAATAGTAATATTAGAGATTGTGTTTATATCTGATGATTTCATCACCATTTTATTAATAAAAAGGAGTGTTTCGAAAAAAGAAAAAGCTAAGATATTTGAATTTTCCGATGACTATATTTTTCGTGCAATTTTTATTTCATTCAAATACTAAAAATTAGCAAGATTAATTTGCTTACGCATTAAACTATTTCCTTTAATACTCTTGTCTACAATTAAATGCATTAAATGCACATTTAAAAATATGATTTAATGTCTATTAAATAGTGTGATGCGTTTTGGCGGTAATGATAACGACTGCCATTTACGTCGTTATTTATAATTTTTAATATAATATAAGCTATCTTCAATTGCATAACCTGTGAATATAAATTAGGGTTTCAGTATTAAATATTTCGTTTATACACACACAAAAACCTAAAAAAAATAAAAATCAAATCGTACAAAATACTCAAAATGCATTTAGTTATTTGATTAGTAGATATTAGTTATAGGTATTATGTTATGTAAATTACAACGAGAAAAATCGGCATGCTTTAATTCAGAATAATTTTATTCACAACAGAACTACGGTTTTTTTTCTAGTGTATTTTTACAAAGATTACAATTATGTACAAGGTTTTATGTTTACATCAATAGTTAGCCTGTACATTCAAACCGATTACCTGGGATCTTATCTGCATATGGTTTAACGTCGACGTTGTGATAACTACCTAGAAACATTATAATATATATATATATTTATAGCACAATTAAAAATAACTTATTCCTTTAAAATCATATTTTCACATTTGTGTCTAGTTTATTTTACAAGTATCTAAACATATGTCAATATTTAGATGTAATATATTTAAAATTGTCTCATATAAAATATAATAAGATAAAACAATAAATGTAATCACGGCGTTTCGAATATGCAATATTGCTACATAACGGTCTTAGGATTTTTAGTCGTCTTTAGTGGTATTTAATAACCACAATATAACGTAATACGATATAATTATATATTTTAATATTATAATATATAACTGTTATTACTCTTTTTCATTATAGAACAGAAAATACCCATCTCTTAACGCTGTAATATAAACCACTTAAATAATTTGATAGCCATCGCGTTCAAGAAAATATGATGTTTACTCCAGGTAAATAAACGGACCCAAAACTATTTCCGGGGAAACCAAGTACAACTAAAGTTTACAAAAGTCGTGTTAAAATTTAATAGCAGTACGGGATTATTGAATTAATCTCCATAAATACCTACGTCAGGGTTTTAAATTAATATATATTATTATTTCGAGACAAATTCGTTGTAATTAATGTAGAATCGTGTTTATTGCGGCGTCATTTCGTTTTATTTAAAATCATTATTTAATACACTGAAAAAAATTAAAAAAGACTAATAGAGATGGACTTGTAGAAAGGTGGATAGGTTACTATATTGTACGACGTGTCACTGGGGTATATGTTGCCCGATAGAAGTAGGTATGTTTTACTGAATAATGTAAAACATGATTATTAACGTACGTATTTAAAAATATATTTCTAATCAAATGTATTCATAAACGTTTTTTAAAATTAAAAATTAAAATAATAAAGAACAGTTTACAAAACTATGTGTTTATAATTTTAAAACAAAAAAGGGGATAACTATACATATATCCTACCGTAGACCACTGTTTTAAGGTGGACTGGTATATACATGAAAAGGTGACTAGTTACCTGGTATATTTATATTGCATTATAATATTTAAACGTGATAATTGTTCAATTTTGAGCTGGGCAACTCCTTCCTATTCTTGAAAATAAGCTTTGGCTTGTAAATTTGTTTAGTTTTTTCTTCTATAAAATGTTTAATTAAAGATCACCCTCCTAGCTCAGATTACGTCACTACCCCATTTTATTAGTTTTTCGGCATATTTAAATTAAATAATTTGAAATATGCCAGTTTTTCGAAGTCTTTTCTGTGTTTAATTAATATTTTTCAGTATATTTCTCGTCTATATTATTTATTGCTGCCAAAAACCATAAAAAAAAGTAGCGTATTACTTTAAATAAATATAATTTGTATTAGGATAGTTTATATGATAATGAAGTAAAAGATACATATTTATACAAAAATGGACTTATATTAATAGTAAATACACATTTCAAACACCTATAAATAACGCAATGTTTAGAAAACTGTCTAGAGAGAAGTAATGAATGTATTCATTGAAAATTGTGGGACTCTAGAATTAAATTTAACAAAATTCCAAAAAAATAAAATACAATTGAAAATATAGAAATCTTTGATATATAACCTACACTTTTTTCCTGGTTTTTCTCGATTATTAAGACAACTACAAGGAAAATGACATCATTAAAGAAATAAAAAAAAATGCTAACAGAAACTACTTCTGAAGTGGATGATTGGAACAAGATTTCTGGCAGACAATTTGTTTAGATACATAAATAAAAAACATCGTAAAACATAGTGACATTTTTCACTTCACTCATAAATAATCTAAAAGTAAAATAAACAATTTTTGAAACAAAATCAAATTTTTTAATTTACTTTTGAATTATTAAAGTTGAAATAAGAAATAATAATACTTAATATAATTATTATTGCACTTAATCGTAAATTAAGAGCAGTGAAGTAGACAGGGAGCTAAACGGACTTTATCTCCACCCCATTAGCTATAATAAAATACAAAAAAACAATACCTATAAACTATTCAGTAGAGAAAACTTATTCCTAATAAAATAACAATTGTTGCAAATTGCACATTTGCACTACCTATACTTACTTCACTATATCAAGTATATAATAATTATATTACACGATTATGTATTTTGGAAAATTACCTCAAAACAATTTTTTGTTTTATAAATGCAGATATATTTTACTTGTATGTTATTATTTATACATTTCAATTAATATGTTGAGTCCCTCTTATTGGAAAATTCTGGGTACGCTACTAATTGTAATTAGCAGATGGAGTATTTTAACAAAGGTGCATAGAAAAGATCACGCCAAAGAAAATTATTTTTTCTTTAAGTAGAATTATTTTTGGGCGTGTAGTTATGTTTTTATATATATATATATATATATATATATATATATAATTTACAGTTTGGTATCAAGATTGTTTGAGATCAAGATGCATGTTACCGCATACCGCATATTACAAGTAACTGACCGCATGAATTTAGAGGGGAGCGGTAGAAGAATTAAATAATTTAAGACTATTTAAATGATTTAAAATAGTTTTAAGATATTTCGATTTTCCTTAATAGATTTTTCAATGGAAAAAATATATAATATAGTGACTTTGTAGTATCTATACCATTATATAGTTTAAAAGCATCTTCGAGTTTTAAACAGCATTTCTACGCGGAAAATGTATTAAACTTGTGACAGGCATTATTATGATGGATCATTTGAAATTAATTATAATTGGCTGCTATATTACACGTGAAACACATATACGTATATAATATCATGTTATACACTATGAGTATGTAAGCAGATATAAATCCATGTTGATCCAAGTGTATGACACGGTATTTGTAAAACATACCAGGCCGTTTCCGTGCAAATGACACGAGTATATATTATGACGTATCTATACATCATTATTAAATATCTAAATAACTGTGGTTTAAAACTATAGAAAATATTCCCACTGACATTCAAAAGTTTAAAATTAAATAGCGTAGATATAAGGGAGAGTCCCTCCCAATACGAAGCGTCCTAGGAACTATTATACGATTTAAGTCAGTGTTTCTCAAAATAGGGGCACGCCTCCCTGGGGTGGCAAGAACACATTGCTGGGGAGGCACAAGCAATTTATGAGATTTGTATTCATTAAATTATTTTTATTTTACAATGCAGGGAAAAATCAAAAATTTTTAATGATCGGTTATCGATAAAGATTACGAATATGGCTATATTTAGGAAGTGACAGTTGCCCAAAATTTTTTAATTTTTTATAAAGATTGGTTGTAAAGATTTGTTTGTTTATCAGGGGAAGAGGTCGAGAGTTTTGAAAATATATAAAGGGAACATACCATAAAAAAAGGTGGGGAACCACTGATTTAAGTGATAAGTGATAACTAAAGAATGTTATTCGATAAAATTTAACACACTAGATCAGACATACCTATTTTGTCATCAATCCGGAAGTTTTAATCATATCTCAAGTTTATAATTTATTTTTCTTTAACGACAAATTTTCCATGTTAAATTTGGACACCATACGATTGTGCACTTATAGGTATCTTGACTGGAAAAACCTTACACGAATTCGCATCGAATTTAAACTGATTTAAATTTATTTAATCGGCTTGTTTGTTTTAGTTTCTCATGAAAGTTTGTATGTAGTTAGGTAATCTTAGGAAATGCTAACACAGATCCTCCCCTTGTAAGTAATTTAAAAAAAAAATAATAAAAAATTGAAATTAACTCTTACTTAAAAAAAAAAGAATCAAGCAAAACAAGCAAATGAGAAAAAAGGACATTTTTTAAAAAAGATAAATTAGTTAAATTTTTAGGAGGAAATTCATAAAATTTACATTTGGAGTATTTTATCATATTATGTTTGTGAAACGTAGACGATAGGAAAGTATGAAAGAGATAGACTATAAGTGATGGAGATGTAGATATTGAGGAAAATGATAGGAACAAACTGGATAGAACATAAGTTGATGAGAGAAGAACAATTCATTTATGAACACAATAATGAAAAAGTAAATAAATCTGTTAGGTCATCTGTTAAGAAACACACAATAAGTTCATCACCATCATCGTGGAATAGAAAATAAATCGTAAATAAGACCGTGTAAATCCTTCAATGAAGAAATCTTCCGTTAGATGGGTTTTACCTCTTACTGACAACTCAAGAGGATAGCATGTGACAGATATGAATGACAACGACAAGCCTTAGCCTCTAGAAGCTGAATGAATGATAAAAAAAAAACTACACTACACTCAATTCTTTTTTTGACCACTGGGTACGACTTATAATGAACCTCCTATTAAATTTTCAAGCATTTTTGTTCAGTCTAATAATTTAATGTACAGAGTATATAACAAATAAAAATTACGTATAGAATCCATAAAATTAAAATAGTCTACAAATAGCTCAACAATTTTACCACGTCTAGAAAAAGCAAAATATAAGTTCTAATCAAAATCTCAAGTCTCTTCGAATATTTTTAACAGAGTTACAACAAAAAATAAAATAAAAAATAATTAAAATATTATTTGTGTCAAATTTCCTGTTTTTTCCACGTTTTTTTCGGCTTTGCTCAGTTATTAACAAAACTACAAAGAAAATGAAACGACTTACATACTCATCAACAAGATTAAAAATACAACAAGAAAGGTCTCAGCATGGGGTATTATTTGGCACTTTCATAATAATTTTCATTCCGGGTTTTCCATATTCTATTTTTATGAAAATCCTTTGAATAACAAAAAACTGTCCTGCTCATTGCACCAACCAGATCAAATTTTTTTTCAGAAAAGATGTCATTATTGTCGATAAACATATTATTTACAATTTTCCACAGATCGACAATTTTTATTAGTAGGCCGAAATCGAATACCACCTGAAAACTTTTTAAGTAATAAGCATCCACTGAAATTCGTTAATACGTAAATTCACCTTTTCTCGTAAAATCTTATGATTCCTACATAAAATTGTTTAGGTACGTTATCGTATTGTATTTTGATCTTTAGTTTTTTTTTAGAGAAAAAGGTAAAACTTGCATCATCACGGTGCATTGGTGACATTTATATCAGACTATATTTTTGGTGGTAAGTTATCGCGAACTTTAACGAGTATAATATAAATCCGAGGTGGTAAACGATGAATTTTAAATAACTCAAATATTTAGGTTTGAATATTTTACAATATTACAACATTAACATTCTAACATTGCGGTATAATATATACTAGAGAGCGTCAAGTAGCGGTTTATCGTTGGATTTATTCGGTGTCGTTTACAATTCTCGCGGCATTATAGTATCCGAGGCGCATGCATAATAATACTACAGTAACATTTGGCCGTCGAACATTTTATACGCGTTTGTTCTCGAAACGTGATAAATTTCAAGGGTATTATTTTTGCCAGAAAATCGTAGGGGGAAAAAACACGAAACGAAGCGCAACGAAAAACAAAGGAAACGATAGAAAAAATTATATCCGGGCGGCGACGGTGGCGGCGGCGGTGGTCTTTTGAAACACTTCCTCTCCCCGCCACTACACTCTGTTTCCGCCTGTTGGCGCGGTGCACTTATACCGTTCACAGTTGTCGTTGTATGTATACACCACGACTGTTATACAACACTACTGCCCGTCTTCATCTTTGGTCGTCCTTTTGTTTCATTTCGTTTTTTTTTTTTTTCCTTTTCCTATGATATAATATTATAATATTATTTTTTCTCCGAGTCTTATTTTCGCGCTGCTCGTTCGGAAACCAAACGTCGACGGCGGCGAAGGAGGCGGTATAACAACTTACTGTAAAACAGCCCAAAGAACACCACTGACTACGCGAGGCGGCGCAAGAGTTACTGCTGCCGTCACACACCCGCGACCGCCTCCACCCGTATACTTGCCGGGAACGAACCGAAAGCAAGTTTTTCCCGTTCGCCCGCCTGAATAGTTATACACTGCCCCCCCTCCACGACTATAAAATATCGATTCGCTGCTCCGGCTCATAGTCGTTTTATATTATAAACCGCCACCGCCACTCGTATATATATATATATGTATATATGGATAGATTTACACATCTGAATATATTATGTGTGTGTAAGCGTGTGCGTGTGTTTGTGCGTGCGTTTGCGTGTATGTATATGAATGTATGATTGCAATGAAACAACGACGACGACCACCACCACAAATCGCGACTTAGTCTATAGAAACAATCGGGTATACTACAGGCACTACAGTTACCTAGCTATATAAGGTATTGTTCAGTGTATCGGAAAAGATGTAGCCAATATATTTTATCTGGATAAAATTAAAATTGAACAACTGAAATAATGACTAAAGATTTATCCAAGATAAATGTGAAATACGCAAGTTTCCGTTATTACGGAGTTTGGAAACGGTTTTCCACGTTTTCTCCAATTTCGTAAATTTTATACTTTTTAATGACCGCTTTGATGATTAGACTTTTTCACTAATTTACTACCTGATACCCATTTGAGGTGAGAGATAAAACCGTTTTCACCGGAGACATTTTAAATCAATAAGCTGTAGTAAAATTCACCCACTACCGTGCTCGGCCAATTTTAATTTTGAAACTATATTTATATTCTTTGGTTTCTTATCTATGATTTTAACAGATATTTATTCGTTTTTATTTTTATTATTATGAGTGTCGCAAGAAAAAAAGTATATTTATTTTTCCTACTAACCATAAAAAAAAAAGTACGAAGTCAAATCGTGTCTCAAAAGAGAAAATGGATTACTGGACGTAAGTTTATTTTTCTCCAAATGATTGGTTTAAATATATGAAACGTCGAATCACTTCCAATAGCCTTAAGATAATTCATAAAAATTGTACTTAAATAGGGTAGGTGTAAATAGTAGGTATTTCGGATTTCAAATATATTATTAAATATGAAAAATTAATGTTTTTTAGTTGGTACAAAACATAATATTATTTATGAATGACCAAGGTTATTGCGTGATTAAAACATATTTGAGAAATAATGATGAATAGTGTATAGTGTACATATTATTACATAGTAAATATTATTATTTGCGCATTTACTAAAAATAAATACGAAGATACAGTTAATATATTTTAGTTAAATCAGTATAGAAGATAGTATGTCGATAGATTATCTTTTAGACGATATTTTCAAGATAATAATATCCCAACACCGGCACTATAACGTTGCCATCGTTACTTTTCGTATTTCATACGGTGCGTAATGTTTCATCGCGTTTTTATAATTTATAAGTATTTATATGTACCGTACTGCGTATAATACGTTAGTGACATAATCACTTGTTGTGGTAGACACTGCCCAGACTCGATTCGATCGGTCGCCCTTCGGCTTGCCGCCATGCCGTTTCCGTACGTGTACTTACACGGTTTATAATAACATTTTGTCCCTCACCGAGGCGGCAGTCGTTATTGTTATTATTATTAATATTACTATTGCGACTGTTATTATTATTATTTTATTTTATTTTTTTTATCGTTATAGTCGTCTATAAATGTATATTTATATACTTAGGTATCTACTATTATACGTCCGCGAGTTTATTTTATTTTTTTAAGTAAATTGAATTATTTCTGTTCGTCGCACTGCCGCCGTGGTAAAAAAAAAAAAAAATAATAATAATAATAAAAATAAAAATAAAAACCACCACGGCCGTAGACGATCCGTGACGACGTTAAAGCACACACCGACGAACTTCGAGGCATGGCGGAATATCATAACGGTAGCGTCGGCGGCGGCGGCATTTAGCGTGTGACTGCGTGTAACGCGGTATTGCCCGGACCAGAGAGCAACAAGTGTGATAAAACCGCGACGGTAGGGACGCCAAACTCGGTGTAGGTGAAAAGACGACCACGGAGGCGAAAAATAGGTTTTTTTTTTTTTATGATAAAACCTCGTTAAACATTTATCAGAATAATATTTTGTTTTCATTTCTCCGCGCGTGGGTTTCCTGTAGAAAAAACAAATTTGTTACTGCTGAACAGCGTGCCACTGTCGAAAACGGGAAGTTTACAGAATACGTCACAGAGTTATTTATAATTTATATATATTCGCGACGAAATACGATTCTGAGTGAAGTTCGATTAAACACGTTTCGAAATGCCGTGGTTTAAACGATTTGCACTTGAAATACTTTTTGAAATTCTTGTAAAAATTGTGACGACCACCAGTGGCGTTATTAGCGTGGGATTCAAGGGTATGAGAATACATCTAATATATTTTTTTTTTGAACATGCTTAAAATGTATAGATGTAGATGTGTGAATGCAAATTTAATTTGGAAAAACAAGAATTTTAAAATTTTTTTTTCTGTAGTTTCCTTACGTTACTATGGTGGTTATAAGTCACAAACAATTTAATTTTTTTAATTTTAAAACGAAAAAAAAATTTAAAAAACATTAGTATCACTATTTAAATACACTCAAAAATACCGTCACGCACTATAAATACGTTACTGTAATAGTTATAGACTCATAGCCAACAACAACAAATAAATAAATAAATAAATAAATATTGAATAGTTAGTTTAAAACTCATTTGGAACATGCGTTCCGAATAATTTTATGGGCATAGCCCTACTCCGCGAAAGAACTGGTTCCTAATATTTACATTTATCTTTTCCCGCAGAACACTAAAATGATATAGTTCCCGTTTTCGCCAAAATCTATTTTATAAAGAAACGTTTCCGTCAAATGTTGTTTGGAAATCATATACCTTAAGTATTACCTTTTAGTGATATTAATATAATACGTTATAATCAATATGATAATGGTAATACAATTAAATTAGTTTTAAAAAAAAATCACATAATATTCAATATTCAAAAAGCCATAGTAAAATAATACCTTATACGAGTAATAATAATACATAGTTAGGTATAGTAATAATAATATAAGTCGTTACAGCTAATAATTATAATTAATATATGTAGTGAAAGTTTAAAATAAATCACATAATTAAATGAAACCATCTTCACAAAAAAGTACCTACAAATTTCATTAGATTTTCTTTTATAATTACTTCTTAAGTAATTTTTAATATCTTTAATATTTTTAATATTATTATTAAATTATCGATTAAATCATATTAAATCATTACAAAAGGCTACATTAAACTAGATTAAACTGGATGTTATACGTTATGTCAATAAAAATTAAAATCATTGGTTTCCAAATTTTTTTTAGCGAAAACGGGAATTATACATTTTTTTTATTTTTGGTGGAAAAGGGCTTTGACGGAAACGGCCAATATTATTTTAACCGAAACAGGAATCAGTCAATTGAATAACACGCAACTACCCGAAAACCGTTTCCGTAAGAGAATTAGAGTCCCACAAAACATAGTAATGTCAAATAGCATAATAAACTAAATCGTTGATGATACTGCTTATCATAATGTCTAGAGCGGCAAGTGCACGCATAGGAAAATGAATTTCCCAAACTAATCGGATGTTTGAAGGAAGGTATTGAGAAGAGATGCCAGACCGTTTACAAAGACATTAAGTAAATCGTATACGCCACATCGATCTTGCTATTTGACAAATCGAATAGGTCTTAACTATGCTTTTTATTACTACCCGAAAATTGATGATTTAAATATTATTTGAGTGTACTTCGAATCCCAGTGATCACAACAGAATTACCATTTAACTTTAAAGTTTCCAATTCTCTTTAAGAGTTTCATTTACTATCATAATTAATAAATTACAAGGGAGTTTAACTATTTTTGATCTACGTTCAGAGTATTTTTCTTATAGCCAATTAAACGTTGGACTTGCCAGACTAAAAACCTTAAATATCAAATAATATTAATTTCTACTGATAACCTATCTAAAAATTTAGTAATATGTTTAGAAGTTTTGTAGTTCTATAATAATAAAAAAAAAAAATTAAAAATGTATGAGTTAAATAAAATTACAGTAATTCGAGTAAAATAATATTCTTGGCTTGTATGTAAAATTCCTATACTATATGTACGCTATTTAATTAAACGAAAATGTATTAAGTAGAACATACAAAGACATTTTCAAAGCATTACCCAGAAAAATCTGATAGTGAAGTTACACAGATTTTACAAAGAGATCAGAATTTTGCAGGAAAACATGGCAGTTACGTTATAATTATTTTTCATTCAATAATGTGCATGAGCAATGCCATGCGGGACAACTAGTAAATAATATTTACTGTTTCAATAGTAAATTTATTCAGTGATTATTGTGTATTATATCTTAATATAACATAAATAGTAAATTTGAAAATTAATTTAATTAGGTTTTTGAATTTTAAGAGTTTTAAGAAAACTTTTTCTTTCAAATAAATAATAGTCATTGAAATCAAACCACTGAACCACTCTACAAGTAATGAGAGTTTTTTCCGTAAGGTATGTTTTTGAGCCATACAACGCGCTATTATCATATTTAAAAATATTTCTCTAATATCTACTGACTTTATTTTGGATAATAAACCATACAAGAACGAGATGTACTCTGTGTATATCTCTATACGAAAATCCAGAAAAAATTCTACTTAAAATATACCAACATGCACAGGAACGCCCACAAATGAAAATTCGATTAGCTTCAAGATTGGTTAGATGACAATAATTGTGTTTTCTTATTACGCGTTGGATGAAAACATAAACTTAAGTAACATAGCATCTGTAATACACTTGTAATGATGAAACATGTAGCGTGAGTTCCATTATTTTCCTATATTTTCTTAACGCAGCAGCTATTTGCGGAATAAGATTCCCTAGACATTATGTTTCCTTAGTTATTATATCAAATGATATGCATTTTGATTTGTTTATATAATTTCAGTCCTCGTGACAATATCTTTACCTATACACATTGTAATGTTTTACGTGGGTGTAGATTGATTATATTGTGTCAGCCGCGAATAAAATGCATATTGCACACGGTGGATTCCACTTCAAATTCACCGTTTCCTAATCGCGTATGCTCTTTATTTAGTTCTCTAAGAGTTATCACGAAACATTTGACACCTATATGCACTAAAACGAACAAGATACTTAATTAATATAATAATTTTTCTTTTTTTTGTATAAAAGTTTTCTTCGTTTACTTTATTCATATCAAATTTATCAAACGAGTACCTACACTAGTGCACAAATTCGTTACGAACCCCGCAATGTTAACATGTTTGCTAACACGGTAATGTTTTAATATAGGTTATTTTTATAAGCACTTGTGTTGTCGTTATTCACTAAACTGACAATCTAATGTATGTATCTGTATACGTTAAAACGCGCAATAATTTTTTATTACTTTTTTTATGCATTGTTATTTCTCTACAGCGCTAAAAAAACAATTTTTCTGATCGGTAATTTATTGTTGATGGCAAAGGACATCGTAAAAACGCCACCAAAATCCACCGACTAATGATTTCACTATTTCCATTATGCATTTGAAACGTTTATTTACAGTAAAGGTTTTACCCATATTTTGTGTTTATTTTCTATTTTTTGAATTGTTCAAATTCTAAAAAATAGTACGGGTATTTTTTTTTTTCAAAGTAAAATAGTGTAGAAATTATATATTATATGACACAAAATACAATATAGTATAAATAAATTACTCCCGGTACGGTAATTTTTATTACGTTAAATTATACATTTTTTTTTTTTTTAATATGGACGTTATATATTATAGTTTATTATCTAGTTAAAAAAATAAAGAAAAGAAACATCTGAATTATGTTTGATACAGTTTTTTTTCAAAAATGGTTTGAAAAAACTACTTATTGTATAAATATTAATAAAGCTTTCCTAAAAATATATTATGGCGTATTTACTTTACTAAAATTATTGGTTCCATTTCGGTTCCAAACAATCGTTTTTCGTTAACAATGATTAATCGGTGCATACAAAAATACATAAAATTCCGTTCTATATCTTATCTTTCCAACTTATCACCCTATAACAGTGGCTCACCCATTGTGCAAAGTATGTCCGTCTTTTTATATTTGTTTTTTTTTTTTTTTAATATCCATATTTCATAATGTTATTTTTTGTTTGTTTAAATTACAATCCGTTTTTTGTTATTTTTTTTTCAAATTAATTTCTTAACATTTCACTGCGTGAAAGTTATTTGATTATATTTTACTCGTTTCGGTTATAAGAAAAATTAGTTTTTATTTTAAATTTAATTTTTGAAACGAAAAAGTTATTCCTGGGGGTTTAAATTAAATTTTGCCGAACAAAAATACGTGGGCGGAAATTTTTAAATTCGTAAATACCCTTTGCAGAGTCGTTTACTTAACTTGGACGCAGCCAATCGTATTAGCCAAGACCATATTAAATGACTACACTGAAATATATAACGTTTAAATTCATTAACAACTTATAATGTATTGTTATCATTTCGCACTTTTATAATGGTAGTATAGTAACTCAAAAAACCATGTTTTGAGAAAAGCTAGTTCAAGGACTCACGAATTTTTAAACACCTTTAAAACAAAAATTAGTTTATCTATCATATTATTATTTTGGATTTCTATAGTTTATAAACATAATTTTGTAATTTTATTATTTAAACTACACAAAAAATTAAGCAAAAAATTAATTATTTCATAAACAAATTTAATTTAATTCGCTTTGGTTAATATACTAGTTTAGTAGACTAACACACAAACTATTTAAATTAATTGAAATGCAATATATATTATTTTAAGATAACAAGCTACTGAATTAGAGGAACCTATTATTTCCCTTCAAAATGTAATAATTATATTGTTCATATATGTACATAGTTTTTTTGAGTTAATACACTATTGCATTTACAACTACATGTTAGGGCAAGTGCGAAACATGTCTCCACTAAAAATTATTAAAACATACAAAGAATTATTTTTATTAAGCCTTACCGTGCAATATATGAAGCAAACCTGGATAAATATTTCATTCTTTACTAATTAAACTTCTATAACAAAAGTATTTTACAGGTTATGTATATTACCCATGTATCTATTTATAGATATATGATATACCTATTTATAGTCTTTAACGTGCGTTTGGATATCAAATTCTACTTTTTTACTCCCCTGAAAATTATGTTATGGACACCCACCCAAGACCTAACCATGGTTTTTCGTTCAACTTATTCAATTTTATTAATACAAGAAAATACAGTATAGTGTACCATAATTAACTGCATTTTTACCATAAGAAAAGTGGTGTAACTCAAAATCTCATATTTTATTTTTTTTTTTTTTAGTAACTACACTACCTTTTGATAGTACGATTTATGTTCTATCCATAAAAAGTTTTTTCAGTATACAAGTGAACGTGATATGGATGAAAATTAAAAAAAAATAAAGCTGATATTCCACAATATCCCACGAGGGTGTGCCACTATTGTAGATAGGAAGTTTGAAAGGTAGAAAACATAAAATTATTTTTTTTATGTCTGCACGCAACGATAAATTATTGCTAACGAAATACGATTCTGCGCGAAGTTCAGCTAAAAATGTTACGATATTTGTCAAAATTTGAACTTAAGATGGTTATATAAAAAAAAAGACACAAATGCACCAGTTATATTCAAAATTCTACAAAAACATTTTTCTTATCGTTTTACGATTGGAGCAAAATTTCTGGGGAAAAAATGTTTCATTGACACAAATTCAAGACCCACATCGTAGTAAAATCAATACGTTACTAACTGCTCTCGAAATTCAATATCAACGCCTCGCTTCAATGTTAATATATTGATAATATTAAGACTATATTAATTAAAATTTAACATGTCGATCGCCATATAATGTACACCTATTAAACTGAAATATTATATAGATTCGATAATTTACTATTATTTGTTCGGTTAAATTGAGAACGGTTGTTAAATTACTTCTACCACCATAATAATAAATCATTGTGAGACGCTCAATATATATATATATGTATATAATGTTTATTATGTTTGAACGCGTGGAATTATTGATAAATTGGAAAGAACATTTTTCATTATAAGTGAAAGCCGTAGCAGTTTTAAACAACACATTAAGCTGTTTCTATACGGATTTTTCGATCAAACTCGCGTGAATATATTTTACGGTTTATCGGATTTTTTTTACCTATCGCGGACTTTCGGACGTAATGTTCAACTCGAAACGAAATCTGCTTCGGAAAAATTTACGAATTTCACCACTACGTTTTTTAACCGTCTTATCAGAAACGTTCAATACCTTCAAAATTTCCCGATAATTCACATTTCGTATGCCGGTCGTATAATGTAATAAGCATGGAACTATATTATTCATAATGATTTTCATGTCAAATGTAATAAAAATAGAAACGTAGAAATGACTCGATAATGATTCGGATACAACTGAAGACATTTTTAACTCTACTATACCTATGTTCTCGTAGAAAAAGAGTGATATAAACATTTTTTTTTTTTCGTTTTATTAATCCGAAATTTGTTTTTAACAAATTTTTACAATAGATTACTTCTAAATTTTTCTCTATCATGCGCCATATTCTTGAGATACCTGTAAGAAGTGACTCCTGCATCCTTTATTACATGGCTAATGTATTTCGTCCTGGGTCTTCCTCTTGATCTTGTTCCTTCTATCATTCCTTCAATTATTAAACTATGCAGTGCATCCCCATGCCTCAACGTGTGTCCTATCAACTGCCATCTCCTTTTCCTTATAATGTCAATCAATGTTCGTTTTTTATCTATTTTCCTCAAGACGTCTTCATTCGATATTCTCTCAGTCCAGCTTATTCTCTACATCTTTTCCAACACAACCAGAGCTTTCAACATATCTTTCTCTTTTTTATTAACTGTTCACATCTCGCTTCCATATAATGCTACACTCCAGACGTATGTTCTTATGAGCTATTCTTCGTTGCTATGTTTATATTCAATCCATTAATGTGTATTAATATAATACAAATTAAAAATTACTGCTTTTCTGCGTGCCAAGTTGTATTATAATTTTTGTGCGTCTATTTTCATTTTTTTTTGCTCTTAGTGACGTCAGTCACGTTCCTCGAATATTAAAAAAAAAAAAAAAATTCCATTATTTTTGTTGATGAAAGTCGTATAAACTTTTGGACTAAAATGTTGAATATAAAAATAAGATAAAAAAGAAAACGAAACTATCAATACGAAATTAATTTTGTAATTTGTTTCACGTGACCGACGCTTTATACTTTTGTATAAAATAAATAGACACAAAATATACACAATATAGAATGTGCTTAAGTATTATTCGTAGCAACGTTTCGAATCAGTTTATGCAAATCTTTTACTACCTATAAATAGAAAGTCGTTCAATTATAAAACATAGAGTAGAATAAAACAAATAATAATTTATCGAAATAATTCAAGGTTGGGATTCAAATAAATCTAAAATGACACGGTTATGTTGTAAACGCACAAAATAATATTATTTCGTACCTGTTCTTCCAGTGATTATTGATATTTAATGAACACGTTGAAAATAACCAGACGTTTAAAAAAAAAAAAAAAAAACCGTTCATCAATAACGAATTTATTAAAATATGATTTCCCAGTGACATAATAATATTTGTAAAATATGTTTTAATTTAGATATAGATAAGCTGTATCTATATAAATACAAAGAAGTAGTAAATCGAATATTGTTTTGATAACCGTTATTATTGCAACAAAAAAAAAAAATCTTAAAAACTAAAAAAAAAAGAAAGAGAAAGGCAACGATTAAACATGTAAACTTTTGAGTGTATTTCAACTTTATACGTTATATTACAATTATCGGGATTTTTTAATAAATCGCGTTAGTAATAATAATTAAAACTGTATAAAATGAGAAATGTTGACATACGGGGTTAGGTGTTTATAAATTTATTTTGAATTGTATACTGTTTGTCTGTGATTTAAAAATAACTGAACGAGACAGAATCAGAGAAACCCACTAATTACGAAAATATTCATATCAATATTATTGGTATATAGTACTATGGTAACCGCTAAAATTCTGCACATTTCAAATAATACATTTTCGGGTACAAATAAGGTACATGCAGGTTCATGCAACCGAATATATTAAAACAATATAGTTGATTATCGTTTATACTTAATATGTGTACAACTGGCATCTTGTATTTCTTTATAATTCAAATTATTGACATAAATACTGTTCGTAGAACTTTTAATGAAAATAAAATAAAATAAAATGTTGAGATAACGATTTTTAACGATTAAGGATTATGGTGATATTATTGAACAAGTCAAAACATCAAAAATATAAAGAATAATAAATGGAAAAGAACGCCTTGTAAGACCATTTTAATAATAAAAAAAAAAACTGTATTCGGTATACATTTTAAAAGACATATCTACATCATGTTTCAATTTATACCGTTTGGGAATATCTGGTTTGTAACGATAATTATTACCCTGTGTGACTATGTCTTTGTTCAATATCTAATCCAGTGTATAATGATAATTATTTCTGTAAACGGTTCGTAGCTATAATTACCTGCGAATAACGTTATTTTAAATGGCGTTTAACGAAATTTAGAGTAACGCACATTATAGGACCTATAATACCGATCCACACCTCAGTGTTCCTTTGTATCTACACACGTTTACCTTCATAATTACCCCCTCTAAAAAAAAAAAAAAAAAAAAAAAAATATAAACTTATATTAATAAAATCAGGTCCTTTATAAAAACTGAAAATGATTGTAAGGTAATGAAAAATAAAAAAAAAACTGATACTGGGGATGGTAGTGGCCACTGTTATAGGTGAAAAGTTGGAAAAGTAGGATAAATAAGGTTATTTCATTTATATCAGTAAGTAACGATAAATCATTACTTGACGAAAGACGATTCCGAGCGCAGTTCGTAATACATAATTTGAATTGTCGTAATTATGTTTGCGATTTTCGATAAATTTAATTTAAAAACGCTTATTAAAAAAAAAATTAAGTCGTCCGATGATTTTGGAAACTTTACCATGTCTAGATAAGTCCAATATAAGTATTATTACCAAGTTTCAAGTCCCTATGTGTATTAAAAACCGAAAAACAGCAAAAACTTCTAAAAATTACAATTCCTTAAAAGCTCAAAAGTATTAGCAATGATAGTGTAAAATACTAAATCGTAAAGGAAACAAAATAGGTGTCTTGTGATTTTTCAATTAAATCATTTTTTTGGTATAAAATGTCGTTCGTGTTTTTATAAAATGTGAAATTGTACTTTTTCCCACGTTTTTTCCCACTTAAATGCACTCATTTGAAAAATGGCGTCGAAAATCAAAAGATGATCTCTTTAAAGTACCATCTAGACAACTTAAGCTTTCAGAAAATCAGAGCAAGTTTACTAGGAAAAAACGTGTCCACAGACTAGAAGAAAGAAAGAAAGAAAAAAAAAGTTATCTATAAGATCCATAGGATATTTCCAACAAAAAAAATGATCGAAATCCGGTCGTTTTAAAAAAAAAACATGAGAGTTTTCCCATAAGATGTTTTTCAACCAAAAAAAGAGCTGGAAACGATCCCCGAAAACGTCTTATTTTTCTAATGATGTATATACATTGAGTAATCGCTCACACTTTTATTGTTGACAAAAATGATTTGTTTTATTTTTTTGCATTTTTTGATTAAATAAGTAATTTTACCTATTCAGGGTCTATGTTATTATAATTATTTTAATCCAAGTGTGCGTTTTGTAACTTAATATAAAACATTAGTACACTAGCAAAAATTATATTTTTTTGTGGTGGAAAAACTTCTACCCGCGAATAAATTATAGTTATATAATATTTTTAGGATTTCACGGCGTGTTATGCACGAGCTATTATAACTGAACTATTTAAGATTCCAGAGACTGCGATAATTTATATTTTTGCTTTTTTTCATAAACATTTAGCGATTTAGTTTCATAAAATCGAGTAGACAATAAAAATAGGCTTTTTTATTTTTCAAACGAGTTAAGGTTTTTTTTTTTTTTTAATTGGATCGAGACTAAATGCTTACATAATTATGATTATTAATAAACAACATACTTAAAATAAACAGCTGTCGTGTGTTATAATATGGTTACAATTAGCCGATTTTTCTTGGAATACATAATTTGATCAAATTGTCAATTAAATAAATAATTATAAAACAGAAACAAAAATTTGCTAAGGTGCAAGATATTTCAATCAAAAACATTTGAATTACACAAAATATTCGACCATTAGTATTTTCTATTATTAGAAGAAAAAAAACTATATAAATACATTTCTATGGGAAAAAAAAAAGACTATTTTGTTTTATATATGTGTTCTATTGCATTTCAAATGTTTAAATAATAAATTACGCATTGCTATTTATAATATGTTCCGACTATATTTTTATTCATTTTCTTATATTTTTTTTTTTGTGCCTTTATACTTTTATATTTGTTGTTTTTTCCGTTTTCTTTTTCTTTATTCATATAATCGCTGAGCTGTATCGATTAGTATACCTAATATTGAAAGCTAATAATAATAATGATAATATTAGTATTTACAGGCATGTATATTTTTTAGCCTTTTTAGTTATAATTAATAAAAATATTTCGTATTATAATAAATTTAAATGATTTTACAATATTAGTTTTTAATTAATGTTTTATAAAAACTGAAATATTTTAATATTTTAAAATATCAATATATTATGCAAATTTCTTAATAAACAATATCGATTTATATTTGTTTCAAAAAACACGTTACCAGTTTTATTGTTAATAATTAAGATTAAATATATTGTAATAAAATATCATATGGAATTTCAATAACAATACTAAATTAACCGAATTTTGAAAATGCATACAAATGTAGATAAAACTACTTAATAAACTAATACACTAGGGAAATTTAAAATATTTAAATCAAAAATAAAGGGGACTGAACTATATTAGAAGAAATCATAAAAAAATAATTTCAAAAATTAATTTTGTTGCCTTCGAAATTGAAATGCTGACTTCTTAGACAAAATTTTCAAATTTGGGGATGGTTATCTCCGCTCTATCATGCAACACCCTTCGCTATCTTTAGATCCTGATCGCAATATTGACTATAGGTGGTTTATTTAAATTGAGCGAACATCAAAAGTATTTTTTTAAACATGTTAAATTATGATCGATGCTATTAATATGCAAGCCCTTAGCAAAAAAAAAATTGAGCGTCATGTAATTTTTTTTTTTTTTTATGAGCGTAAATCTTAAAAATCATTTCAAATCACGTTTAACCGAACGTTATTTAGAATTGTTTGTCGTTAGTTATGATTTTTGATGCATACGGATAGAATTTAAATAACTATATAAAATATGTGTCCTATACACCTGTCCAACTTCCCACCTATAACAGCGGCATATACGTCACTAGTATAAGCTCTTTTACAGATGGAGGGCTATTGATTAAAATAATAATTATTAAATAAATATATAAGAACTGAATCGTTTTTATTTTTTCGTCATGTTTGGTTCCACACCCTAAAAATACAATTTTATTTATTGAAATAAACCATTTTAATTAACGAAATAAAACAATATTTTAACTGTAAAATATATATGGTATTATAATATAATCATTGCAGTGTTAATGTGATTGATCATATTCGGTGCATTCGTATCTCATCCACAGAGAGGATAAAAACCCTCGGAATATTTTGAGAACGTTTACGAGACCATATGCAGTCTCGATTATTAATTTTTATCGTATAAATTCAACCCAAAGACACGATAGTGGAAATAAACTAGGTATTGTCCTTCTTCTTCATCAAACATTGTTATGAATACCATAATTGAAGCTTATTGCTCCTTAGTTCCAGTCGATTTATCTCCTTTTTGAGTTACTTCGCTACACAAATTTCTGTCCCAATAGCTTTTATTCCTGTTTTTATCTCTATTAAAACAAAACTAGCTGATATTAGGGATAACATAACGTAACTTATATACGTAAAAGTTCTTAAAATTAGTTGCGAAATGTACAAATGCCTTGACCATTGAGTCAATCGCCTGATTTCAAAAATAAAAGTCCGTAATAAATTTAAAAATGTACCCCATCATCTCTATTTTCAGTTGTATTTCTCCCCTCCCCCTTATATACTGTACTTAAATCAAATCGATTGAATTTTCCCATAATAGGAACCTATTGTGACCGAGGTGAAAACTATAAACTTTTCTTATTGCGTTAGGAAAAACAATATAAATGACAGAACGAATTCTCGGTGAGAAATTTAAGTTTAAATTGTCTACGACTGCATGCCATTTGGACATTTTTATATATATTTATATATTTATTTTTTTTTTTGTATTGATTTCGGATACATTTAATATTTTTATAAAAGTGTTAGATTCATTTTTTTTTCATTTTTTTTTATTTAAACAATGTATGTTTCAATATTGTATTTTTCGTTCGTATTTGATTTTGTTGTTATTATTAATATAGTTTTTCCACATATTTTTGTTGATTATTTAAAACGAATTATAATTTTGTACCCATACGCGGGTCAACGCCTCGAGGGAAACTAAAAAAAAAAGCAAAACTATCAACGCACAACAATATTATGACAAAACTGTCAATGGGAATTATTACATGTTATTGTTGATCGATCTAGTTAAAGTATTGTACATGCACAAAAATCAGTGTTCTGTTAATCGATTTTCCCAAGAGTTTTCCCAGCAAATGTGAAAAACCAAAAAAAGCACGGGAAAAAACAGGAAAATCAGTACAATATTAAACAAATATTATCAAAGAAAATTTACTATAGTATGATATGTTTTATATTGTTGACAATGCATTATTATTAAGTGAACTCCGCTCAGAATCGTTTTTTCTTTATCAATGGTTTAACGTGGTGTGAAAATATTTTTATGTTTTATAAATTTATACGTCCGTATAATTGAAAACGATATAACACTGTGATGTATTGTGAGTTTAACGTTGATTTTTTTAACTTTTTGTGTAATGTAGAAGTACATATTACGTTTATTATTTCTATATAAACTGTAAGATTTTATTTTTAAAACATAAAATGTCAACAGTATTTTTTTTTTTTTGCTCTTTACTTTGAGGGTATTAAAGGTTGACATTTTAGTGTTTATACTTATTTATAAAAAGATTTTCGTTTCATATACCAAACGATAATTATTTCCGAATAATTTCCAATTATAACCGAAAGTTACCGTATTTAAGTATTACGGTATTATAGTATTGGTATTCTATTTAACCGATAGAATTGGTCTCTAACTGTTATAAATGTTCTCAATTTCAAATTATTTCGTTTTGGGACTTTCAGCCACCTCTATTCGCTCGCTCATGTCGAAGGTTAATCACTTGATTTTTTTATGCAAAAACACGTCGGGTAAAAAAAAAACCGGAAAAGAAAATTTAAACTAATATCCCATCTACAAAAGCAGTACATGAAATTTCCACACACACTCGAATGAAGTGGACCAATCACAAATGGGAATTCGCTTCCTATAGGTGCCGACATGTATATACCAGAGCGCTTATATGCTTTCTGATTCGTGTCGTTAACATTCATACCACAATTATATTTATATGAATAAATAAATAATATTGAGCTCCAAAATTATATCAATTTGTTCGTAGTTTTTTTTTTTTTTTTTTATATATATATCTAATACTACGGGAAATACAACGGTTTTAATTTATATTGACCTGAAGTATCATGATATACCTGCCTATTTATAGTTCTATAAATATTAAATAACACCTATTAACTTACGGGCAATCATTTATTAATATTTGTATCTATTCTATTAGAAAATCGAATGCATAGATACTGTGTTTTATTTTCTATCGATATAAAATCACCCAAAATTTTGTTTACGAAAGCCGTTGTTCGCAAGCAAACACTACTTAGTTAAGAACCAATATTTCCATCGTAATAGTAGAGCTTTTGCATTGTAAAAAAATATTCAAACGTGAAAAATTTCAAGCTAGTAAATTTTAAAACAATAATAACTTTTTTTTTATATTTGTAATATCGAAAAAGTACAAATAATTAACATTACACTGTACAATTTCTCATTTTTTTTTTTTATCATTAGCACGCCCTCTTAACATATTAATTTTTTATAATTGAATTTTCTTAGATATTTCTTTGCAAGAGCGTTTATCATAAGTTATACTTAGTAAATTTGTTTTCTTAAGTACCTGTATACCTCAAAGTTTTACGGATAGACAAATTGAATAAATTTACATGTAATTTTGGTCCGATGCCGTATAAAAGTATAACTATGGAGAAGTTACTTATAAGTTGCAAGTCAATTTTTGTTATTTATTAATTAAAATTTTAAAAATTTAGTTTTTGTAAACTATAATAGTAGTACTGTACAGTTTTTATTAAATGGAAAAAAATTGCCAAGGTTACATTATTTTGCAGGTAGTGGCGACATTTTTGTTGTTGACGGTTTTATTCGTCCAAGTGCAGTGCAACAGGTATATGAAAAACGAAATCTTTCCTCCGTCGTTCAGTTTTTAAACGAAATAATCTGATACTTGCTACTTTATTTTCCACGTAAAGAATTATAAAATTAAAAAAAAAAATTATAAATTATAATTTTTTTTTTTTTAATTCACATGCTCTTACACGTAGATCTCTTTTAAATATGTTGATATTGTAGACAGTGATATTACAACGGTCAAAATAATTAACATAATCTTTGTTTCTTAAGAATGATCGTATACAAGTAAAAACCAAAACTTATCCGAAATAAATACGTGACAATTCAGATTTAGAATTTGGATTTACGACTGTACAATATAATAATGCTAAATACGATGTACATAAATTAAAACAGTTTATAATCCATTGATTTAAAATATTGTAATGTCAATATTGCGGTTTAGTATGTATTCGGTATTAGCAATGAAGGTTTAAGTTAATTTCCATACATTTTTTTTTAAAATTACAAACAATGAGAAAAAATAACGAAAATTGTGGAATCGTGGAAAAAATTATAAAAATTATGGTATAGTTATGGTAAAAAAATGGGAAAATTGCATAAAGAAATGATTTAGAACACTATACATCTTCGAATTCAGAGATATATGAATGTAATTCTTGTTACTTGTTTTAATTTGTTTAGCATTCAATAATATGTAAACAGCGACGGCGTAGCTGTAAATTAAAGAGCCCCAAATATTTTTTTGTCCCTAAATAATAGAAAAAAAAAAATTATATTCTATTTGTCATCAAAACAATTATTTAGTCTCTATTTTCGACTGAATAATGATGTACTACTTTTTTTTTATTTTTAGAAAAAAAGGATCCAATCACAATTTATCGCATTAAAAATTTCGTTTTAATTTTAAATTAAGTAAATTTACATTTACACCATACATAGGTATATTTGTAATTAATTATAAATATGTAAATAATTATTTTTAATCTATATTTGTAATTTTTTTATTTATATCTAACGCATTTTCATAAAATTATAAAATCGATTGTACCTATAGTAACTGTTTGTTAGTATGGTCATTTTGATTAAATATGCTATGTACATTTAATAAACGGTACGGTTACAGTATGATCAGCTTTATCAGTTTGTCACTGCAGGTATGACACGAATTGTGCAGTCAATTAAATTGACGTGAACATCTAGCTATTAGACCTGCTTTACGTGCATGTTTAAATTGATTCAATTTTAACCATGATTTGTCAAACAAATACTTCATTACCGTCACACATTTAAGCCCCCCACAAAAAAAAAAATCGTACGCCCCTGCAATGGCTGCGCCACTGGTATCTGCAACGGAGTGATTTAAATGCAAACAATTATTTTCAAAGGAACGAGACCTAAAGTACATTAGCGAATTAGAAAGAGCATGCTAGGTTATTGCGGTTTACTTTGATGGTTTACTCAAAATTCCCGCCTCTCAAAACGGGCACTTACGCAAGGGGTTAGAGATTGTCCTCTCCCATCCCAAACATTTTTTCGTACCAGCCACCAAACACCGTACAATTTTTATAATCTAGGCGATTGTCTCCTTGCCCCGCTCCCTCCCCTCACGTTAAACGTGGCTTTGAAAACACGTAAACGAATGAACGGTTATATTCGTACCGTAGTAGACGGAAATTCATTGAAATTTCAGCGGGACCTAAAATCTTCGAACATCCGGAATGCGAACAAAACATGTTACCATTAATTGAAACGCGAACAATATTTAGGGGCTAATAAAATATTTAAAATAGTCTAGTCCCTCGAGCCCCCCTCACATTTTCCTCTATGGACTGGACTCGTTGGGTAGTACACGGAGTCCTATGCGAGACGGTAATAGGAATTTGGTTATTTGGTTACGATCGGGAGCGGAGTCTTTCGATAACGACGTAAAAAATCTAGAAATAATTTGAATAAAAAAGCGCGCACGTAATGAAAATATTATAATGTACGATTGAGCGACTCACCGATAATGGGCACCTGGTAGGGCGGGGGCATGTCGTACTGCGACTGTATTTGCTGGCGATTGAGTAGCGGTAGATGCTGCAGTGACGGTGGCGGCTGCATGTACGTCATGGGCCGCGGGTTGTAGACGACCGGCATCATCCTGTCCCTGGGTTCGTTGATCAGCTCCACCTGATCGTAAGTGTTATAGTCGTTGTCGTCCATGTTGTAACCGCCGCCACCGCCGTCATAGCTGTTGTAATCGAAATTCGTATTGCCGTTTAGATCCAAATCGCTGTCCGTTCTGTCTTCGCCACCAACCCTTCCGCCACCGCCACCGCCACCACTGCGGATACGTTTGTCCGCGGCGTGATGTCGTTTTGTCGCCGACACGGTCGTCCGTTTGCTGTTGCTTCCGTAACCCCCACCGCCGCCGCCGCAACCGAACGCCGAGGCCGACCAGGAACATTTTCTAGAGTCCTTGTACTGATGGCTCTCTAAGTTGTGCTGCGCCACGACGGTACCGGTTCTATCGCCGCGGACCGGCGGCGGATGTCCCGAGAACAGCGCGACGAAACCCAGCGCCAAGAGGCCGCCGCCCAACCGCAGTCGTCGTTTCAGCAGCATGTCGGAAAACCGAGACCGAGACGGCTGGGGCGGCGGCGGCGGCGTCGACGGTGACGACGGTGATGATAATGACGATGACGGGATGGCGTCGATTAATAGTTCGAGCGATCCCGAAGACTTTGCGCAGCGCGGTGCACGACAGTGACGGGACTCGCGGTATAGACGACTGCTGTTGCCGCCGCTGAGGCCGCCGCAGCCGCCGAAGCCGTGTAAAGTACAATAGTTTCGCGACGGTTGTCGGCGACCGATTTCCCGTTAACCGTCGCCGGCGTACACTGTCACTTGATATAACAATAATAATTATATCGTAATTATTTAATTCTGTTATTGTGTAAGTGTACTGTTGTTCTTTTTCGCGTTCGCGCGTGCACGTGGTTACGTACACGTGAGCGTACTATGGCGTAAGCGTTCGCGTTCGCGAGGAGATATTTAACAATAGTAATGATATCGATAATATTACGCGCGTGAACAATAATTTTTGTCCGCGTATACGAACGTCTCCGAAAAGGCGGGGAATTTTATGGGAGGGGAGGGGGGAAGAAAAAAATATACTTAACGCAGTCGACGAATAATAATATTATTATTACGACGGAATAGCAACGGAAAAAAAAAAAAAAAAAAATTTAAAATAACGATACACGCGTAAATATTACAATGTTATATTATTATACTCGTAAGTAGCGTGTTTCAACAGATGTCCTGCGGAGCGCTCGCGGTCGTTGGCATGACGCGTCTGCCGGCGCGTTTCGAATGTGTCGGACTGAAGGGACTCAGTGTGTATGCGTTGCCCCGTGTTGCCGGCAGGCCGCTGGCCCATACACCCACACACGCACTGCACCCCGTTCGTATATATGCGACATCCCTTAAAATTGCCCGGCTCCGATGTGCGCGCGCAGCGCACGCGGGGTGAGGAAATGGGTCATCCGTGTGGGAAATATGTATATATATACGAGTTTTTTTCTCCTTTTCTCCCACCCCTCTAACCCTCGGTGCCCCGCCCGTCCGAACTAACCTAACTCGCGCTCTGTTCCTCTCACACCCGGGGCCCGGTCCTTCCTTCGCCGCCGCGGTAATTCCCCCGCTCCCCTCCCGCTTTCACACACACGCTCACGCTCTCTCTCTCTCTCTCTCACTCTCTCTCTCTCTCACTCTCTCTCTCTCTCTCTTACCCTCCCTCTCGCGCGCGCGCCGGCATTTCGTTTTCGCGACGCGCGCGGTCGTAACGGCCGGCGACAAACTCTCTATACACGTTTTTAGGCCCGCTGACGAGTAAAATCCGTGGGTAGGTAACGACGTGACAACACTGTTAATCACCGTGGGGTTAATTAAAGTTGATTAACAAACTACGGTTAATTGGATTTATATCGAATGGGGCGTCTTAAAAGACATTTAATACCCCGTACATAGTAATACAATGTTCCGGGAACACCGCATATTATTATAATAATAGGATAAGACCGGTCCAGAGCAGTTGGTTATTATTCCTATTTTTTTTTTTTTAATTTTTGTTTTTGTTTTTTTTTTTTTATGGTTTGTTTACACATTTTTACGATTTTTTCACTAACACAGAATGTTATCAAAATTATGTACAATATGTTTGAAAAATCATTACACTCGTCGCGAAATGTCATGCGAATTAATCGTAAGTACAGAATATTATGTTCTTCGTGTACATCATAATATAATAACTATTATAATATTCCGATCGAAATCATGAATATATTGGTTTTAATATGACGTGTACAAGTTTGCGGCATTAAGGATTTTAACTTCTCAATTTTTTTCTATCAATGGCGAATCAATAGGGTAGCACATGGTGGGCAATGATTCACAAGTCCATGACATCTAGGTGCCCTAAATCAAGGCCCAAGGCATTATGATTGAATATAAAAAAAAATGCGATGATATTTTTTTTTGCTTATTAAGTATAATATAGATGGACGGACAGCTGTATGAAAATAGGCAATGATCTTTTTTTTTCTTTTATTCCAATCGGGGTAAATTGATGGTTGATCTAGAATATTTTGCCTCGGGTATTAGAAGTCATGGTTACTTTACTGTTTTCTACCTTATATCTTGCACCGAAATCAAATGTAGTATTTTTTCCGAAAATTCCCGTCTGTATCCTACCTTCCCAACTTCCTACCTACAACAGTGGCTGCACCCACGTGCGAAGTATGTTCGTCTTTTTCTTTTTTTGTTCTTAGTAATTTTATATAAGAAAAAAAACCGGAAAATTATTAATTTTTATTGATTTCTGTGTTATCTTGAGGACAACAAGAGGAAAAATACGACTAATAATAACTCTGCTCAGAATCGTTTTTTCGTTACTCGATATTCGTTTTTCAATGTAGATTTAATTACTCTATAATATTCTATCTTCCCTTTAAGTTTTCTTCCTGAAATAATGGCTCATCTTTCAGCAGTATCCACCTTTATTATTAATAGATCCATACAATTGTAGTTTTATATGTTAAAGTAGTATTTAAACATTCCTCAAAAATATATACTAGATATTATCATCATATAAATCACCAAAATCATCCTTCAATTAGTCTGTGCATTAATTTTCACCGTTTAAAATTTTCAAAACCGAAATATTTGTTTAGTTTAACTGCTTCGCGAATTAAACCGTGAACATTTATTTTGTAACAATTACATATTTTATACATAATGTACAAATTAATTTATTGTTTTATATCGCGGATGAAAAAAACTCCACATTTTGATATATTACTCAAAATCACGTTGGTTTTTATTGTGTTGTATCGTGGAACATAATGCGAATTGATTTATGAACTTGGCCGTGAATATATTTTTATCCGAATATACATATTTATTAAATTCACACAGACTATATATATAGCAAACAAATAAAAAAAACGCGCCAAGTGTTAACCGAGTCGCAACATTTTTCGGTTTTCAAAACTATAACAACATTAATTATTAATGAACAAAAAACAAAACAGAAGCGATACCGAATACTAGGTGTATAAGGTTCGAAAAATTTAAAGTCGGAAAAATATTACATACATAATGTATGGAACGATGACAAAATATATTCATGCATTCATTTTATGTATATACCTAACGACAACTACCAAGGTTTCAAAAATATATAAATAATAATATTTAAAAAAAAGTTGGGAATGTAGGATAAATATATAGTGTAGGTTAATTTAGTTTATGCATTGTATGATGCAACGATAAATTATTGGAAACGAAAACGATTCTAAACAAAGTTTTTGTACCTTCATATTTTGATGAATTTAAATTGAAAATTGCATTTATTATTAATTATAACAACACGATAAAATACAACAATCGTCACAGATGCAAATGGTCTAAATATATCGGGAAGAGGATAGCTTAGTGTCCCATGATAATGATTAACGATTATGTATGCAAAGTACGTACTTGATAAGAACTCGATTTAGGAGAACTTGGCTGAGTTTTGAGGAGACTGTATAAAATTTACTACCACCGATTTTAATGAACGGTTGTTCACAAAAATAAAAAAAACACACAAACCAATGCTTCGCTCAGAATCGAAATCTATCTATTCAAAGAAAATATACAAAAACACGTAATATTACCATACCGATATCCGTAATAGTTTGATAGAAAAAGTATGCTTATGACGTCATAATACAGTCTTATTGCATCCATATCAAATTTGACTTTAGCAAACAAATAAAACACGGTTCCTAACCGCAAAGCGTGTGATGCGACATTTGCCTCTAGTGATGTGCACCCCAAAAACACAGTATAAAAATATTTCCATTATATGAACGAAATATTTTTAAGAACATTTTATAGTTTTCAAAAAATTTTTGTTTATTGTTAAATAATGGTGTGAATGTTATAGAAATATTTTTCGCCAAATAGTTCATGTTTGGAAAATATTTTAGAATAATATTCATCAAACATTTTAATCTCATATTTTTTAAAACGTATAATTTTTATATTTTCTTGAAACCATTATATAAATATTTAAAAAACATTTTTACAAGTCATATAAAAAAAAAATTATGTTACCATAATTATTAATATAAAAATAAATATATGGTTAAAATATATTTCAATTATGATAAAAACAATAATTTTTAACTTTTCCACACGTTCTTTCGACCGTATTTCTATTAAAATATAGATAACATAATGAAAATATAAGCAGGGGCGTATTTTGGGGGTTTTTTTTAGGGGGGGGGGGTTGCCGGACTCCTAGCAATGCTTTTTCTTCACAAATATTATCGTAGCTTCACCGCGAATTCTAACCCGATTATAATACATCTTAAAAACTTATAAGTGGTAATTTTCTTGTAAACAAATCTTAGGATTGCTACTTAAATTTTTGATTAAAATAAAATTATAACAGCATTAAAGTATAAACGATTTGACTAAATAAATTATAACCAATTCAACACTTAAATTTATTGAGTAATTTCCCAGATCAGTATAGTATTATTATCGTTTCGTAGTCTCCAATTATTATTAATTCATGATAGAAATTTTCAAAGCAGTTTTAAAATATTTCGTCATTCGTCAACAATATTTTGCGTTACATCAGTAATGTTTTAACCCCCAGGACACCCTCATTAAATACGCCACTGAATATAAGTATGTATACTTTATTTTATCTTTGAATATGGGTAAAAACATTACGCATATTATAAGTTTGATTTTGTTTGTCCGATGTTTAATTATTTTTGAGCCCGCTGAGTCCAATGAACACAATACGGTCTATATGGTCGTAAGCGGTTTGTTAACATGCCGTCCACTTTGAAACATTGTTTTTATCTAATCTTAAGATGCATGACAATTTCTAAAAATTGAAAATATTAACATAAATATCAAATATCCGCGGAATACGAAATGAATTAAATTACATTATTTTACGATAATAAGCAAAAAAAAAATTTAAGTAAATAAATAAATCATAATACTTATACCAAATTTTAAAACGCAAATAAATCTCGAAATCAACAAACAAAACAATTTTTATGAAATTCTGGGGTTTCCACCGCAGGGTTATTTACCTCAGCTCGATTAATCTGCGTGTTTGCCTATTCAGCTCCTTACTCCACATCACTTTGATAATTATTATTATTAATACAATAAACGCAGGCTGTTACAGACTATTCTACAAATTCAACTATATACATACATATAATATATATACACATATAAAAAAGAAAGTAGTCCATGCTGAACGCAAATTCGATATGCCACACGTTTGCAAGACAGAGACAACGCATACGGGAATCACGTCCTGTTTTTTTTTTCAACCCCCGTATGCTTTCTGGATGCAAAATGTGTAAACAGGATGTTCAAAATTAGATTTTACGGCGGTTTTCACTAGTAATATTATGCAAAATAATTCATATGCAAATATTATTACATGAATGTATCTCTAATGATTTTGCAATACTTAAAGCGTGTTTTTTTTTTTTTAAAGAGGTTAGGAGAGGAGGGGACCGACTAATTTTGAAATTCAAATGTGGTTCACCGAGCTACTTATATAGTCCACTATATAAT